ATTAGATACGCAATGCTACTGAAGCAAAATATACTTTGATCCAACTTACTTTGATAAAATAATACAAATTTTTTCTCAAAGCTTAATTTGAATTGTTGATCAACTCTAATCTAGTATCCTATGGTAGTGATTGCAAATACTTGACAAAGAGCAGATTTACTAAACGACTCGTGCAACGATAATTCAGCGAATGTCGACGGCGACTGATGCACACTCGGCCGGAGCGTTAATTACGCTCGTAGGCTTCATAGCTAGAATAATGCGAAAATAGTGCTTTAAATAATTTATTTCCAATGTGCGCTTAGGGGCGATAAATAAGGGTAGAGCGGCTGCGCGCGGGAAACGAGCATGGAACTGGATTACGGTGGCCGGCCGACCTGTCGTTAACCTGTCGGTGATTCATGATGTTAGACGAGCGCTGAAAGGATAACGTTCTCCACGCACGCTGACAGTATCCCGTGAATTTATGACTCGTGCACTTTACGATAAGGACGCGCGTGCGTCCTTTATGATGAGGTACGGGTTAACGCGTGGTTTAAGATGCACTCGTGCCATATACATAATTTTTAGACTACGTCGAGGTAAAACTCGGATTATTCAAATTAATAGGATGTCATGTTTCAACACTCGAGCGAGGATTAAATTTGTGAGGAAAAATTTTACTAACAAGTAGCGATATGTTGTACGGGACAATTTAATCAAATTATTGCTTTCTTTTCAATTTCGTTCAGTTTCCAATTTCATTCCAATTTAGTTATTCAAAGTTGATCAAAGTTGTCAAATATTCTTTCTTATTGTTTATCCGGGAGCGTAGAAAATGCATTCGAGATGCAATCGATCGATTAGAAATTCAATTACTTTCGCTGCCATCCAATTCTTTATCTCCGCTATACGATTAACAGTTTGTTAGTTTAGACCACTAGCTCTTAATAGAGAAACGGACGTAAATTGCTCGCAGTGAAACATTTTCAAAAGCAGCGTTGCGAGTTGACAAATTTGCAAATGTTTATATGTAATTTTGCAATAAAAAAATTATTTACCCGCATTTCGAACGCGTGCTATTAATAAAGATCTTACAATTAGTTAAAGATTCTTGGCGAGGAATTTCGCAAGGACGTCGTCGAGAGTTCGCGTACTTATTACGAAGATAAAATCTATCCGTAGATAGTCATCACGCTATGCAGAGGACTTAATGATACCCGCAAAAAAGGTGAAATGACATCATGCTACGACAGTTGTATCGACGATTTTGAGGTCATTACTTTTCTAAATAATTTCGTTAATCTAAATAATGAAAAAATTTCTCGATCAAAGAAATTGCTCCCTCTCTCTCTCTCTCTCTCTGATGCGCCGAAGAAGAGAGAAAGGGACTAGTAAGGTAGAATTTTTGCAATATGCGAACATTGAGTTGCAGTCGCAATCGATTCGTGCGGATAAACAGAGGCGCAATCGCGGCATGATCGACAAGTCGCGTAAAATTGCGCGATTAATGACGATGGTGAATCGGTGGAATTATAACGGTAATGATAAACGATTAGCTGAACGATGAATGTTGTAGAATCAGATCAAAGAGGGTTATAAATCAGGATCAATTTCTGACGGGCAATCATAAAATCATTCTAGGCCGCGACTTAAATAGTAGTTGTTTGACAATCACGAATGTTTCTATTCGAGCTACTTTCGCCAGATGTCCATTCTAATATGTATTTTGTGTATGAATAAGTATGAAAGCAGGATAATTTAATTTAATGACCTTTGAAAGAATAATTGTTTTTTTCAAATCAATAACTGATTTATGCGTGAAATACAACACACAATATGTTGAAATTGCTAAACTTGGGCAAGAGTAAAATATTATCAAGTAGATATTTTTCACGACACGCGTGAAAATTTAGTCGTTACAGTTAAGTATCGTAAAGTTGGTAGCGTAAGACTTTCGTTTCTTACACCGTGGAAAAGTATCCTACTTTTATACCGTATTTGAACTTCAGTGCCCATTGTATTCTTAATTAAACTTCCGCGTCGCGATCTATTATTTAATCGCCATGTAATATCATTGGATAGAATTTAGTCGAAAACATAAATGTTAGAAAAGATAAGTGAGTTTGTGTGCAAAAGCGATATCGCTTTTCCACGCATTACGTTGTTATCGATATGTTGCATATTGTAAATTTCATCGGTATTTCAGCTTGTATAAAGTGTGCTCCAAGCAAAGCATTAACACTCGTGTCGGCTATGAAATTTCAGAATTGATACAAAACAATTAACACATATTTATTTATCCATTTCTTCATTAGCAACAGGACAAGATAACGGACGAAACAATGTTGAATAATGTGTGACCGTCTGTCTCAATTATTTTTCTCATACATACATGAATACATAATTGAATAGATAATTGGATACATAATTGGATACATAATTGAAGCGAAAAAGAAACAGTCAACAATGAAATGTGGCGAAACTAACGGTATACGAATTCTGAAAATTTCTTGTCCACTTTTATAAATTGTCAGTTGCTCTCGTGCTTTTGTAATAGTACTCTCTCGTAGCTCTTTTCGCATATCAAAGCATCTTTCTCAGATGGATTACGGCATCATCAACGACGTCAACGAACGGGGTCTTGGACGATCGTAACAGTTGAGCGCGAATAATTACGTATCCCGCTTGTTAATATTTTGCAATATAAAACTCTTGTTTGATCAATACAATCAGTATAATGGGGAAAATGGCGAATTTATTTGCTGACGAATGATTATTGAAACCGTTAGGTTTCTAATCTGCTTATCGACTTACGCTAATGATCAAGCAATAACGTACACGTAATAATACAAATGATGAAAATCTTTTAAAAATTATACAATGCTAACGGCAATGCAACGCTTAAAAAGTTTAAGACAATTTACCTTCACACTTACACGGAGCAAGTAAAAATGATTAACCTCAGATATTATAAATAAATACATACAGGTTTACAAGCTAAGATTACATTATTTTACGTCAGCCATTATGATTTAAAGATATTAATATGTAAGCGCCATATTAATTTCTCTCGTATTATTTAATCTTCTGCTTGTACTGCAAAATATGGGTAATCTAATGATTTAGGAAATGATGCCTTTTAGTTAGCAATTTTAATTAATGGAAAGCTTGATCCGATACACTTTGTGGAATATCGTGTGCTGACAGTTACTGCCAAAGAGAAAATATCCAGCGATGCTGATGTCGGTGCTAATATCGAAGAAACCCCTTGAAACAATTATTGTCTATAATGATGATCGTGACAGCCATGTCCCAGTTGCGGGCTTCGCTCGCGGACCACGTGCACTCTATTGTTCCTTTCGTTGGGAAGACCTTACCTAAGATATTATATATCCTGTCATTTTTCTTCGACCAAGATCTATGGGCCACGCGATTGAAAATCTGACACGCAAATTTTACGTAATCTCGCTCAACGCTCAACAATTTTTCTTATATTAACGATAAAGAATATTATTTTTAATAATTGTATATTCTCGAGAATCACTAAAGTAGATAATTGTACGACATATCGATTGTTTAGTGTAGTTTTGTTTTATTCGTCGTATATATAATAGAGTAGGTACACATTGAAAAGTTAAATAGTTATCTCGGCAAATAGCTAATCAATGTTTGTATTAACAGATGGCTTTCCATCTAATATCTCTGTTATATCTTATCGTACTTTTGACTCGATAAAATTGCAGTCCTGTGAATTCCTTCCCCTTTTCGTTCAATATTCCTACCTTTTTGCTCGATCGTGCACGCCTAATGTGGCAACGAAAGTAGGTATGTAAAATGTATTTATTCGAGATGGATCGTTAATTTGTTGTATAATAATTGAGAAACAGCTTATCGATCAGAATTATCCAAGAGTGCTCTTTTGAAACTAGTATCACTAATGAAATTAGTATCGCAACCTTCCCTTTCTATTGATCAGAGCCCTTAGATTATATTCATTAACTCTACGAAAGGGAAAAATGAGAGTCACGTAGATTTGGTTGGACGAGCAAATTCGCGGCCGATTGATGCTTCGTCCTTAAAATGTATAGTTGAGAAAGTTGCTTCTGGGTTGACGATTGTCTGTGTTAGTTGCTGTATAGACCACACCGGGATTCTTTTACCCTCGTATATACATAAAAAAAGCTCCTCGAAGTGAAACGTGATAATTTTTCAGTGTAATCAGATAACCACAGCTCGATTTCCTAATGGCGTTTCGACGTGGAAATTCCAACGAGCCGTTAAAATTCCTCCCTGTGAGTTTCCGACAAGACTTAATGAATTTGTGTCTATTCCAACTATTCTAGCTTCTACTTTTTAAACATATTGCTCTTCTGAATGTAATTATTTATTAGGATGATGATTTAACAAGTAATACGATTTTACTGTCAAATAATGAAAATATGAATTTAGAATTAAGAAAATAAATGTAAACCCTTTTCAAGAGCCGAGAGAAAGAACATCTGGTTCGGGAGATAGACAAGTTCTGAGACTCAGTTTCGGTTGCATCCGGCTATAGTACATAGATAACGTCTCAAAGAGTTTCTTTAATCATTCAGGCCCATACTACGTAAGAATTGATTAGATAGGACGGGAAATGAGATGTTTGAACAAAAAATGTTTCGTAAATCAAATAGATGACACAAATAGAAACTGTAATATTAAAAGATGAAAAGATTGATGAAACAAATTGTTCGTCTTAATCGTCGCGACTTAAGTTGCCATATGAAGGGCTACAGTCACACATATGTCTGCCTGCCATGACAAAGACGTTGCCTCTTCCTTGGCGTAGCTGCTCCCTTGCAACTTTCCATGTGTTCCCCAATACCCTTGGAATCCCGGAGGAATCTCCCTTCCCATTCAAGTCATGTAAGTTGACCAATCGACCACCTCTGTCTTTCTCTCGCTCTCTCTCTCTCTCTCTCTCTCTCTCGCTCTCTTGGAGCTCCCCTCTCGATCCTCGAACGGCCCCCTAGTCGAAGACTTGGTCTGGCGTCTGGCGTCTGGCGGCAGTTCGGAGCGAGACGCCGACACGGCATACGACGAGTATTTTCGTCCCGAACTTATCGGGCTCGAAAATGCAAGTTAATTTCCGCTATAGTATCAACTTGTCGTTGTTATAAGTAAAACTGTTTTTTGAGATAAATTATTATCGTGGTTGTGGTGCCGAACGTAGTGGATTGGAGAACAGAAGGGAAACGTGCTGGCTGCTGGTGTAGAGTTGCACGTAACAGGTCCTTGCATATTCTTTCGAGTGGCGACCGGCGACCGGCGTCCGGCGACCGGCGACCGGCGACCGGCCACCAGAAATGGCATTTTAATGTCGAGCTTTACCGGAACGCACAAAGTTACCGTCATCAATTCGTGAAGAGAACAAGTGACAGTGATAATTTGCGCGTACTCGATCGTCCAATAAAAGAATCGGGAGAAATATCGCAAATTCCAGCTCCGTTCTTTCCATTCAATCGTGTTTATCCGGCGCGGCAGTCGACACACGTACAGGATATACATATGTGCGAAGAATCGGGAGAAGAAAGCGCGTCCGGTTCGCGTTTTGTCCTTTAAACGTGTGTGTTGTGGACCAGCCGAAGACAAGAAGGAGAGTCAAGTACGAAATGCCGTGATGCCGTGTGCCAATGGGAGAGGAATGCCGGCGTGTTGACGCGGATCCGTTCCTCTTCCTCTGGTCGAGTGTCGCGCGAGATGCGACCATCCGGATGGATTCCAACCAGACTGTTCTGACCATCGACCCGTATTTCTTCCTATTTCTCGTAAGTAGAAACAGCTCTCTCTCTCGGCTGTACAATTCATACCAAAGTAACGAATTAAACTTTTTATTTCACATAGCTGCAAAGCGCTTGGTATATAACGGTAATATCGAGAGACTTGCTCCGATAGGTACGAGTATTGCTTTTTAATGTACTCGTTAAAGTTTCAAGTTTTGCCAAGTTTCTCAATACCATTCGTTTCGATCCCATTTCTTTCAACAAGTTTTCATATCGATCTTCTCGACGAATGGTCAAAGAGAAATTAATTGGAAATTCGCTCAAAGAATTGACGTTGCCACTGCTAACCGTGAGATTGACGAAATTTTCGTGACGCAATTAAGTATATCGATCATTCCGACCATTTCGTGAACCAAGTGATTGCCTCAAGGAATTACCGTTAAAGCGATCGTGACCTCGATCTACCTTAGCTTTGGTGGATTCTGTATATAGATCCGCGTTTCTGCGACTGTGCTCCTCCTTTCGATCGGAATCGGTAATTTAGATAAAAAGATGAAAAATTTGATATTCCCTTTTGATAGATAAGTCACACTTAGGATTCCAAAATAAGATGCAGCACTTGGTTTTTTCTTTCTTGGAGAAATCGGGCAACTGTACATACACGCATCGTATGTCCGCATGCATAGAATTTCGTCGAATACCGTTGATCGCGGCCGCACGCTACAAATTATGAAAGTGTGTGAAAGCCTGGAGAAGAGCTAAATACGCGCGGCTCTCGTTCGATCGGCGAATATCGCACGATTGTACGCTTTAATGACCCAATTTAATCGGTTTTAATGACGTCAATCAAAAAAACCAACCAAGGATTCAATTTCCGTTATCGACGAATAAATGCATACGGAATAGACCAGCATTTTACCACGTTAATCGACAGATTTTCCAACCAACGGCCTTGATATTTCTTTAACGACAATTTTTCCATTTTTCACATTGTACAACATTAATCTAGCGCTTTAAATTTGCTGAGCAATCCATTGCCAAACGAATCACGTTTGTTTAATCGTCTCGTTCCGCTACCTTTAATTCGTGCAAGTCAAGTAATTAATTCAACTGTCCAAGGACGATTTTCACGTGCCGGATTGCCATTCTTTTGTATAATTTGTGCTAGATGCGAACAAAGAAAATAGGTTACAAAATAATTATAATGCATTGTGGTGCAAGCGTGATACGTGATCTGTTGAGGAAATTATTATGTAGTACCTTGTGTAATTATTCGTCAGCAGTATCGTATGGTTATTATTATCATTTCAATAATTTGCGTGAGACGTAAGAAAATACATATAAAGAAATATTCCCAAAATGCAAAATGCTCGAAATCATATTCTTTCGTTGAAGTAAACAAGTTGCTTCTGACCCTAAAAATATACGTGTCTTATTTCCACGGTAATGTCATGAAAATATTGGTAAAAGACGGCTCTAAAAATAGAGCTGCGTAATTAGGAAACTTTTCATAAATTTGTTTAGTCAACGTTTGCAAATGAAGATGCTTTGTCTTTTTCTCAGCAGTTGATTGATTAATATTCATGTTCGGTATGATTTATTACGAGAGGTCAGTTTCAGCTTTTAATTCATAAAGGCTAACTAGTTAAATTTATTGGACATTAGTGAAAAATGTGCGATTATTATACATATAATTAAGGTTGCAATAGCTCTTGAATACTTGATAAATATTGGACATATCGCGAGCATGGATTTCTAGAGATGATAATGTGTAATCTTTGCTTGTGGGGAGAATGAGGTGTGTAAAGACCAATGTGCATTATGACCCCCGGCTCTCCTCTCTCGGTAACGGTTGTACGATCCAAGTATCACAACCTGACATCCCCGATAAAGTCGGTCGTAGCGCAACAGATGCGTCACGTAATGTTGCACGTTGCGTCTCCGCGTACACATCATTGTTGAGTAACGCGACAAAACCTCCGAAATGTAACGTAAATGAATTTTTCATATCTGCTTATACGCTTGTTATGTCTTTTTATTTATTCTGGAAATTCCACGGTAAAATTTAGAGAAAAGTCAATGCGATTTAAACGATCTAAATATATCGTGGGGCGACGCCATGTGCCAGGGGTGAATAAAGATGTTCGAATGTGGTCTCGCTAGTATTCTCGCTGGGAAAAGAGACATTTGTCGAGAGATATTTGGAATTGAACGCGTGCGCAGTTATCGGGATAGAGAAAAAGGATCTTCTCCGTCTCGGATAAAAGCAGAGTGGCACCCATGTCGGTCGAATCAAAATTACATCCACACGAGAGAAGGATCGTGTGCAGTTATCCCTCGACGAGATGATGACGTGCGTGCGGCCGGCAATTTTAAGTGCCATTTGCTTCCTGTGGTAGGGAACAACGGCCTCGTTTCGACATTCGATGCAATGCCGTTAAATATTTGCGTATAACAGGCTTAATTGCTACGGCATAATACGAACGGTGAGTCATTTAATTACGCGTTTATTATGCGCAAGCTATAATAGTCGGCAAAAAGGAGAGAAGAAGGAAGAAAAGGAAAAGCGATAGGAGCTAAAAATAGCAAATCTTATCGAGGCGTCATGTCCTTCGAGACACGGTTCAGAGACATTGAAGGATAAAAAGCTGGGAAATAAAAAGAGATTATAAAACTATACATGACAAATTTCTTACCAAATATTATACGCAGTGCAAGGGATATCTAGAATGTCCTTATCGTGTCAAAGTGATGATACCAGGCAATGGCATTCGTTTCTATTCCGCTCGAAAAAAGGATTTCGAACGTTGCGACCACTGCAGAATCGGGATCACAGTATACGCTTTCGAATTAGACACGTGTGTAATGACAAAGTCGGACATGTATGAGTACAATCCTGCGGAATTATTTAATTAGTTTATTATGCGTAGTAATTATTTACTACGGTACTCTGAGATCTGGTAAAGAGTTTCTAACGCAACACAATAAAAAAGATATTCATACGCTCAAAGCCGAGTATGTTGACGTCATTCCAGCTTAACAAATGTATCGATATGCACTATACCGATTCATGTCATACAAGTCATTGGCGAGAGAAACGATTCTGATTACACTCGAGTATGCATGTTGTATTTTCACAGTTCCGGTATATTTGCTCCAGATTCGACATTGATTTATCAAATTGATTGTACGCGATTTAATTATATGAGATATTAATTTACTCAACTCGTAAGACATATATTTTCTAATGTGCAAACTACAATAAGCTAGAACAAGCAAAGCCTATGAATTTTTCTATCGAGTAATTTCCCTTTCTAATTTAACGTCCCTCTTATTTGAGAATAATTATTAATTGTGCAATTGTGGTATTACAGTAATAATTCCAACGAAATCATTATCGTCGAATCAGTCGCAATTGAAGCACATTTGTGCGAAGCGCATCGTGACAATACGTAGATAATTAGCGAGTGTCAATTGAACGCATTATTTTAGTTATCTATCCCGTATCTACTATTATACCAAGTAACACATGGTGTAAAACATAAACGGGGAACCGCGTGGCACCGAGTGTGCTGCGTTGAATCAAAAGAGTTGACGCCGTACTTGATACGTATGTGTGTTGTGTACGAGCAATTGCGGACGATATTGCACGACAGAATGCTATCTCGCTCTCGAATCTCGAAGATCGACGATGAGACTGGTGAAATCGCCCGTTATAGAGCATCCCCGCCGTTCTACTCGCGCCGCGCGATCTATCCTCTTCTTTTTTTCTCTCTTCCCCTCGTACAATTAGGGTTAATTAGCACGCGTAAGCGAGAAATCGCAATTGGAGCAGGCGAACGTACGAGCCAACAGTAGCAGCGGTAACAGCATCACTCGCTCTCTCTACTCGACTTTCCACAAAATCGTCCTCGCTGGACTGCGCGCATATGTCGTCATTCCTCCCGTCTTTCTCTCGAGCGAGCATTAAAACCGGTCTAATTTCGATATTTTCAATTCTCGAGGCTACACACATACGGAATGGAGCTGTCTTATATTATAAAATAGCTCACCAAAAGGACGCAGTGTCCTTTATGACATTAATTATCACGCATAAAACGCACGCGAGGAGAAATGTCTTTTCACTCTTCTCGTTGACAGATACGCAAGTTGAAATGTTTGTTCGTATTGAAGTTTGAATTTATCGCAAGTATGCCGAGGCTATTATCGAATACGTTGTGAGATGCTAAAGCTATCAGCGGCTATATTGTCGATTTAAATAACACTAACGATTTCGTGAGATAATTGACGTAGGATAACTTGTTTAACACTCTCCATCTTTCTTTATAGCGGTTAGCAACGAAGGAAGAAATCGCGGAGGTGCAACGGAATTGCATAAGATGCGGAATGCAGATGCATCTTGCACGAGCACGCGTAACGAGTCTTAAACTTTGTGTTCCCAAAATATCCCTTTGCCGTAATCTTATTAGATTTATACGAATAAATGATATATTCGCCAAAATTTAATTAATAATTACACAGCTAATTGAGCTGTCCGGCGGATCGATAATTTTTCTAAAAGATAATTTCATTTAGAATCATCGTCAACTGCAAAAGATACGGTCTGTGTGACTCAGCTACCACACATCTCGCATACGCAACGTTGACGAATAATTTATCGGCGACTGACGCAAGCGGATAGAGGATTATCGACGAGGAGGTGTACACGTTTGAGAGATTTTACCGTGTAGAAAAGGTTTGCAAGCGGAATAAACGCATTTCTTTTGCGAGGAAGGCAAGAGTTGGCGCGGATATGTTTTTCGATCGAGAACCTTGAGATATAATCACCATTTTATTCAAGGATGCATATTTAGTTAGCGACGTTGCGATTATATTAATGCGTGATTAAACGCCCGAAAGGATTAATATTCCAATAGGATCTTATCGGCGATGAGCTCGCGCGCACGGATATTCACGAGCATATTATCGTGCATACCTATTCGTACTCGTAGTGTTGGCCAGGAGACGACAGATGTGATAACTTTGATAGAGAAATCACTCTTTTGCACTTTGTATAAGTATGCTATTGAATATCTTATTGAAACTTACACCCTCACACAGAAAGGATTTCTGATACCGAGATAAAAACTATTCTTGACGCATTTCTATTTCTTACAACCTCATTTAGTCTAAAAATAAGATCATTCTTATTCTCCTCTATCGAATTGAAAAAGATTGACTTACTATATTGAGACAAGAGTAACTTGCTGCGTTTAGAAGAAATTTTCCCTCCATCTTACAACGCACCAGATTACAATATTTAAAATATTCCTTTTTCTATAATAAACGTGATTGGCGCTATATCGACCCTATTTTATGATACATTCGAGTGCAATAGCATTGGATTCGAACATTTTTTTCTGTGGGCGTAGATAATGAATTGCCGCGGTTAATGTTAATACTGTGTTACTATTACCTCAAATCTTATCCATTCTTTCTAAATTATTGCTAGTAATAAAGAGATTAAAGTTAGCAATAAAAGTTATAATTTGGGGCAAGGAGCAATATATTCGTTTTGTATACGCATCTTCTTTGTCGAAAGGAGAATCCGGAAAGAAACGAGTTAAACTTTGCGTGCCCACATTTTCGGCTTGTTATTAACCTGCTTTCTCTTAAACGTTGGTCGTGTTGTCGTCGTCTGTAGATGCTGTCAGCGTTGATCATCAATAAATGTTAAATAAATGTTCTGTCAGAATTAGATCAGATGATGATCGGTAAGAATTAATATCTATAAAGTGCTGCTTGGAAAATTTCAGGAAAAATTCAAATTTCTCTTTTGACAAACGCTCGACACAATGGATGGGATGTATCGAACGATGACGATTGAGTCGATATAAACGCGTTCGTTCCGCGCAATTTGCGTTCTGGCCGGTCGCGCGCCGGTCTGCTGTTGTGCGGGATTGCTAATTCCAAACGGGACGATAAGAACGGGGCCTGAATTAAACGGGAACGAGGTGGCATCGCGCTCGCGCACATACGCGAGTTGCACTTTCGCATGCGATTTATCGAGCTTAGCGCGTGTCGATAAATTAAATAAATCATCGTTAATTAAAGATCTCTCAAGTGGATATTCGCTTAGTTTAGCAAGTGAGATTGTTCCGCTGTCGAAATGGCGCAAAAAGCGTTTTTAATCAATTACTGCATGGTGACAATAATCTTAATAAATTTAATGATTACTTTGATTAGAGGTCTATGTTCGTCCAAGATATTGTTCCATTTATTGATCTGTGATAGACAGAGTAGTTATTGATAAAAGATATTGTTTCATAGATATTACTAAAAGCTACAGGCAGTAAAGCATACGTGACAGAGGTAAAGTCCTCATGGAAAATCGTATAGGTTGCGGTTAAACTTGATCCTGAGAGTCCGCCATCATCGCCTTTAGAAGGAGGTTTAGAAGGAGAGGAAAGGAAGAGACTAGACGAGGGGAAACATCGTCGGGCAAAAGGCCCGAGGTGGTCAGGAAGGGAGGAGGTTAGTTGGAGCGAGGTGCAAAAGGTGAAAAACAGTTTGCCATCAGCATAACCGGTTCCACGTATCTCCAAGCGGGTCTCATGTTCCTTCTTTCTCTTATTCTCTCTTTCCCTCGAGACTCGCCCGATCCGGCCAACGGGGTTTCGCCCGACAGGGTCGCTCGCTTTCTTGATGATAGTTGAGTACTGGCTACCGGTAGCGGGTGTCCTTATACAGTTAAAGGCATTATCTCGTTTCTTGCCCTAAATTCTGTTTACTAGTCATGGGTTACTTCGTCTTGTCGACTCTTGCGGATAAATAATCGTTCGTTCGTTGACGTAACTTAATCTTCTCGAAAGCAATGGCTTTCCAAGCGAAGGGACACCGCATTCTCATCGAGTTGGCTCTCTGTACTACCAAACTATATAACGTCGATAGGTATGAGACTTGTAAATTCCTATAAATGAAATGAATAGCTTTAGATGAGAGTGGAAGGAATGTCGTTGAAACGATAAAATGATTAGTAACATTCTCTCGCAGTCGCATTTATAGCAGATTTGTGGACACTTTGTGGACGACGAGCTTGCCTGTTTCAGATTTGGTCTTGGAGGGGAAGGAAAAATAGGAGGGGAATTTAGGGTCCAGCGCCGTCCAAGGAGCGATCGGGAAGCAGGGTCGGGTGCAGCAGCAGGATGACAACGATACAGAATTGCGGCGGTAGTTCGTCGAGATGCGCGAAGCGTGCCTTCATCTTCGTATTCGCCTGGGGACTGCTAATGATCGCGGCGGTACAGTTCCGTCACTTGGAGAACAGGGCTCTCCGTCAAGATAATGGTCCGACGGCCGAGGACGGCATCGGTAACCTGGCGGAGGTCGATGGCGTCGGCAACGATCGAGGTGCGAGCCGGGGTTCTTCGGGGAGCTTGAGTCTGTCCCGATATCTCTTGCAAAGGTCGTCGTTGAGCGATCTCACCAATTCTGGCGGTAACGGTGCCCTGCTGACCACCCTGACTACTCTGAGAAACCATTTGGACGTAACGACAAGTACGCTCGAGCTGGAGCCGTTGCTGGACAAGAGACCAGCGAAAACCGAGCAGCAATTGATCGAAGAGATCGCCGAGAGAATACCGAGCTTACCGCTGAGCGATTGGTCGAGAAACAGCAAACTGACAAAACGGAGCAACGAGAGCTGCGCCAAGTACCCACAGATTTACGATCTGGAGTTTAACAATATCTATTGGCAAACTCTGCGAACCAGCAACGGCACATTCCAGTTTTTCGGTGCGTTCTACGACAATCGCAAGTTATCCAAGATCGGGCCGGCGGTAAGGATCGTTGGCATGATCGATCGAATCGAGCCGATCGTCAAGACGTATTGTCAGTTGTGGTACGAGGGCGAGAGCGAGCCCAAGATGATCGAGACGCTCGAATACAAGTACATTTGGTATCCTAAATGGGGCAATTACAAGCAGGGCATCTATCAGCCGTACGTGATAGCGTGTAGAGTGCCGCCGCAAGCGCACGGTAAGCCACCGTCGTCCGTCTCCATAGTGGAGAAGCGTTGCGACACGGCCACTAACCATCTCCGAGTGATTTACAACAAGCCCGAGCGCAAGAGGGACTTTGCGGTGTGCGTAAAGGGCCTGGACTTTCTGCACGAGGATCTGTCGGTCCGACTGGTCGAGTGGATCGAGTTGATCAGCTTGCTGGGTGCCGACAAGATCTACTTCTACGAGCTGCAGGTGCATCCGAACGTGACCAAGGTGTTGCGGCATTACCAGCGTCTGGGCATGGTGCACGTGACCCCGTTGACCCTGCCGGGCGGACAGCCTAACGTGCCCGCCTTCCAGCATATGTATCTCACGAAGAAGACCAATCACAAGCGGCAGAACGAGCTGATACCCTACAACGACTGTCTGTACAAACATATGTACGAATACGAGTATATCGCACTGCTGGACGTCGACGAGGTGATTATGCCCGTCAAGGACGCGACCTGGCAGGAGCTGATGCGCCGGGTGTTGCCCAAGGCCCTACAAATACGGAACGAGACCCGTGCCTCGTACAACGTCAGAAACGTCTACTTCCTCGACGACCTACTGCACTCTCACGGTTACTTCAAGGACATACCCAAGTAAGTAAGGTTTCCACTTTCACGCCGCACAAATCGACCGTCCGTGAAGGGAGCGCGAAGGCGGATGGCCGATGGCGAGCGAGTACGTTGATTGTCTCTCTCTCTCTCTCTCTCTCTCTCTCTCTCTCTCTCTCTTCTTTCCGACAAATTGACAAAAATTGCAATCGCCAAGGAGACACAATCAAACGAATAATTTTTTCCTTGTATCTTTTTGTAATTTTAAATATTTACGAGTCTTCCTTCGTATATTAATATCGCTGAAACAATCTACTTCTTTTTATTGTTGTAGTTTTGTTATCTCTAAATTGATCTCGAGTATCTCTATATGTAAGGAGTGGTTCATGGGCTGAAATTTCTAGTGTTAACTTGATCTTTTCCAAGAAATTGCAAGAAGCTCGCAGGAAAACGCATTCTTGATTCGAAAATTGTCCTCGCAGGTATATGCACATGCTTCAACACGTATACCGCTCCAAGAACTTTACGAAACCAAACCAATACATCAAGTGCTTCCACAATCCAGAACGAGTGGTCACTTTACACAACCATTTTCCGCTGGCGTGCCTGGGTGCAGGATGCACAAGTTACCCCATTGAGACTGAGGATGCGCAGTTGCAGCATTATCGCGCCGACTGCGTTCGGTCGCTAAAGAAAACCTGCGTGGAGTATCGGGAGAACAGCTTGATAGACACGACGATATGGCGTTACAGGGATAAACTGATCAGCAGGGTCACCGACACCCTCAAGACGCTCGGTTTCTTTGGCCCGAGATAGCGTTGGAGATTGATCTCTCTCTCTCTCTCTCCTATTTCTTACTCTTGTTTCTCTCTCCCATGAAGATTTGATCGGTCGTCGCGGGAAGGACAAAGGAAAGGGCTGTGCGCGGCGAGAGAGCCACGAGAAGCGATGAATCTATCAGCGGGAGGTAATTGCCGGTGGGACTTGAGTAGATTTAATCCAACAGATAATCGGGATCGGTGTAACCGGTAAAGTGGATCCGTTTCTAGTGACAGCGTAATATCGCGTCTTGTATTCTATGCGTCAAGAGCGTGTAAGAAGAGAGTAGATCCGCAATCTTTGTCTGATAATAACACTACAAATGTATACATATCGTGTCTTGCGCGACAAAATATTTTAGCCTTGTTCATTTCAATCTAATAAAAAATTATCAAGCGGATCTATATTCTACATCTTACAATGCTCAATTTACGCGAGTCCCACATTAATATAGAATTTTCGGGCGTTTACATAGTCCGTGAAACGAAAATTATCTCAAAGTTGAGCGTAATTGCACGCGGTTCGATTTGTCTCGACAATGAAACGCAAATTTTTCATTCAAATGGCAAATTGCTCGACTGGACTACGTTTGCGATGATGAAAAAAAATGCAGTATTCTCCCTCTTCCTTTTTGTAAATAATTTCTCTTAATTAAGTCTTATATATGCTCAATATGGAATACCAAGTCTGCGATTGATCGAACCATAGCCATAGCGAATAAATGCGATGTATTGGTAGATGGATTACAATTAATGTTGCGTATAATTTTAAATTTATTAAAAGTTAAATCGCGGGCTTTTACAGTTGTGCTTTAATCTAAAGAAATTATATGTATAAAAGACAGGTGAAGTAGCAAAATTATTAGTTACATTATAAGTGCGTCACGTTATAATGTCGATAATATACTTACGACGGCACAATGTGTGACAATTTCTTTTTTTTTGTTTAGTTTAATGTGACGTTTGAAATTATTTTTGGAATAGTGCTGAAAAATATTAGCCATTCCAACGACTGAAACGCTGTGAGATGTATAAGCATCGATATAAAACAACTTTTAACGAATGTTCCGGAGTCGCGAAGCGGTTTGCTTTTCGAGGATTTTGGGAAACGGAAAACAAAAGCTATTGCAACTGTTATCTCTTGATAAGAGAGAAAATAAATAGAAATAAAATAACAATAAAGCGCGGTTGGTGTACATGATCATAATCTCATAGATTATACATCTCAATGTTATTTCTATTTCAATTGGCGTTAGAATATTAAATTACTTAATATATGCATTCATTGATGAAAATGATGACGAGTATCGTCGTTTCTTTCTCTCGTCAATTTTTAACTGAACAATTTTCTTCGAGATTTCGAAGATTTGTCTATCTTATGGTGAACCTCGATCGCTTTCTACACGACAAAAATCGATTGCTTTTTACTTGGACGTAAAGTTCGTTTGTTGAAGCAAGAGGGTGATTCACGTTTCACCATGAGATATATATATATATATATCAATATAAAGGGACCATTGTAAATACGAGTCAATAAGAGTTAGAAAAGTTGATTCGCATGACATTATTGATTTATACGCGAAAATAAAATAATATTGTAATTTTTCAAGCTTGCGTGGGCTGTTTTTTAAACTGAAATATTGGCAGATAAAATGATATCTCTTATTTTATTTAATATAATTTTGCTCTTGCTTATACTCATTTAATATAATATGTGATAATATATAATACATATATTACGTAACGATATGTCTCATAATTATATGCCCACACGTCAATGCTTTTACTATTAAGAGTGAACAAATATTAAGTTGAAGTAAAATGATTTAAAAAGAGGACTATTCTTCGAATTTAGCTATTGAGAAAAATACAGTGAGTTTCTCGTATAATCAATATTCATGCGCTGTTTTACACGATGAAAATTTTGGTCTGCTGTAATAATTCTCAGAGATATAACATATTGAAAATGTCTGTTTGTAAACTAATAAATTATACTACGAGGAGATACGAAAAACTATCTTTAAAAGTCCTCTATTTATTATTAGCTTGCTTAACATTAGTTACGCAAATTTCTATCTAGGTGAATTATAATAGTTTTGGAATGTGTTCGCTCGATCTTGTTGCGATTGGCATCAATGTCATTTGAAATGCCTGTTGACTTATCACGTGTGTGTCCAAATTGTCGGATGTTATCACAGCGTGATGAGTCAGCACGCCGCTCGACATGCGTCAGGATAATCGATGGCGATTGCAATATAAGCTCCCATCAACTAGGCAACGACGTGATATACCGAAAGAGAGAGGCCTCGAAACGTAACTACAAACTTCCTATTTCCTATTGACCGACGAGTCGTTCGTTTCATTTCAAGTTTCCAAAGATGTTTTATCACCTCTCGTGACGTTATATGTAAAAAGAATTTCATGTAAATAAATTTGTAGCAGGAGACATCGAAGGATATGCTTTGGAGACAAGTGAGAATTTACAGATGAAAAACTCACAAGTATTGATATCGATGTACTGTAAATAGTTTCATTTTTATCGTAAACAATTTATATAATGCTAAACAAAAGATATTTAATTGATATTCCAAAACCGCGTGTGTATGTTACATTAAAAACATTTTTAAAAAGTCTCGAGATTATTATATTAATGAAAATTCTTAATGAAAATAATGTTCTCTTCTAAATTCTCATTTATATCTCGCATTTGCCTCAATCTCTCGTTGCCGACTGGCAATATTGCAGTATAGGATTTCTTCGTTTCTAATAAAATTATATATACATTATATATGTAGACGCGGCACCGATAAATAAGGTGACTGTAGATAGCCGACGAATAGCCTTCCGAGGGTATACACATTTTGCCACTTGATCTCGTTAGTTTTCTACAGTCAACAGAAAATTAATCCAATACATACATATGTATAATGCAAAATCCTTGCATTATGCACTATATGTATAAAGAAAGTAAACTCTAATACCTTCTTCTAAAAAAAAAAGAAAAAAAAGAAAAAGTTTATGGCTGCAATGCTAACAAATGGATATGTAAAAGTTAAAATTTTTTAAGAAGAATTACATGATCGATTTTCGGGCAGAGGTTTTTATATTTGACTTATCAACGATTACTTCGAGTTTCGATGATAAAATTTTCAGCAAAGGCGCAATTCTTGTGGCGAAACTCGAAAATATATTTTTGTGTTAATCATTTTGTGTGTTGCGCTCATCTCATCGATCCCGTTTTTCTCTGCAAATAGCCGTCACTAAAAATAAAGCACCTTCCCTGGTTGTCGGTTTCGTGGAGAATCGTGTTGCGCGATACTCCGATCTGCGCTTTGCCCCCGAAACCGTCGCCACGAGCGGATTTACATGATCGACGGCCTCATGTTTATTCATGTAACCTTCCGCATGGTCATATTAATACACGCCGCTGCGATAATTACCGATGCCGGACGTACATTCGCTTCGGCGTCCATCGCATAAGCGCGACATCACATTATTCATCAAAGTATATATTGCAGCATAGTTAATTTTTATTTGTATTTTTGGAATGTTTAGAGCTAGAATTTACAAATTTCTTACATTTCACTATCTCTCAATATTGTCTTTTCTTACGATAGTTTAAAGACCCAAGTTCCGTTAGACGCGAGAGTCTCTGATCGCAGATGGATCCGCGTGCGCGTTCTCCGCGTCGCTTTCCGAACAAAATTTCGACGCCGGGATAAATTTGGAACAACCGCCTCGCGGATGTAACTCAACTGCGCCCCACGTTTCTGCCTTAGTTTCGTGTCGAGGAATATGCGAGAGTCACACGCGTCTCTTTATGGCGGAAATCGTGCTCGGTTTGCGAGTGAACGTGTGGTTTATGCTGTGTCTATGTTGAAAGGTCCTTTGGAGTTCTAAAGAATCATTGGAGAATTTGAAAAACGATCGAAAGAGATTGATCTTTCGTAATTGTATGATTAACCGCAATTATCGTCACAGCTCTGATGTAACTTTAAACACTTTAATTAATCACCGTGTTTGTGTGCACTTTGTATACTTTTATAATTGCACTAGAATATTTTCTTTGGATTTTTAATTTCCATTTTTCATATTTTTATTATTCTCATATTTCAAAGTTAATATTTCTTTAACAAGCATTAATAATTTATCGAATGATTAAAATAAACAAGAGCTTTCGTAATGTAAATATTAACAAAATCATATTATTTAGATTAAAGCGAAATAATTCTGTAGAATGGGCAATAAAATTGATACAAAATATATATTAATATGAAATAAATAAATACACGCACACATACACACAATTCATATTTATTAAGACGAAAATTATCTTAATATTTTCAAACAAAAATGTAAATGCAAACCATTCTTGGGCGAAAACAATCAGGAAACATACTTGTTTTTTTTTAACGATTGAAACCTAAATATTTTATGTATCTCGAGGTTCTACTAGATATATCTGATACAAAATTACCGTTTACAACAATGATTATATGCATAAAAAAGGGAATAAAAACGGGATAAAAGCGTCGATTTTCCCAATATTTTCAATTTCTCATAATGTAGAAAATATGTGAATTTCAAAATATTGATAATGAAGCTTTGCTACATGCTGCGTATTGTTTTTGAAATATAAGTATATGGGAAAAATATTTTGCATTTAATTGTTTATAATAAGATTCAATGTTATAGTTTCAACATATACTTACGTGGTTATTGGCGGTTATGTAACATCGTTCACGATGTAGAAATTGAGCGAGAGAAAAATTGATTGAAGAAGCTTTCCGATCTTATAGCCTCTCTCTTTCTCATTTATCAGAGAATTAAGAATTGGCGCAATATCTCTCATACTTCAAAATTTTATTTCTACTTAGATTTTTGATACCTAAATTAAATTTCAAACTTTTGCAATATTTGTTCACTTTCAAAGAAATATTGCATAAAAATATTAAGAGTCCGACAACTACATTAATAAATTCATTATGTAGGACCGGAGAGAAAATCTAATTATTAGCAATTAAAGCTAAGTGATGAAGGTAAAGCGCGGTTTCGCGCTCACTATGTAAATGGAAAATGTAATAAGAGGATACCCACGATCTAAAGGAGGCAAATAGAAAATGCCACGCGCGCGAACGGAGGTGTTCGACGTGGTGGAAGTGGAGAAACCGTCGAGGTGCATCAAATTCCTCCGGCTGCTGTGGAAATTCAGCAGATGCGTCTTCTCTCACGTGACGCTAATCTCCTTGGTGGTTGCTTATTGTCTAATCGGCGCATATGCTTTCGAGTCACTGGAAGCGAATTACGAAAGGGAGGTAAATTGCGAGACTATATACAAATCTCAATTCGTTTTTCAAAGTTGATATTCATAATTACATATTTCAGACTCTTGTTATTCTTTTAATATTTTTATTATACATGCAGTTATAAATGTTAAATATAATCTTGTTAATTTTACTGGTACTTCTAGATTAGTAATTTAGTTGTGTAACACATTAAATAATATTTATCACGTAATTTCACTGCGGATCGAAATTTACTGGGACAGAAATTGATTCGCCGTCTAAAGAGAGAGAAAAGGGACGCAGACAAATAGTTTCTCCCATGTCAAATATTCTACGCTCGTGTCAATGAATTATTGCGACTGTCGCCGAGCGTCGCGACGCCGAGTAAGCGTACCTATCGTTCTTCACCTGCGCTCTCTTCGCAGGTGAAGAAGAGCATCAAGAGTATACGAGGAAACGTTTCGGAAAAGTTATGGGAAATCACCAAGGATTTCGACGTGTTGATTCGCGAAAATTGGACGGAGCAAGCGTTGAGCGAGCTGAAGGTACGTTTCGTTTGTGTTTTCCTCCGTAGTTTTACATCTGTTTTAAGCTTTACAGAGAGAATGGAAGCCGAAGCAGCTTCTACGATAATCATTAGAAAAGTAACACACAAATGCAAACTGTTACTCTTTTTATATTGACATGGTCCGAAAGATTATTTGTTAATGCGCAATGCAGAAATTTGAAGATAGTCTTCTGAAAAAAATGGAGAAGGAAGGATGGGATGGCAGCGAAGAGGAGGATAATATTCAATGGACATTCGCTGGTGCTCTGTTTTATTCCATTATCGTCATCACGACGATTGGTGAGTCAAAATTTTAAGTTTCTTACTTTCAGAAGTGTTGAGTATATTTATAAAAAGAGACGAGTTAGTAGAAAATTTTGTTTTCTAATTAGGATATTTAGGATTGTTAGGATAGAGAATTTTTGGAAACCGCTTTCAACTCTTTCTTTCGAATGATCATTTCTATGATATTGAACTTGCGAATCCCCATCCATTACTAAATCGAAATGATCTCTTCTTTATACCGAGGATGGTCCAATAAGGACCGAAAAGTATACATGCTTTTATAATTAAAATTATTTTATTAGACACTACAATCTTTTTTTATTACTTGATTTCATCCATATCTTTGTCACACATCTTTGGCGTCATCATTAACAATAAAGAATGATCAATGAAAGATGTTTCGAGCGACAAAAATTTGCTTATTTATCTTTCAGTACTTTCATACGTCTCTGGCTTCTCATTTGTCTGCGTTTGATTCTTGCCCAATGACCTCTCGTAGATGACATAATCGTCGAGTTCCGGATCATAGCCATATGGCTCGAACTCATTACGGTGACCATAACCGCCGTTATAGGGTCTTGAGTGATAGTCACCGAAAGACGGATGTTGGTAGCCGCTGTACGGTCTTCGATTACCGTAATAATTCGATGTCGGCGCGAAACCATTCGGTCTATGCTTGTGTGGCGCACCCTAATAGAAATTATTATTATTTAATGGACAATCCTATATGCATATGAGAATCGCGCGCGCGCGTGCAAGAAAATTTCGAATTACGTAAATGTATATAAAACCAGGATTGAAAATCAATAAAATCGCAATAAATATTTGTAACTTGTTCGCGATGACATTTCAGAAAATAGAATTTATCTGAATATTGCTTTTGAGAGTGCGTGAATAGATTTAAACTCTTTTCGTTACAGGATAATATGGATATTGATGCCCGCCAGACAATCCCGGGAATCTTTTGCTGTTGAAACAACAGTACTTCTTCTCTCTCGCGCAGTGGCCCTGAAATTACCAAAGCAAATTTTGTTAAGTTTTCTGGATTTGTCAATTTTTAAGCAAACTCATCAATTTTCGATCAAACTCACGAATTTCAAGCCGGGCGATGGACAGTTGAAACTGTATCTGCATTTGCAAGTGTCGAATTCGCTATAACGTGGATCGTCTCTGATCCATGGCGGTACTGAATCCAAAATGCCGTCGTGTCCATTCGGTTCGAAACGAGGAGGTCTGAAATAACGATAGTCTCTTTACATTGTTTTACATAAAAAACTAATATTTACTTTGGAAAGCATTGTCTTAATTAAAGAAAAAAAGCAAATCATAGAAGCGTTTAACCACGTAATTGACGTATGATGACAGTTTGAGGAGAAATAATTCGTTAACAAAGTTTTGTAGATAAAATAAATATGTTGCTGATAAGCCAGTAACTCGGGAATATTTCTCGTAAAATATTTACGGCTGCAGGACCGCGCCTTGTTTATCATCGTATGCAATTAAATGTATACGCGAATGGGGGGGGAGTTATCTATAAATTAAACGATCTCTGTGTGAAGAGGTGATGCTATACACATATTTCGATCGGATCATTGGAAATTTAATATGGAGCAATTGCTAGGGGGGACATACGATGGAAAATCCCATTTTTTCCGTGATTAATGAATCTGCTTGAAAAGATGCGATTTAGCAGAGACTCTGATGAGATTAAAATGAGAGTTGTTGAATACCTGCCAATTATTCCTGTTGGTCCACCGGGACCCACGAGGACACCGTTATTGCTTTGGTACCCCGGTACCAGCGGTCTGCTATTGGGACCGTAAGGGCCTGGATTCTGAGGTCTAAATCCTAAATGAACGCCGTTGTCGAAACTATCCAAATGTTCAGAAGGCTCGTGCACTAGATATCTAAAAGTTGCGCCCATGAGAAGGTACGGTAATATCCGGTTTAAGAATCACACAAATATTATACTATCTTTGTTTGAAAATACTATTGAATCTGTATTGCAGGAATATTCAACAATAGATATAATTGTGTTATTATCACAGGTGAAAGTACAATTACATTAATAATTAAATATGTTGTTATTTAATAAGTCAAAAATTGTCAGCGCACCTGGCATTGACGTCTCGGCTCGTCTTTTGTCTATCATCGTTCCAAGTCCAAGATTCATCATTCTCGGCGATTGCCGTCGCGATCATGGCGAAAACAATTGAAAACAACGCGCGCATTTTTATCATCTGCCAAGTGGCACTTGACGTAACCAAATTTAATATTTACCAAGAATGAGAGACGTACAGACACGCATAACATTCAACGTCGACTAAATAAGAGTGAAAGTGAAGCACGTCTTTATATATAGGTATGCATAGCGGGAAGGTGAACGCATCGCTTCATTTCGAGGTCTTTTCGGATGATAATCATCTGCGATCAATGGACTGTTTTCCTCTGTTTGCATGCAAATCCCCAAAATTTGGCTCATATTATGTGATTCTTGATAAAAATACAAGTTCAAAAAGTACATATTTCTACGCCGATAATGTACATTTGAATTACGCATTAAATTATTGTCATTTTCTCAACTACTTTTGTCTTATACTTTTCTCCGATCTTCCAACTGGAAAAATGTATCTATGAAATGTTTGATTCAATCGCTCATTTTTTCTTCTCACTAGTGAACAATTTCTTCAAATCTTGAAATATTTTTAAGTAATTAATTTTTGCTTACCATTTCTTATTCGATTTACAACAGTTGTAATTTTTTTAATGCGCGAGATGTGGTAGTTTTGCCATAGCAAACCTAATCACAGCAAAATTACAATGCGCGCGTTGATTTATAAGCATATTGTTATTGCGCGATGTTGCGTTGGTGGATCCGGTCGGATTTTAAGGCCGATTCCACTCCTTCGAACGCCTGTCCTTCGAACTGGGAAAACCCGGCTCTTCGACTTCGAAGGAGAGAAGTTGCTTGGTTGGTCGCACTAGTACGCGCGTTCTTTGACCTCCTTCTTAAAGTAAAATCAAGACACATGGCGTAACGTTAATTCCCTCGTCTCCTTCCTGTACGACAGCGAAATTACACCTCCATTAGAGATTTTCAGCCTTCACTTTTGAAAAATACGTCCTTCATAAAGTTATATTTGTCAACGAATCCGCATCAACGTCAAACGAAAACTACAAGCCATGAGCGTATATAAAATTATCTTTTCTCCGTTGTCAATTTGTATTAGCTTAAAATCATACCATTTTGCAATTGGTATTCTGAGATAAAATGAGAAAAAGATTTTAATTAATTTAACTTGTATAAGTAGATTAGATGGAATTTGTTCAATTTGGAAAATTGTAAAAAATGTAAAAACAAACAAAATTTTTTCCACTAAACTCTCTTAAAAATACGACTTTGATACGACAATGGCAAAAATTCATTTCTTCGTCAGGCCCTCATACAGGCAACTTCCTTCTTTTATATTTTTTTCCTTTTCGAATAATTTCCTGCCATCGACCTATTTCTCATCTCTCCCTCCGCTGCCACCCTCTCTTACACACAGAGGGACTGAGGGACCGAGACAGAGATAGAGACAGAGAGGTGTTGATGTTGATGTTGAGGATTGTCTCTGTCTCTGTGCTTCTCTCTTGGCTTTTTCTTCTCGTTTCAATGTTATATCAAGCTCAAGATGAAGAAAAAAAATTATGTCTTTTTGATATCTTTGAATTCTCGGAGATCTCGTGTATCAAGTTTTCACTATGAGAAAATGGAGTTTTTACCTTTCACATACTCTCGTCTACATACGGTACCATTTTGCATCTGAAATTTATACTGTATGCAAGGAAATTCTTCTTTTCTGATAGTTTTGGTAGAGAGAGAAAAAACTATTGATAATTGAACAAAATCAGATAAGAGAGAAAGATTATCACCTTGTCATAATGACATGTAGGAAGAGCTGTTTTTTACCGCGAAACTTTTTATCGTGCAAAGTCGTGAAATCAATCCCGTTCAAATTGCGTTCGCCGCACATTTCGACGTAGGATCGTAGTGATAAATGGCTTCTTTGGGGTAAAATTACGAAATTGGATCGCTGCTCCGGTTTTTACGTTTCTCGAATACGGATAAATTCATCCTTTCAATAAAGTGGAAAGATACTTGTTATGGGTGCAATTTTGACTAGGTGAACCAATTGTGAGTAACATAATAAAAGATCGATTGAGAAAGATTCTCTTCTGGAGACAGATATGTCGCGCAGAGAGAAGATCGTATATATGTATAAAATTAATTGATTCTGCTCTTGGAAACATTTAAATATTTAGCTTATTGCAAGTCAAATAACGACTTGAAAATTTGCCCAATCGAAATCATTCAAATAATTTGGATTTAAGAGATAGATAACATTGACCTACTTGAGCTAATTTAGTACTGCATAAACATATTATTTTATCTATAACAAGGATCATCTTTTAAATAGAAAATACTTATTTCTCATAATTTCTAATATTTTTTAATAATATTTTTTGGCACTTTAATGTCAACATCTCTCATTTCATAAAATTATTTTTTCATACTTTTCCTACAGATCCTTCATAATACACTTCCTCGGTCTTGTCAGACATTTTTCACATTTTTATTATATTTTTATTAATAATGGAGAAATGTGAATTATTTCTAATAATTTTAGAAAATAATTATAAAATACTCGATAACCGGGAATGCAGGTGACGCTGCCGAGTAATAAGTGTCGGGTGTTATGTAACAGACGATATAATAGTTTTTACGTATCACGAGTAAGGAATCTCGACGACCTTGACCCAGACTTGTAGACGAAATTGCGGGACTGTCTAAACCTCGAAGAAAAGATTCAAGGCCGAGGCTCGAGTGCAGCTAAAAACCTGAAGGACCCTGTCGACTCGGTTTTTCTAATTTAAGACTTTAGTCGGTGATTAAACTTGAATGTGATTTTACATATGTGCGTTTCACTGTTGATTCAGCAAAACGGTTTTTCACTCGTGAGACGACCTAATCGTACAATAGTGAAATTCTTATTACACCTCTCCTCGCAAATTCGTCTAATAACATTCATTGAATAAATTTGTGATTTAGTATAAAAATCTTTTCTTTCGTACACTCTGTATTTCTTTTTAGGATACGGTCATATTGCGCCGAAAACGAAGAATGGAAAAGTAGTAACTATTTTTTACGCCATCCTCGGCATCCCGCTCATGTTGCTCTGCCTGTCAAACATCGGAGACGTGATGGCATCGAGTTTTAGGTAAATAATTAGAATATAAATATGTATTAAGAAAATGAAAAAACACTTGCTAGTTTTTATTAGCGCGCTGAAAACATTTTGTTCCTATTTATTGTATTTTTAGGTTTCTATATTGGAAAGTGTGCTGTTACGTATGCACAAAACCACCAAAGAAACGACGAGGACGTAATAACCTGGTTAGATCGTATTCTGTTCGTCAACCAGGGTAATTTTATGTATGGTATAGAAATTAAAGAGAACAATTTATCCTTTCATGTAAAAATATAATAGAGGAGAAGTATGCACTATGTGATGTATAAAGTAAAAATGATGGTTCAGAGTGACGTATTAATGTTTTGCCCAAGAAGGCTACATGTTCTTTCCGTTGAAGGATCTTTCTGTTGAAAGATTCAATATAATCTACTGTTCTGATTCCATGAAAAAAAAACTAATACATGCATGATTTTATCGTTAAGGAGATATGCATCAAGCAGAGGCCCGTTTCGCCGATCCATCAGAGTGAGTCAACGATCAGCTGATTCGGCCTTAGGCCTCTCTGAAAGTATGACAAAGTCCTCGTACTCTGACACCGATTGTAGGTAAGACCGTTATTTAAGATACTTCAATTCGATTGTAAGTACAAGTAAATATTTCTAATTAATTTAACTATTCAACTAACGCAACGTTATGTCGGACAAATATGAGTTAGTAACAAAGATATTAGGAAAGATCAATTCTAGGTACATGTCTCGACGACCGGAAGCAGGTGAATCAAAGGCAATTGCTTATGCACCTTCCTCATGCACAAATCATCCAATGGAAATTAAAGCTGCAACTATACCACGTTATTCGGATATTCCAGTGGCGACCCCGAGAAGCGTAAGAGGTATTTCAAATTGAATAATTTCACCAATCGTTTACTTTTATTGGTTAATCGTGTCGATTTTAAATTGATTGTAAAGTTGACAGAGAACAAGTAATAAACAATTGTATCGCGATTTTGTAAAAAGAGATATTATTTTGTTGTCACGCGCAGACGATCGAAATAAAGACAGAATTAAATGTGGCGAATAATTAAATGTTATATAAAATTTAACCGAGTCTCTCTATTGTTTATCTCGTTTGTACATACGTTATTTACATAATAAAAGAGTTGCAAACGATATGTCGGTATCACACATATAAAATCACACCAAGTCACACACAAGCGAGAGACACACAAGCACAAATGCGCTATCGTCAGCCGGCCGCTCGATATTAATTAATTAATTCAAGCGCACATCGATTGCGCCGCATTGCACTCGTTATCAACTCATCGATTAATTAATAACTATCGGCTGGTTTGCGTTACTTTCATTATCGTGTACAGCTAGTCCGAGAATAACGACACAGTCGCTGGACAGAAAATTGCTGATGAATCCGAATGAAGCGGATCGCTCGCCAGTTTTATGCAACAGATACGCATTGGATGATTTGGAAGACGAAGCATCGAGGTGGCGACAGTCGCCACAAGATAAGGGTATTGCTATATTATATCCACGCTCTATCTTATGTAACGATACTATTATTGGTTGAAGATTGGAATAAATATCAGTGTGTTATTTAAGAATGATGAAAGGGATGTCTGTTTGAAGCGCTTGAAAGAAATTAAACAAAACGCGACGCTATTACAGCCGAGAACTCGGAGAAACCGCAAAGCAACGAAACGACCGAAGAGTTGGATGGCGTTGAAAAACGAACTTGCTTTAGTCCCAGGTCCTTGCCGAGGAGATGTCTTTCTGTCGAAGGAGCCACGACGACGAATCATAGAACGAGCTCGTCGTCAGGACCCCGACCATCTTCCATTTATTTGGAAATGGAATATATGAGAAGGTCACAGTCTACTAAAAGTAGACGTACCAGGAGCAATTATTCTGTCGGTGAGCGAATTAATGAATAAATGAGAGAGTTGAGTTTTCAACGTCAAGTTATCCTAAATTGTAATCGCAGTAGTAACAAGTTAATCTATCTTTCCTCAGCACGCTCTTACAAACGGGGACCACCGCCGTCGCCGAGGATAATGTCGCCGATGGGATTTGCCGTGCATCGACAGGTTTATGCCGACGATATTGATTTTGACTACGAGTACTCTACCTCTGCGGATGATCAGGAAAGGCAGCCGACCAAGCCTGTGCCTATTTGGCTGTGCGTCTTTCTTGTAGTCAGTTACATATTTGGCGGCGCTTATCTTTTCAGCGAATGGGAAAAGTGGCCGTTCCTCGACTCGGCTTACTTCTGTTTCATCACGTTGACTACCATCGGTTCGTTTCGCAATTATCTAGCTCGTTTTTTTTTTCTTTTTTTTCCCCCCGTAGTTGGGTTGATTACTGTCGAAAGCCGGCAAACTATAGACGATTTTCTAATAATTTTAAAACATCTTGCAACAGTTTGAAAGGTTTCACTTTGCTTATCTCTATCCACTTATTTATTGATCTTGCATTTATTTCGAACGTGATGACGTAAAACTCGACGCGATTTCCTATCTCTTCTATTTTAAGGTTTTGGCGACTTTGTGCCGGCATACAAGTTGGACGCGCAGAAGGGCATCGCCCTTTGTTCTCTCTACTTGCTATTTGGAATTGCCCTGTTGGCAATGAGCTTTAATCTGGTGCAAGAGGAGGTCATCAACAACGTGAAGAGCGTCGCAAAGAGGTTGGGTATCATCAAAGAGACCGACGAGGAGGAGGAAGAGGAGGAGGAGGAGGAGGAGGGGGGGGAGGGCGAGGACTACGAGGAATACGACGCAGAGTACGAAGATGAGGTCTATGAAAACGAGCCCAAGCTCTGATCTCGCGGTTTTCAGCTTACTATTCGACGAGATCGGGGACGCGAATCATCCGTCTTCGTATACATGCTATAAGATCCAGGGAACTTCTCGGTTCACGTCTCAATCGACATATGAGTCAGTTTCGTGCAGATACAGATCTCGCGCGTGGATCGAGTGATCTGGTTCTTTTCGCGCGAGTCTTGTCAAGAATTATTTCGTACATAAATGCATATAAAATCAATTTAGCTCAATTATCTTTTTCCACGTAAAAATACTCCAATTGACTATTTTCAACCTTTTCATATTTGAAACAATACGTTGAGAATATTATTATTAAGAAAATTACAATTGTTAAGTGTATATCAATGGTAAAGAGAGAACTGAACTACAGCTTGCAAACATTGCGAGCTGAAAATAGCGCTGTATAGTATTGCTGTGTACCTACATACAGGTATATACGAGTCTGAGAATTAGTTTCTATAAAATGAATAGGAGAACAATTATGGAATGCAATTAAATTTGCATACACTTTGCATATTGCATGGCTTTGATATTTAATCGACATTTGCATTTTGAATATTTTCCTTTCAGATTTATGTCCAAAGTTATTCGCAATAAGTTTTACGTTATTATTATATAAGTATCATTATAAACATTATATATTAATACAAAATTCGAATATTATTCACTAAATATATTATTTTTACAGAAATGTTTTATAAAAATTATCACTGTCATATTATACATATATATTTGTATACTTTTCTAATCTTCTTTGGCAAAAACCAAAGAAAAAAGTCTAGTCATTGTTCGGGAAGCTCCAACTTTGGCGTTTTCAAGAAATAGTCTAACTTGCCAGCAATCTCTTAAATTTTCTTCGAACGCACGCGACGCGAGTTTATCTTTCAGCGAGCATGATATTTTCGCGCGGCTTACTACTTTTCGCGCGCAGAAGATTGTTCTTACAATATTTTCCCGGACGCACTTGCCGCATGCAAAATTCACGCTTGCTATGCAAATCCCTTTCATCCCCTTTGCCCATACATATACGTACTCGTACATTTTCACTGCTACGCTCGCAGTCGCATTTCGTCGTTTAAATCGCGAGGACGTTAATCGTCTCGACGACGACGACGGCGGCAGCAGCGGCGGTATCCAGTTAACGGCTCCGGTTTCAACGATTCGATAATCGCGCGATAAAGCCCACTCAAAGAAGAAATAATAGTCGCTAAGAACTTTCGTTCGCGTCCATTACGAATGAACAATCCTGGCACGGGCGGAATCTGCATTTCATAAATTTTCAAGCCAACCTCTCAAGTGACTTTTCTCTCTCTCTCTCTCTCTCTTTTAGCGTCATAAAAATTCTTATACAATAGGTGTACACATTCGACAGGTACCTGCATATTGTCAGATTTCTAAAAAAAAGTATTAAATTTGAACATTTCAACATTTTGTTCACTTAACCGGAACGCGTTTGTCTACCGGGTGTCTGGCAAATCTAGCAATTTGATCGGCAACACGACCAGACCCAGGCGACTTGAACCCGGTTATTTTCAGCGACGTACTATTTCGGGATAGTGCATGTCGTGGCGCGGGGTGCCACGAAGAAATCAGTTTACGGGGAAACTTGGTCGAGGTAGGTCGTTCTACGTATGTTTGCATACCGGCAATTAGGGGCTCATACTCTGCCTCGAGCATCACCGAACTTGGACCTTTTCGTAAAATCTCAACGTAGTGCGCAATGGAGTATCGTTGAATGTCGAAAATTAATTGCTCGCTGAAACATGGATGTGTACACACGTAATAATAATGTAACGACAGTGTCACTCGGATGCCAAAGTCGAAACCATTAACGAACGTGTTCGTGCAGCTACCTCGAGGAGTCAAGGTCTTGACGAAGACTCGCGCCCAATACATTCGTATAATTATTCGCAGTGGTATCAGTAAGACTCTGAGAAAAAATGATCTACAAGAAGAAATGAAAATTTCAAACTTAATAAATGCGTCTTTCTAGCACGTGGCTTTTCATCAGTCGTTTATCTAGCGTAACGATATATGTATAGACGTGTGTCTCCAAGTATAAACGCAAAATCAAGCGAGATCGCGAGAAAGCTACAGGGTTAATGGTGATTCCTACCGTTCATCATCGCGCCTACGTCAGAACATGAAATTACCAATCTCTTTTCGAGACGAATGTTGATCAAGAATATACGGTACGCTGTTCCAACTAGATTTACACTATCAAGTATTTGATTATCAGAAACATCATTTGATAGAGCTGCTTTTTATAGAATAGCAAACAACTCGTTTTTCTATTAAAACTTGTAAATCCGATTAATTTATTTCCAACTTGCGAAAAGTCTCTGGAAAAATCACAGAGATTTAATTAAAGTCGGATTACACCCCGCGCCGACTTGGGGGAAATCGTCGATCATTTTTCGCGGGATCGTAAACAGTTTCACAATAGATTTTGTTAAGCGGCCAAGTGACTCGTCTCTCCCGACGACGTTCTCGATTCCCTGCGGATCACGAGCAAGTCAATAGCAGAGACTCGGAGAATCAACTGTGCCGCGGAGGCAGACGAGACTCGGAGATAGGACGTTTCCCATTAAATTTGCCCGGCGTAATTCTCCATTAGCCCTGGTCAATACTCGCGCATAAGAGTTGGCCATCTTCTTACATCGAATCTCCTTATATTCTGTCGTATCGATCCGTTACATACGGTTCTATTAGTTTGTTTGTACCAACGTTTTTGAAACTAACTTGAGGAAAAATCCGTACAACGCTTGAATGACTCGTGCATCGAAATTAGCAATCGAGATTCCTCTGGCCTTCGAGCGATAGAAGGAAGATGATATTACGGAACGAGTCAATTCTTCGGCTGCGGTTTTCGAAACAACAACGTGAATTCCTGCGGTGAGTTTGCGGTATTTTTGCGAAATCAAAGACGTGTTGCAATCGGCAATGAATCGTTAGAATCCAAGTAACGGCAAGAGAGCTCGACGATCGGAGAGAATTGGACGATCCGCAAGCGTGATGGTCACACAAGTGACACGATTGAGGTGACATCGTCGCGAGAAGTCGTCATTGTCGATGGAAACGGACAGAACGTCCCGTTCGTCGGCCAGTAGGAGCTGGCAGCGTGGAAGTTATCGCGGCCGGGGCGGAAGACGACGGAAACGCAGGCGGAAGCCGTGGGGTGAGCGGATCGCCGACTGGACCAGGGCGCTGATAGCCTTCCTCTTCAGTAACGTCGGCATCGTATGTCTGGTGGTGGGCTACACTATAGCAGGCGCCTTCCTATTCACCCACATCGAAGGTAGAACCAGCTTGGATGTCGCCAGTGATGTCATCAAGCTAAGAAATCTGACAGCCGCCACTCTTTGGGAGCTAACTTCCAAGGTGAACGAATCTTTTCCACAAGTGGCTATTTTCACTATTTTCACATTTAACAAACGCGACGCTATTGTTTATAGGAAAATGTCTTTTCGGAAAAACTCTGGAAGGCAAAAGTGAGGGACATTCTCGAGAATTACCAGAAAAAGGTAGTGTCGGCCATAAAAAATGGGTACGACGGTGTGGAGGAAAATAAGTGGACTTTTGCCGGTGCTTTTCTGTATTCTCTTACTGTGATAACGACTATCGGTGAGTCTCGTTTTTATCTATATCTATACATCTATATTTTTACACCTACACTCGCCAAGTCATGTCCGAAAATAAAAAGAATTTCAATTGTAAAAACGGACAGATTTTGAGTTGAAAAATATGTACATAAATCTTTATTTGTCTGAAATATCAGTTGAGAAAAAGACAGACTGACAGAGAAAAGAAGAGAGAGAGAGAGAAAGCAAAAGTTAACATGTTCATTAAATTATAGTGGCCATTTATATCGGTTTGTTTTTTCGAAACTACGTTTGAGATATTTAGAATGCAAAGTTGAAATTGACAAAATTATTTATTATTTTGTCGCATGTATACGTATACATATGTTGCATACATACACGTGAAAATTTGATGACAATTAAAGCTCTTCTGTTCGTTTGATAAGAAAGAAAACGCAAACTCATTTTGCTCTATGCCAGTTGTAAAATAAATTGATTGATTTAGTTATATCTGCTAGTGACGGAAACGTTCTCTATATGCTTGTATATTATTTTGATCGACTTATTATTTTGTTGAGAAATTTCTAAAAGATATATTTATATAAAAATTCTTTTATTCAAATGAATATTCAATGCAAAAACACAATTATAGAGATAAATTTTTTTAGTACCGGAAAAATAAACTTATTGAAATTCTGTCAGTCTTAATTTCCGAAAAGTCAATTTTTTCGTCGATGAATAAGAACGCAATGAAGATTTAATCATTGATAAAAATAAATAAACTAATAACGAAACTGTAAATTTCACGCCATCGATTTTCGTAAACATAGCGTTTGATACAAAAGTTACTTGGTGAGGGTCTATCGAGTTCTAATGGGTCAAAGGAGATCGAGTTATCGCATCGAATCGAAAAATGGACGCGAAACGACGAATAGTTACTACTATCCAGGCCACGAATAGTACCCTGAGACGTAGGATTTATCATTTCCCGGCGCCACGGCAATGAAAGGATAAAGTGATATTAATGACTTTAACGTGATGCTGGCTTTGTTCTCAGCGTTGTGCGTGCCACACCGATATCGGCATACCCCATGTACGAGTTGTGCGCAAAGAATATAAATCATGATTACTTGGCGAAATTACGCGAAAGGAATTGTGCGATTCGTGAGGCTATCGCATAAATTAGAAATATAGAAAAGTATTGACGCGCGCGGCCACGGATATACACCTCTATTAAAATATCTACTCTAATATAAATCTGTATTTCAAGTCAATGTTACTCCGATAGATGAAATTAACGTAAAAGCTGTTGTATAATAATTTAATAGATATATATATAAATATTAAATAATTACGATACACCACTGACCATGTAATTAAACCACCTGATAATTTATATAACTTTAATAGGATCACCACACAATAATAATTGTTGCAAGATTTATTGCATTTTGATAATTATTATACCGACTGAATTATAGCACACTGTTACTTGTGGCTGGAACACTATTTTGGGGGAGTTGCGCGTGAATATCGGAACTGAAATTCGTGCGAGCGCGTGCCGAAATGACAATTATTATCCGAGTGTTGGATAATTGACGCAAGGCAAGGCAAAGTTTGGATTATAACATTGTATTATTTAACGATACGAAACATTGCATTTCCGTGAAATATAGCGTTGATAATCCTAAATACAGTCTTTTGCAATTGATTCGCGGACGAGTTCGATGAAAGTCGCGCGAAATTGGATTATATTGCTCGACCGTACTTGCTGTACTTGCCTCGTATCCGACGTCCTTCGTGGCCGATCGAATCGTTAGCAAGAATTACTTGTCGTACGAATTTGCGGACTGCCGAGGACTTGGTTAGGCCGGAAATTAATTAACGCGCGCTCCGATCGTTCGATTCCCCAGGAGGATCGATCGCTCGCGTTCGTTCGCAAGGACGTCGCTATCAAGGATCGATGTTCCGTTTCGCTATTAATTAATTTCTTTAGCGTCCATTAGGGTTAGTCGAGTTAATCTGCTAGACGCCCTAAAAGAATCGCAATATTCGACCAAGACATCGTGCAGAATCCGTATCCGCCATGTAAAACAAGTTGATTTGAAATGAGCTAGCGATTGATTAATTCACCTTTCTAAAAATGTAGATTGACACTTGCTTATCGTTCCACTATCGAGAATTTGAGATACAATAGCCGTAGTATCGCAAAGGGATGTGGAAGATAGTTGGTAATACAACGCGATATAAATCAAGCGCGACAGCGATTGTCCAACATCACCGGCAACGGGCATAATTAATTTTCAGAGGTGATCATTTCGCCGTTAAACTTGTTGACAAGCCGATAAATTGGTGCCGCGACGAAACCTCCCGCGATTAATTCTCACGATAATTGATCGCCAATTCGACGACACTGTCGCGTCGATCGCCCTCGTCGTTTTAGACGGAGAAATAACGAACGCGTACGCACAAGTACGCGCGGGATATCGGTTTCCGTATTTTTGGTTAATCGCCAATAACTCCCTGGCCGGAGGCCCGACCCGGGCGGACCGATGTCCCTGATACGTCTCGCGCGTGATACCTGTTACGTGCGTGGCAAGACAAGCGTGTCGTTATGCCGATAACGCCATCCACGTCGATTCGTACGCTTCAGCATCCGAGGCTTCTAATTAATCATCTCTCGTATCAATCATAGTCCCGAGTATAACTTACAAATTCATTTTTATTGGAAAAATTCATCTCCCCTCCCTCTCTTTCCCTCCTCTCACGGTTATTCCAGTTTGTATATTAATTTATTGGCCCTGATTAACGGCTATTTTATTTCAATTTTCAACTTTATCACGTCATAATCCAATCTGTCTCACGTGCTCTCTGCCGAAACATACTTTAAATCGCCCCGAATGGAAACGAGTGATATGACGAGTGCATATATCATGTTAATTTATGTCATGGCGTGTTGCAGTAAATCATTGTGGAAACGAAAGAGGATAAAATCGGGCGATCTCGGCTGCCAAAATTGTCAGTTAGTGAAAATGATAAACATCGCTGGCGGCGCACGTTATGCTTCGCTACGTGGTTATCGGCGCTTTAGTATTATCATGCACACCGCTAAACCTAAATGCACACCGCCGACGTACATTTAGCGTCGAGGCTTTTACATACGAGTGCTCGCGAAATGATCGGAAAATCTACATCTCCACTCTTGCCATTTTTCTAAGCAAGACTTAATAAAACACGTAACATTGCGCATTTCATGTTAATTCAATAATTACTTCCAATTTCAATCAATTCTATTTAGTTTACATTTTGCTAAATCGTTAACGCCCGCCGTTCTGAGATTACGTAATTGGTAGGACGAAATCGATAATAACGAATGGGCGAAACGATTCTTTCGCACGTATCGGGATTCGGAACGGAAAAACTTTATCACCCTAGCAAAGTCGAGGATGACGTTTCTATAAATACCGTCGACGCTTAATTGAGTTTGAGATCGCAGTGCCGACGTAAGTATCGTTATTCATTTACTGATGGATTTAGGTTTGGCAATAATAACCTGATGGCCGTCAGTGATTTTATGTAACATCGTCGCCGTCGACAAACGTCGTTTTGCTCGACAACGACAAACGTGGCTACATGGTTTTAAGGAGGTTGTAAAAAGAATTAGAAACGTTAAGTTTTCAACAACATTTATATAGTTGAAAGTTCAACATTTCTTAACGTCACTTTAATGCCACAGTGAAAAATATTTTATCGCTAAAAGTAATTCTCTATGTGTATTTTATCCAGCGAAACACTTGAAACCAACTTGAAACGTGACATAAAAAGAGTCTATTTTGTGCTAAGTTTTGTCCTATTTATATGAATAAATTTCAATACACGTTTCGATATCGATTTGTTACTTACTGCGGTTCTACCGTGATCCAAATTTTTATATTGCAAGAAAACTATATACGTCATGTCATATTTTTCAAATCTTTAAAGGTACCTTTAAAACGATTAATACATTCTTTATGTATTAAACATCAATTTATTTAGTTTTCAACACCTTTAATAGTTTTTTTTCTTGATAATTGATGCGATATCGAGTTTTTCATTAGAGAAACTTTCTTCATTCTTATTAAAAAAATGTGTACTTTATTACAAGTGTCTTTAAGAACCAACAGGTGAAAAAAAAACTAAAAAAATGTATGCTATGTTAACATTACTTATAAAAGATCTTATATTTTAAATGTAATGCAATTTTTACATTTTTTCTAATTCTCCTTGCGAGCTTTCGTTGTGAACAAACTAACCAACGCACGTGCACAGTCTGCAGAAATGCGAAGGGAGTTTTTTTACCGTTTAACAAACTGTTAAAGGAAATTGCACGCATATGTATAATACATATTCCAAGTTACATGGTTGGACGCCGGGAAAAAATGTTGTACGTGCAAAACGGCCGGAAAGTCAAATGTCAACGGCGATACGTAACATAGCTCGTCGATAAACTTGGGACTCATTCTATTCGTATGGCCATTCTACCGTCGAGAACTTCCTGTCTCTCTCAGTTTTTGATGCCTCCTCCTCCCCACACACACACACACACACACACACACACACACACTGGGCCTCGATTGTTTTTATATACGTGTACCACGCAAATTTCAGTGATATTTTATACGTTCCACAGATGCCGACAAATCGTAGTAAAAACTGACAATGGAAGAGCGCGTCGGCCGTGTTCTACGGTTCTCTCGTGATATTCTTCGTTAAAAGTCGTTAAAACTTCTTTAACGTCTTCTAAATGACTGATAATATGGCTTGTGTATTTTTCTCCCGTTTACGATCGAAAACGGCTCATAAATGTTATTTCCACCCATTAGACAACAATAATGGTTCATATTTTCGCTGTCTTTCTTTACTCTCTTTTTATTAATATAAAGATCAGCACGTACATTAATTGTTCTTAACGCAAGCGTGACGTTGCTTGATAAATTGTACTAAATGCGTTAGTAATTTAGAGTAGTAACTTTTTATTTGCAAAAGATTTGCAAAAGAGTTTTGTCTGCAAAATTTGAATATCTTAAAAATTTACAACAAAATCAAACTTTGAATAAAACTTGAGGAAAGATGACAGTTGCTTGAATTGAAATGAGACTAAAGATTTTCTAAGATGGTTATATTTTTATGAATACTTGAATTTCACTTTCAATTTCTTATGACTCCGATATTGGATTATTTAATAAATATATTTGTTATTAGAAATCAAGTCTGGAAATACTTAATACATGCACAGCGGTTTTATGCACTAGCATTCGTTGACTCGTATAACACGACATTAATTTTCGCGTGTATATGGCCCATTATTTCCGCTTTCATTTCCGACTATGAAACGTGCGCATATTACATTGTGCAAAGGGTAAGTCGAAAGTTGTACGAAGAACTTTGTTCCCATGTTTTTCATTCAAAAATAACGAAAAAAGAAGGAAAACTGTTGGTATTAAAATGCAGCAACAAACATTTCCGATTTATTCAGAATATTTAAAGCCCGTAGAAACATATATTTACTCTTCATGTGGTACACATATTCTTCTACATATCATTGACGTTAATTTTCGGATAAGACAAGTTAGCAAAATTAGAGTATGGAATATTTAAGCGTGTCTTTACCTCTCTTGCATTCTTTTGCTTCTTCAACTTCAAAGCTTCGTTGTTCACGTTCACCAACGTGAAGTAGAATGGAATTTGCGACACTATAAAAGTAACATCTTCATTTGTGGTCGCTTCAGGGGAGACCGTCGAGGATTTAATCCTTCTAATGTTAAGTACACGTAATAGAGCGCAGTAATTTCTACAACACATTGTAATATTTTAGTTACGATAAAAAAGAAACTATCTGTATTCTTTCATCAGTAAATAGATAATTACGTTTGATCGTGTAACCTATTTTATAAAACTAAACAACATTATTTTAATGATAACAACTCACGTACGTGTCACGATGAAATATATTGTAAGTTATATTCTGTTTAACTTAAATATTATTTTCTAACAATTTCGTCATCAAGTTAGAGCAAACTATATTTATTTACATTGAATATTTATAATGTAGATTACTTTCTTTTTTTTCCGTTTGTTTTGTAACAATAGAGTTTTGAGAATAAAAAGGAATGAAAAAAATGTGTACCGAGCCACGATATCTCTCGATTGGATTAACAAAGTCGGTGCTTCGTTCATTCGTCCGTCGACACGCGCATTAAAAAGTTACGCTGAAAAATGAGTGTAGCGCGAGACCCATCGCTGCCCGTTGCGCAGTTTTGGACGTCTGGACGCGGCTGATCGGCTCGTTGTGAATCGCGCATCGTTCAACGACACTTGGTTTTCGTTGTCAACTCGTGCTGTCGAATTAGAGATATTCTAGGATCACGACTATACAACTTGATTTTTATCTCCCACTTGAATTTAGTGGTCACTTTTCAACGCGGCAAAGTAATTTAACCGATAAGAGTACACGTAAGATATCCGTGTTTACAGGATCCTAAATTTTGTACTAAAAATATATTTGAGAGAAAGAGAGAGAGAGAGAGAGGCGTTTCTGTTTTTCGCGCGTAAGTCTCGGCGCAAAACGAGTGGAATGTGCGCACTGTAAAATGTCGATATGGGTGTCGCAGAGTCCGCACCGCGTAGACGCGGCTTTAAACGTCCATTTACTGCAGGTTTTATCGCTGTCATTTACAATCGGCCACGTCGTCGTTTTATCGTCGCTAAAAGACGCTAAAGCCCGCGCGATCGGACGTCCACTCTATCTCGGTCGCGGCCGTATCGTAAATCGTCGGGGTGAGTGTCGATTTTCGACACAATTAACGAGATCGATGTGCCCCCGTCCTCTTCGAAAAGAGCGACGTCAGATTTCAACAGCGGCGTTAGACGTGTATTATGCTAAACTTTGAATCAAATTTTCCTCAGAGGTGATACAAATGTAGATATGCCTAGTACATCCGATTCTCGACTAATGTTCGTGGAGCCGAGCATTTTGCACGCGAGGTTCAAGTTCGACGTGTGGTTCCATGAAGAATCACGCTGAATGCATATTGTATTTCTCTATTTCTCGCATATTTGTGTAAATACATGAACAAATATGAAAAAGCCTTTTTCGCTTGATTACAAGGCGCTTCAATTCGACGACACTTTTTGGCACTCGTTGCTGCATACTTTTTGCTCCTCTTGAGAATGATGAATGGTTGAAAGGTAAAAAGTAAAAAGGCGGAAATATCAAGAGAAGTAATTGTTATATTCGCTAAATCGCGATAATAGTCATTGGTAGATTACCATGAAGCCTCCTTCATCGAAGAATCTCTGTCTATAATGCGGAAAATCACTTGGTCGTAGGAAACGGCGCATATTTCTTCAACGCTCGCACAGAACTTGTAAATGGTGCGGTGCTTTCTTTCCTCTCTTTAAGACTTTTTACTTGTTCAGTCTTATGGGACACATTTCGCCACCTTATGAAACATGAAAATGTCCGAGTAGATTCCTCGGGATTGTTTACGTCTCCCGCGAGGTAAACCTGAAACTTTGAGTATCCCATATAGCACACGCGGTCAAACTCTCACGAATATGTCTGTTGAAACAAGTAACATAGTTAGCCGAGGATAAGCTACTTGGTAAAGAAATAATCTATCGCGCGAGGTACGAGAGACTTTGAATCGTAAAAGTGAATTGATAAATTCGTATTACCGCGGGCAATAAAGAAATAAAGGAGGAATTAGTTGACGTATGGGTGAAGGAAGAAACAGAAAGGAGACAAAGTAACGAAGCAACGTAGCAATGAAGCTCGTCGATAAACTCACTTGCCGCGTTCTCGTTTACTGCGCAGGTTACGGCAACATTTGTCCCAGAACGAAATGGGGCAAAGTCGCGACTATAGTTTACGCGATAATAGGGATGCCGCTTTTCCTTCTCTATCTGAGCAATATCGGCGACATTCTGGCCAGAAGCTTCAAATGGATCTACGCCCGCTGTTGCTTGTGCAAGTAAGACCTGTGTTCTTTTCCTCGCAAAAGTGTCCGCGTTCCCATTCAGCATTTTCTCGATAGCTTAACATGAGATTTGAAAGCGTCATCGTGGAATTAATCACGATCGATTTTTAAGATGTCGAAGCAGACGGTACGGCGCGGCAAGTGCGAGAACGTCGGAGGTACCGAACGATCCGGCTGCGAAAAGAGACAGGTGGCAGGTAAGCGACACGATCGTTGCAACCGAAATTAAAATCTGATCGCGCTCTAACAAAGAAATTTCTTTACAGATTGTAAGCTCGTATGGTGGGGAGGTAGACACGTCGAGTTTGGATGTAGAAGAAACTTTGGCTAGAGACGACGACGTTAACCAAGGCGATGGCAACGACGACGACGACGAAAGCGAGGAGAGCAACGATCCTCAGCACGTGACGGTGCCGTTAACTCTCTGTCTCGCTATTATGGTGGGGTGAGTATTTGGCGAGAGATATATATTTGCTTACTTTGCAAAGTTATGCTTTACTTCTTCTTCCCGATAGGTATATTTGGGGAGGCGCAGTTTTGTTTTCAATGTGGGAGGATTGGAACATGCTGGACGGTTCTTACTTCTGCTTCGTCTCTTTGTCGACTATAGGTTTCGGCGACATCGTCCCTGGCGACAAGATCTACTCCGGGCAGGGCCTCGATTTGTCTTTCATCATCTGTTCCATGTACCTGATGCTCGGTAAGTTTTCAATATCAATGGAAAAGTTAGAGAGCTTTCGTCTCGAATCAAATTTTCCCTTACAAAGACGATTGTCATTAAAAGTGGTAATATTATTCGATATTTAATCGTGTATTTTAATCGTCAGCAAATAGAGGTAAACAATGGAGAAGGCTAGTTTTGTTCTTTTTTTAAGAAATCCGATTGCCGCACAGAATTTTCGACGCTCAACGCTGTGGCGCGAAGACAATCGTTTCAAAAGGGATCAACCGCTTTAAATCCTGCAACACGATTGCACCCGTTGCTATACAGCTTTCCGTGCTGCGAGCGCATTAAGTTCGTTTCAATCAATACCCGATTGCCGGGCAGATTTTTCGCGGAAAATATTCAAGTGCTTTCGACCACTTCCGTACGAGCGGCGCTCTCAATTCGTGCAACAATTGGCGCAATAATATCCGTGATGCTTAAAATCACACTCCAATCTAATATTCGATACAGACTTTACAGAGAGACGTCGAATCACTCGCTGGTAATTGATTGGTATTTTCAGGAATGGCGCTGATCGCTATGTGTTTTAATCTCATGCAAGAGGAAGTGATGGCGAAAATACGTAGCCTAATGCGCATCGTCAAGTACATCTTCAGATATGAAAGATGACCAACGAGTTTCCATCGTGATCCCGCCGATCACCGAGATAACCGGTGAGTTGGCAAATATTTCTCTCCTCGCTCATTCAATAATCTGACTTTGCGATTTTAGTAATTGCTTTAATTTTGTCAAAACTGTACTCTTATGCTAAATAGTACATATCGTTGCGTGAAAAAGACTGCTTGCCACTGAATGCGATCCGTGCGAGCAGAAAGCAATTCATGTTCTCTCTTTCAACTCTCCTTCTCAAATACTCTCGCGAGGCGTAGAGGCGTGAGCGAACGGAGAGCGAGAACAATGTGACACAAAGATCGTAAACGATAAATTCTGCACGACTGTTCCGAGTCGCGAGAGGAACGCGAGTCATGCGCTCGCTCTCCTTCGAGAGGCCAGGCAAAAGGTTTATGAAAAAGGAATTAACGTTTTGTGATCGTTTTGCTCTTGTTAAACGAACAAACGAATTTTATGAAATGTTTCTTTTCGCCAAAAATTGTATCCTTTCTAAAATTGCACGTTGGGGAATTTTTCCTTCATCCCTTTATCGCATCATTTCGGCGCGAGAGTAGAGATCGGACGTCACCGCGTGAGGTACCATATATCGAATATATGTATAAAATGTGTGTGAAGATGTGTATGTGCTTGATGGACGATATCGAAGCTGTCGTTTTCGCGTCGAATTACGCAGAAGAAAAGGAATCGAGAATGAAGAATCGAGGACCGGCGGGGACGTACGAGTCGGACAGCTAAGAAGGTGCAAAAGCTAAACAAACATCATGCAGTGTAGAACAAAGGAAAAGATCGTAGGATGATCGAGTATCGCAAAATATCGAAGGAACATATATGGGATGAAACGCGATTACGATGTAAAAGTGGCTGGTACTCGTAATTGTAAATAAAATCTCAAGTATCTCTTATCGATGGGACATATATAATAGATCAATTTCAACGTTCCCGTTTTATCGTCCCGATCGATCGCTCGTCGACCGATGTCCTCGTCATCGATAGGACAAAAGTGGAAAACATTTCGACCGGATTATTTATTACGATCGTAAGAGCAAAGTACGATGCAAAATGCACAAGTCAGATATAAACGGATTTGTACTAAAAACGATTGGCCCGTTTACCAACCATCGATTTCTTTGCGCCTCGCATTCGTTCGAGTTGGCGACTCTTGTCAACATTTTAAACAATGAGATCATATCGGAGAAAATCAAAGGTAACTAGTTGATAACTTGTGACGAAAATTTTGCTATATCGTACATGATATATAGCGAGGAGGAGCGAGAGGTCTGGCATATCAGTGATCGTTTCGCGCGTGCATCGTCATCTGGAGTCGCGTCAACAAAAAAATTGGCGAACAAGAAATGCGAATACGAAGACAGCCGTAACGGGAAAACTTTCTAACCAAGTTTCTTTGATCTTTGGCGAAACCAACGTGGTTTCTCATCGTACGTAATCCAGGAAGGAAGATAAAAAGTGCATCGATACGAAATAGAAGCGAAGAAAACATTTATAAAGATGTGGGGAAAGAGGTGAAAAAGGGATCCGGTAGTAAAGAAGGAAAGAGGGAAAAGGGCAGAGAGAGAGAGGGAGAGATCTGAGGAGGTCTGAGCAGGTCGACGGAACGGGGCTGCGACTACGCGTTTGGGGCTCTCCGTTCCTGTTGTACACTTGCCGCACATGCGCCACAGCCACCAGCCACCAGCCACCAGCCACCCCCGGAGACATCGGAGAGCGATCCTGCGCCCTGCCGCCACTACGGGGGTGCGTCCGCACGTAAAAGCCGGCGTACGCTCCTCGCCAACGACTCGCTCGCTGTCGTCGCTCGGCTCGGCCTCTTCGCATTTCGCTCGCACTTTCCCCCCGACTACGACTTGGTCTTTTCGATCGAAGCTCGACCGCGACCTCGATCCGAACAGGAAGATCTCGTCGATCTCTCGTCGTCGCCGAGCTCGTCGAATCCGCGCTTTATCGTTCACCAGCGACAGTTCGGTGTCGGTGTCGGCTCGATACCCACCAGTTCCGAGCTAAACTCGATGTTGAAATATGACAATTGTTTGAAACGTGAAAAGTTTTACGGAAATGTTTCTTGGAACTTATCCCAGTGTATCTGCCGCGAGGAGTGATTTCTAAGCTGGAGGAAGGATTCGCGGAAACGTCGGCCGCGAACGAGGACACTCGTCGTCGTCGTCGTCGTCGTCGTCGCCGCCGTCGTCGTCGTCGTCGTCCATAGCACCCGATAGGGTGAAGCTCGATAGAGCCCGCGTACGTTTGCGCTGGAACGGATATTTAATACGACGAGAAAGTGCATTCGACAAATCATTCTCGATCGAAACCATGGTGAAGGATTTGTACGTAGCCAAGAACTTGCTTGCGGCCTCCTACACGTCATTGTCCCATCATCTTTCATGACGCATTCAATTCTTATATCGAGAGTATTAGATTAGCTGTCGCTGATATGACGCTGATTCTTCCAAGATAAGACGAGATGGAACTTGAATGTGGAATCGAGTGAGTAAATAGATTTTTTTTATACCATTGTAACGATAAAATTCAGCTTTTTTCAATTTTCCAATTTTTATTAACTTGTCCCCTACTCGCGATTCATTTTATTCAATTTTTATATCCCGATTCCTGATCGGTTAAAATTAATCATCTTGCGTGTCCAACGATCGAGCGTTCATTTTTCATAAGGGGCGCTTCTCCGAGACAGCCCCTCGGGGTAAAGAGCGGACGTGATTCGGGGCGGTCAATGTGCTTCGATTTAAGAATTCTTCCAATGATGCCCGTCACCGCAGCAGACCGAAAACGGATGCGAACCATTAGGTATAATCAGTGTGAAATAATCGGTTATGCCATATTTTTTGAGAAGACGCTCTCTTTCGCGATCCCAAGAGAAGCATGTTTTCGATCTTGATCCCTTTCGGGGGAGCAAGCGAGCCCAATCGAGCAGCGAGTCGCTCTCTTCGGTTGAGTCGACTTATCCATCGGGACATACCTACATCAAACATAAGCGATACAAGTCGATTTTAGTCAGTTCGTGAATGATACGAGTATCGTAGAGCACGTTGACCATAATGTGACGTTATTATTAGTGTTGATATAGACCACTTATAGTTGGAAACATCTACGCAGTGCAGCGTACAGGGTGACACTATAACCGTAAATAATATATTATGTACGATGATGCAAAAATATTATAACAACGGACCGATGCGATTGGTTTCTCATTGAAAAGACAAACGCGGATCGTTTGGAATAATCGGCGCTTCTAGGTGCGATTTTACGAAACTGCGCGCGAGAGAGAACGGTGGGATAACGAACAAGTTTCTTCCACTTTAGTGGTGCGATATGTCCCGCGAAATCACCGTGGGAATTTGAGGACCGTCGTCGGAAACGCGAAAAGCAAGAATAAAGAGCGATCGCTAGCAAGCTGTGTGGTAAGTTACGGGGTGACAATCAAGCTTTTCCAACACCTTTCATTGGAACGATACATTTGTTAGTATTTTTAGGGTTTCGCTCCGCTCGAGCGCTCGCGCAAATTGGCGATACGGATTATTTACCAAGAAAAGAGATATAGAGTACAGAGAGTACGAGAATAAACTTTTTCTACATAAATTGATTTATACCTGTGATAGTGATTAATTAACAAGGTTAATTCTTGCTTCCTGATAAGAGCACCTCGGTAATGAACGTGGTGTACGCGGCACTTTCGAGGATTAAAAAAGGAATCTGATTATGCTGACAGATTATACTTATCTCGAGCTGAAGCTCATGCGAAAATTGTCCGAGCGAGATTGATGTGGCACTCGGCAAAATTTGCATTCGCTTACACTCCTCCTTATTACATATATCGCAAGAAATATTACGTCCCTCGAAGGTAAAGCCGAGATTCAATTACGAGCAAAATCGAATTTAAAAGCGTTTGTCTTTCCGGCTCGACTAGCAGCTCTCACTCGAAAGCAAAGCGGGCTCTCCTCGGGCAACATTTAACGTCCATCTCGAGGATTACGAGCTTTACACGAAGCTCATTAAATTTTTAACATCTCGCTTAGCAAACGATAGATATATCAAACGAATAAGCGCGAATGTAAGCGAAAAATCGCGTTTCGTCGAAAGTTTTCGAGTTTACGAGCAAATTTGTTTTTGTTCCAGACAGAGTTTTCCCTTGAGCGTCCTACAAATTATGCCCTCGTTTTCTCGCGGATCGACAAGTGGATAATCCAAAGTGATATATGCCACAAGTAAATTTGGTCCTCTGTCAAGATTCGCCTTAGATAGAATAAAACGAACGCGCTCGATATACAAATTTGTCACTTTGATATAATCTCTTTTTAAATTTCCTTTTACGTCTCTCCTCATACATTTTTATACAGTTTTAATTATTCTACCTTTATATATGTTTCTTTCGCTTCGCAAAAGCAACGCAATAGTGCTTAAAAAATGTAGTTTGCAGGAAATATTTCTATCGCGCGCAATGCTACGCGCCGACCGTCGCGTCGACTCGTCGCGTTGCTGAAATTTGAGTAAAAGCGCAGGTGTTGCTGCAGGCTAGATAATTCATAATGTCGAAGCGCGTATAGTTGTCACTTTGCCATACAGAATCCCCCTTGGGTATTCTTTTGTAAGAAGACCCTTTTATTTCCTCCCTCAGCTACTTCTCCTTCTTGTTCTTTCTACCTCATTTTTCTTCGACAAAACTTTATATCGAGAAACTGCATAACGAGTCTTTCGAAGCGATTGGTTCCATTCGTGTGATATAACATTTTTAGGCATTATTTTGTGGTTTTCCTTCTTCTTTTTTTAGGGGGGGGGGGGGGGAAGACGCGTTGACAATGCGTGAATTAAAGAAAAGAATACTTTTATTTTGCAACTTGTTATTTTCAACTTTAGAGCGAGAAAAATTCATTGTTATTAAATTGCTCGAAAGTATATAAATAATACCAACTCTCCTAATAAATTGCATTAATTAATACCTATTAATTCCAATACCAGATAATCGTAGAAAGAAAGAAAAAGCTATTCCTCGACATATTTCTTTGTACTATATATTGTAGTATGTACATGTATGTATATTCTGTCTTGTATGAATTCCTCGATAACTTGCAGCTGTTCAATTTTTCGAATCGAGCTTTTTGTAGGTTTTCTGCAACAAACAAATCCGGCAAATTGCAAGAAATAAAAGCAAATTGTCGTGTCTGGCAACATACTGTCATTGTCCTTTTCCATTCTAATTCTCGCTGTTGCAAGGGTTTTTGCAATTGAATAGCATCGACAGGACAGTCAGTATTTTCCAAATCCTCCGATTTGGAGAGTTCTACTGTTGTACATATTAGAATAGGGTGACTATCAGAATGGATATCCGCTTTTATTCCTCATATATTTGGAACAAGGATTAGAGGATAACCTTTCCTTATTTTTTAGTTTTACGACATTGTTTCTCGCTGTTTATTTCGCTGTTAATTTAAAGAATTACCCAAGTTTTTTGTATATTTCTTGCGATCAGACACAATAGAGATCGCTACATATAGCGAAATAACGAACAAGGATAATGCAAACGAAATCTAAATAAATTCATCGAATTGTGAAATATTTAACGAAAATAAATTGTTTTAATCTTCTCCAATGTTTGTAATGTCTGGGCACGGTATCATTTCCTCAGATACATTTGACTCGACAAAGTACGCGAATCTGACAACATTCCGAGATAATAGCACAATATAGCACCTTGAAATATATCTGTCGAGAAGAAATGTCTGTTGCGTTGTCTATTCTATGTGGGATGTGATATTAACCCACGAGTGCAGGAAAAATAATAACTCATTAATCCTCTCATTCACTCGCGGCAACCAGACTTCGTATTACGAAAACTTGAAAAAAAGGATTACGAATATGGACTGGGAATTTACTTATTTTACTACAGGATTATTTTCTCCGTATGTATATACGTGTAACAACACACACCAAAATGAATGAAAAATAAAACAGGTACATTGATTTCGTGATTGACTAAGAAAAAACTTGCCAAAAACGGTGAATTGCCACTATTTACTTAATACTATAAAGTATAAGAATATAGGTAAAAGAGACACGCACACACAAAATATGTTTGATAAACAACAGCAGCGTAAGCATAAAATGGAATGATATGTCTATTGTATGTCGTCAAGAAGTCTCAGCACATTCGAAAACATTAAAGGGGAAAGATTTATCTCTCTCTCTCTCTCTCAGAGCACAATGCGGATAAAATTATCCTTTTTATATTCAGTGACTTCGTAAATATTTTACCTTTGTTCGCAAATGAGACACGAATAATGTAAGATATGAGCGAAAGACCAAGTGGGCAGAATGTGGACATATACAGATAAAAATTTCACTCGATGACCAATAGGTTCTAATTGAAATGTATCTTCTTGATTCTTAAATGATAGAGGCGATACGTGTACTAACAAATAAAAGGCGATACAAATTTCGCTTGGCAAAGGGCAGAGCGATAAAATTAAGATAAAATCGATTTCTAGATATCGAGTTTCATGGAAAAGCGAAAGTCATTTCGCGCGACCGCTTGAAAATCAATCGATTGCAGACTGTCCGTTCGATCGTACGTTTGTCCACGTATTGCAAATTCCATCTCCTTTCTCTCAACGGGTATCCCGTTAGTTAAAGGGACGTTGAGGCTACAAACAACAGCTCCATCCGATGGAATATGATACATCGCGCAAACCAGCTATCGCGCGTGACCGGTATGCGTTTTAATTAACATCGTCAAACGTGGAGCTCTCTCTCTCTCTCTCTCTCTTTTTCTCTCTCTTTCTGACAAACGTCACGAGCGATGATCCCGTTAATTCCGTAGTGCAGAGTCCGCGAGTCGGTTAAATAAACTTTTCGATTGAAAACCACGTCCCACGCGAATTAATTACAAAAACGCGTGGGATCGCGCGACCTCCCTGACATGCTCGCCACATCGCGTATATGATTTTTCCGGAAGTCGCGTTCCATTTTCGACGAGGAATGGTACGTTTTGTTGTCCCTCTCAACGGAAACCTTTGGGGAAAAAAGCTCATTCACGGATGCATCGCAGGGCATACATTTTCTCGCACTATATTCCAATTTTACAATTTAACAAGATGAAGATACTTGTTATACACTACCATTATTAGTGCTATTGTAGCGATGCTAGTGATGTACAGTTGATTCAAATTAAAACTCTCTCTCTCTCTCTCTCTCTCTTGATACCGCAACTACCATATGTATCCCATATTAAGATTAAGAGTTCTAGAAAACTTTAAATTACCATGGAAAATTCCTCTCACGATAACTAAACAAAATTTATCAATTTGTTGTCTCTTTAATTATTCTTACTATTTTGCAATCTCTCTTATCGGAGCTATCATCCGGTGATTGTTTTACATGTTTATATGAGACAGATTAACGGGTAAGAATTTTTTATTACAAGATGAGGAATACGGGAAACGTAGCGGACAGCCGAGAAACCACAAGCCGTACCTTATCCTTCACCAAGCAAGAGAAAAACTCTCCGAGGAAAAAAAACGAATTTACTCGAGCACAGGCCAGAAGCTCGATTTTTGCTGCATCACATCAGAACAAAAAGAAAGATCGAGATAACGAGTAAAAGATGTAACGAGACGACGAAAGCTAGAGTAAAGAAATTTATGGTTAATTCGTCCAAAAACATAGTTCAACAATTTCAATATACTATATCTTTCATTTTCCTTCCTTATTTCTCATATTTCAAAGTCATTTCAGTCAGAAAGGAGGACATATTCTTTTTAACAACACTTCAATCCTATTTTATATATATAATGTGTAATGTAACACATTATTATATTGCACCGTGTTATTTATACAAGTTTATAGAATAAATTCTTAACTGTTTTATTATTATGGACTTTTATTGTAAATTTGTGAGCAAATTTATCTAAATTCCTTAAGAATCATCTATTTATAACAATTCTTTTTAATGAATTAAAATTTTTTACGACGAAATAAGTAATTGCATCTATCTGTGTATAATCCTGTCTAAGAAAGCAATTCCGGGAAAAATTTCAATTGAAATTATCATTTCCTCTAATTTTTTATTTAAGCCAACAGTTTTTATTATCCACTACGAATCGCAAAGCTGGATCGGCAAGATAAATCAGATTCTCGATGACAAGAAAAATCCCGAAAGAGGCGGAGAATCAACGAGATTACGACTTTAACTATCCTCGATAAATGCGGGGTTTAAACACGGTCTCGTTCTATTTTTCACAATTTCTCAATTTTATCGTGCTGTCTCATATTCTTTAAATAATCGTAATAAACCATGGCACCTTCCAAAAATTAACTCCTCCCAAGAAAAGTGAATCAAAATTTGTCCAATCTATTATATTACAAAAACTTTGAGTGTGGAAAATTCTTAAGTATACATTTTCTATTCTGTACATTGATGCATATTGGAATTTTTTTCTCTACAGAAAACAATAAAAGCATCTTAGGATCTACATAAAATGTGTATAAAAAATTCGCTATACTTAGATAATGATTGCAGAACACTAATCGATAAACACCTGATTAGGCACTCATGCTCGTCGTCCTTCTCTATTGGTTCTGCTGTAACGATTCACTTTAATTACATCATTAACCGCATTACTTGAGACATTGTTGTCGTTTTTTATTCGACCGTTTTAACTTGCCGTTCGATGATTAAGCATCCTTCTGTATTCTCCGTACACTTTCAATTAATATTTTTAACTATTTATTTGTGTTAATATTTCACCTGGAAACTTTAATTGTAGGTATGTGATGTCACTTATTAAAATTATATTAAGTTTGGTAGTCATCGAAAAGCTGAGAAAAGGCTTCTTTATTTTTGAAAGTTAATCAAAGGTAGTGAAAAGTCACAGTTGAACCTGGCAGACCTGAGGTCGGTTTAAATAGGTCTTATGCGTATCTGTAGCTACGGACATGCACCTATTTAACTAGATAGTCTCTGGAAGCGATCAGAGAGAGATTCAGTTGAGTTCATCTCTCTCGCTCTCGTTCTTTCTCTGTACCTCTCCTCCTCGACCCTCACACCGACCTCTACGCCTCCAACTGCCGCTCGGCTATCGATTGCGAGCCGCCAGGACCATGAGAAGGCACCCTCTCGACATTCTCTCTCTCTCTCTCCCTCTTCCCGTCTCTCGTCATCTCTCGCTTACTTGTGCTAACTCGTTACGCGGTGCTACCGCGTTTCCTATCAACTACCATGCTGTACAACCTGTCTATAGGGTAGCTTATGTACCACTACGAGCATAAATTCCAATTAAGCGTGGTCCGCTACTTATGGGATGGAATTCCTTCCTCCTCGTCGCGCCGATGGACATCCGCTCGATGCGTAAGATAGTCATCTTTTCTCACCAGAATTATCCCAAAAACTACCGTCAATGTTGCCTCTCATCATTTTTAGAAACCAATCGTAAATTAGCAAACGTGAGATGTCAAGTAAAAAATTATCCAAGTGTGAAAAAAGTATATCGTATCTTCTTCTTTTTTTTTATTTGTGTGTTATTAATTTCTTCTGCTTCTATTTGAGCATTAATTTTCATTTTTTCATTTTGATAATAAAACTGTTTAATATTCGATATGAGTTTTCCTCGATGATACTAATTGATTAATTGATAAAGTCATTAATTTATTAAGTCGTAATTGGATAAAATTCAAATTGATTTCGATTTATTTCATATAAAGTTCAATGCAAACGTAAATTTCTAATTTAAAACCCAAGAAAGAAAAAATATTTTAAAAGCAAAGGTAGTACATTTAATATAATTTTTTATTGTAATCATGACTGATTACATGATAAAAGTAATAATAGTAGTTGTATCCTTCATATTTACTATTGTAGTTAATCGGGCTTCGAATCGGATATTAGAGTCGTTAGAGAACGATGCAGGCAAGCTCCCCATGTATTATGCTACCGTTTCCCTAAGTACGGCTATAGCAGATGATGAGATATATTGTACTACGCTTCACACAAATTCCAATTAAACGCCCGGAATTCCTTTCGCGTGCCAATCGATTACCACGACAATGTGACTGCAGAGCTGAGATGCGTATATTACTCCCGGGAAACTGTCAGTGCAAATATCTTATATCTGACAGTAACTATAACGATCTCTGTGAGTTTGTAAAGATGCAACGGTAAGTGCATGGTTTGCATCTTCGTATGATGGAATCAAACATAATATCATTGTATCGCGTACACATTTGTACACATTTGTAATGAATGTAAGATGAAACAGTATAACCAAACTAAATTGAAAAAAAAAAGAAAACTTAAAAAGCTTAATTAGAATTTCCGAAGAAAAAAACAGACTATCGTCCTAAAAAAATAAACGTTAAAAATTAGTGATAAAACATGAAATGAGCCCAAACGTAATAAAACCAATTTGAATTTGCATCCAACTTTGAAAATTAATTATTAAGAAAAATGGAAAGGCAGTTTATGTTTAATATTAAAGTTCCTTTAATAAAATTGACAAATTACAATCGACATTCAAATAGAAGTAGAAAAAGTAGAAAATTTTCATGATATATTTCATGATACGCAATAGAATTTTAATTGAAATGAAATAATTATTAATAATTATAGAGATACAAAAAATTATGAAGAAATATTTAACATCTAGAATAAAAAATAAGAAAATGAAATTCGTCAAGGGATGGTCTTATTAAGATTAATGGAAATAATATCAGTTCCAATGAAATAATAATCCTAGCAATCGCGGGGATTACAAAAGGTTTGACGACTGATAAGCTTTCTGTAGACGTTGAGTGAGTATAGTTTATTTACAAGTGGGAAGCGCGAGAAACCGATTGATATTGGAAAATCATTTATCCCATCTACTCCACATGACGGGCACACCTTGACTTTTGACAGACCCGAATCGCTGCTCGCTATGTAGACAGCCTAATGCATTCCGCCCAAGGCTGATTTAGGCTATACGTCAACGTCACGAAGCTTTATGTATAATATATAATATACAGGAGCTTCGATATTTTGACGCACAAATGGCATGCAATCTGAAATATTAGCGGTTCTTTTTATTTGATGATAATATTTTCAAGCTCGCGTACAATAGCATACAAATATAGTATTCGCTTGATTGTTAATTAAACATACACAATGTTTGATACGCAATTCAAATATTCAAAGTTAATTCAAGTTGGTTTATTACACATTTGAACTCTTTGTATAATAATAAAAAAAAGTGTGCGTTATAAACATTTCAAATTTCACACGCAAGTAAATGCATACCGTCAAATATATGAAATGATATTAAATAGTATATAAATAAAGTTAATAATTCCTTTTTCATATATTAGAAAATGAACGTGGAACAAAGTTAGTATTTTAATGTTATTATTGATAATAATTACCGAGAGGGTTTAGCTGGCAAGGTTTGGACAATCGAAAGATCTGAATCGTATTTCCTTGATAGATATTTCGTGCCCTACTTTAGAGGATATTTTTGGATTAGTACTTGCCACACAGGGAAATCTGTTTTAATTACTACTTAAATTAATCCGTCATTCTTAATTAAAATACAAGTTAATTCTGCCACATTTAATTACTTTACATGGACACGGAATAAAAGTTCGCACCTGTCTTCAAGCTTGATCGTGTGCATTATGCGCAATTATTATGTGACATTTGCTCACGCACACGTTTCAATTAAATGAATACTTATGTGCCAATGGATGTATACATATACATGTATGTATATGGCACGGTGCCAACTGCAACAAATATACAAACTATAAAAAATGTTCCGCGCATCTTGACTGCCATGTATTTTCCAACCTCCATTTTAATAGGTGTTCCCTCTATCTTGTTTAATTATTATCGGAGTTAATTTCTTTCTCGATGAAGATGCAATAGAGAACATTGCGTTTTTTACAACACACTGTTAATTTTCTAAAAGTCATGAAAATAAAATTTACTTAAAGTAGAGACTAAGACATTTGTATGTCTGCAAATGGCAATTGAAAAATTGGTTTTCGTCAAGAGAGAAAATGAATTTTAGATTTCGACATACATGTGTATAGAATACACGTGTATTTCCAAAGCTATTTATTTTCGATCCGATAGTACATCATACAGTATCGAGATATCTGAAACAGTGTGTTGGATTTTTTTTAACACGCTTCCGATCACAATCACGTTCCTCGCGAAAATAGGACGAAATGGTTCGAGAAAGAAACATAAAAAGTTGCAATTTAGATGTCTTATTATCTTACATTTACGAGAAGAAGAAAAGAATCGCCGATGTCCATCAGCGAGAAATAAAAAGAAATTAACGAAATTGATTGGACAGCAGCCCCATGGCATCGATTTAAGCAAGTCGGTCCGAAAAAAATGTCCTTTCAGCGACTAGCATTTACAATATCTAGTATACGTGTGCCTGTAGGTGGATGGTTATACCAACGTATCTCTCTCTCTTGTTGTTGGGCAGGACGTGACGTAGAGGGTAGCGAAAGGAGTCGTACAGCACGACGACCCACATTCCGTCGAATTTAATTTCATGCCTTATCGCTGGTAGTCGTGGTACAATGCCTCAACTGGGACGGATCTCTTTCTCGCGCGCGCGCGCGCGCGCACAGCTACACGTGAAACTATCGCGTACGCATACGCGTACGCACACGTTCGTTTGTTAATGGTGTCATACGCGTCGCTCTTTACTCTTCTCGCACACGTTCTATTTATATATCTCTCTTCTATTCTCTCTCATTGTTCTCTCACTTGTCCTTTATCTATCTATGTATCTATCTATCCATCCATCCATCTAGCCACTCCATCTCTCCTTGCAACTATTATATATGTTGTCAACTCTCTCGGTACTTGAAAATATAAACCTATTACTATTATTTTATCTAAAACTTTGTCGTAAAAAGTTATTGAATGTTTTGTTAACATTTATATCCCGCGTGGGTATTTGCTGTTGGTTTTACATGCAAAGACGAGACAGCCTCTTGAGACGAAAGCTCGTCTCGTTGATGCTATTCACATCTCAAAAATCTAACACATATTCACTCGCTTCTTCGTCTTGACCCTTATCTCTCACTCACCCTCTTTCTGTCGCAGCTTCTCAGTCATTTACAGGCATTTCTATCGCGGTCTAGGATAGTGAATTCGCATTCTCCGCTTTTCTCCGTTCCGGCACGGCGCGTCGAGTCGCGCAAGTGCGCCTATTATGCATCTGATGTACGCGTTTCTGTAACGAGCGAGCACGAGCGTTAGTGTATGTACCGAGGGTCGATCGTGTGGCTGGCTATTTCTGCACGTGTTCCGACTTTGCATGGTGACGATTGCTTTATCAGATGTACGGGGCTGACTGACGGAACGGGGTACGCGCGCGCCATCGGGTCTCGTGTATGTCGGCGGAATAAAAGTCATTTTATAAAGTAAGCTTTCCCTAGCTGCATGGACGGCAGATTTTATGCACCTTTTCTTTGTTACGAAATGGAATATTATATGGAATATTAGCGAAAAGCACCATTTCTTACTGTGCACCGCATTTATCCAATCATTATCGATACCTCAGATTGACTCACACTTGGAGGTCAGCAACCCTGTTCGCAATTGAAACAACGATCGAGCGAGTGGATATTAGCTATCACTTGTCGTCATCTCCTCTCCACCCTTGTCTTAAATCGAATATTATTATGTGCTACTCGAACAATGTTATTGTGATATTAGTGTTAGTTGGTATTTGTTGAGATAAATCTCGATGAAACTTAATCGTGATGGTGATGCAGGTCAACCCCGCACCGAATGGATGGCGACGCGGACGCGCACGAGGACGGCCGTAGTACGGCGACGATAGGACGACGTTAGAACGTTACCGCTTGCGGCTGCAGCTGCGGCGTCATCGGTCGCTGCACCTGCAGCTGCGGCGGCGACGACGATTTAATCAGAGGGCGAAACGATGCAGAACGCTGGCGACTATTATCAAAGGGCGCCGAGATGTTGTCCCGGTAGAAGTGGTAACAACAACAATAATAGCGGCATCGCTGGCGGATCTGTGCGAGGCGCGGAGCTGCTCTGCTGCTGTTGCAGCTGCAGCACCTCTACCTCCACCAAGACTCCGGGGCTGCTGGCGAGCCTTGGCGTGTGTGTGCTCGTTCTCGGCTACACCCTGCTCGGCGCGTTCGCCTTTATGGCCCTCGAGGGAGGCCTGAAATCGGTGAGCGATTTCGGAATTAGCTGACATTTCGCTGACAATCAGCAATTCCAACTTGACTCCGCCTAGGTGACTTGTTTCACTCTAGAGATTTGACTATTATTAATTGAGAAAGATGATAATTAAGAATTGTTAATCATCTGTACCTCTGTGTCGTTCAGGATTCGCTGGCCGAGGTTACATCCTCGAAATCCGACGGGGCTTCCTACGTGCCGCCGAATCTGGAGAGCGACTCCGCTGCCACGGAATTGAGAGCACGCACGGTCGAAAAGCTGTGGAGCATCACCGAGGACCTGAACGTTCTCTACAAGGAGAATTGGACTCGTCTGGCGGCTCGAGAAGTCCTCGAGTTCCAGGAGAATCTGGCCCGCGGCCTCAGGCGCACCTCGTACGAGCAGGTGCCTCCGCGGTCCCGAGAGCATCACGCGGACAGGCGGCTACACAGTCGGCGATGGACTTTCAGTAGTAGTCTGCTGTATTCTCTAACGTTGATCACGACTATAGGTTCGTCCAAATTGAAACGGTGGCGGGTTGGAAAGACGGAGAAAGGTCATCTCGGCACACGCGTTATCTCGCACACTCAGCGCCGAGTACTAATATTAGATAACGAGCCTTTCGATTTCAGGATACGGTAGCGTAGCGCCACGCACAGTCTGGGGCCGGCTGATTACCATAGTCTACGCCTTAGCAGGGATCCCGCTGATGTTAGTCTACCTGAGCACAGTGGGCGACGTGCTCGCTCGAAGCTTTCGCCGTCTCTACGGACGCATGTGTCGGCAGCCGCGTAACTGCGCGCGAAAGCAACAACCGCCACCGCCACCACCGCCAGGCATAATGGCCAAGACGTATCGCTACGACAATCACGTGGAGAGCAAGGGAGCCGGCAACTACTACTCCACAAGCAGGGAAAGCTCCTGCGACGATCTGGGTATCCGCGGCACCGGCAGCGCGATCCTCCTCGACTGCGGCAGCGAAGGTCTTTTGCACGCTACCACTAGTTCGACAGCCGCGCTCCAGGTAATTGTTCAGCTCTCTAGGAAATGTTGTCCAATTCTAAGAGACATACTCGGCCATGTGTCAGGATGTGTCAACGGGCAACGGCAAACGACACTTTCACCCGTGCTCGCTGTCCTTATCGTCGACCTCGTCACCGGCGTACATGCTAGAGGCCAATCCCGTGAGGATACCGATCAGCTTGTGCCTGGCGATAATGCTGGTGTATATATGCGGAGGTGCGGTCATGTTCAACCGTCTGGAGGGCTGGAGCTTGTTGGAAGGCGGGTACTTCTGCTTCACCAGCCTTGGCACCATCGGTTTTGGAGACCTGATGCCGGTGGGGCGTAACGCACCCTCGTCTACCCTGGAGGAGCTCAGCCTGTGCGCCTGTTCGCTCTACATCCTCGCCGGGATGGGCCTGATCGCCATGTGCTTCAACCTCGTCCAGGAGGAGGTGGTACGCGTGGTCAGGGTCTTCGGTAGAACCTGCGGCATGTCGTCGGGCGTGGTGGTCGGACCTATCGGTGGTACAGGTATCCCTGATGAAGGCATTCGGTGGGGAATCAACGATGAAAGTCTTCTACGAGAGATAGAGAGAGAGAGAGAGAGAACATCGTGAACCGTTGATTATTTCCCGTCGACCGTCACGTCGCGTTCCAAAACCTGCACATATATACACAGTCCAAACGATTATAATTAGCTCGATAACCGATATATGCATCATCACTCGCTACGTTACGGAACGCTTTTATCCCCCGCGCGAATTGTTTTACGTATAGTTGAAGTTTTCGCCAATGCCAATCGCGACCGAAGAAACAATCTCCGGAATCGAAAAGAACAGCGCGGTTGTACGACCACCGAGACGAGTGGCAGTCACGAGTCACGCGTGGTCCCTCTCTTTTTCTTTGCAGCAGGCGCCACTTGCGGTCTCAAGGCCGACCTTGATGATGGAGGCGGCACCAGCGACTCGCGATTGTCCGAACAAGAGGAGGAGGCGATCGCCATGTCGATGGTGCCGGCCGGTTCCTGACAGCATCAGGCCAGGAGCCCCGGTGACGGCAAGCTCCTGGCCCACCCCTCGAGCACTGCCATAAAGTTGTCGCCAGGCCATCATTCGCTGCCGCGCAAAAAGACGTTGCCGTTGGATGCCACCGGTAGGACGACGAGCAACTCTTCAGGCGTTCAACAGCAACCGTTCCAACGGGGTCAGCCACTAAGAAGGAGCTGTTTGTCGCCGACGCAGCAGCAGCTGCAGCAGCAGCAGCAGCAGCAGCAGCAGCAGCAGCAGCAGCAGCAGCATCAGCATCATCATCATCATCAACATCGACAGCAGGAGAGTTCGTTGCACTTTGAATACTTTGTGCCGCGCAGCGTCAGCGAGTTCAATCTCGCGGCCGCCGTGACAGACATGGCGGTGCCACCGCCACCTCCCGCGTCGGTCCTTAGACCTTCCTCGGCGATCACGACGTCGGTCGCCACCGGAGTGATCGCCGCCACCAGCCAGACGAGATTGCTGGACGGTGGCAGTGGTGGTGGCTGCAATACCGCTACCAGAAGTCGCGAGAAAATGGTTACGTTCGAGGACGAGGGGGTCAGTTGCGGCGTTACCTCGACACCCACCAGAAAGAATCTACCCGCTCTAGATAATGTCTTTATGTGACGTGTGTCGCATATTTCACAGATGCTCAAGCGCTTATTGCTGTGGATGGGCGAAAGCCTTGCAATTTCCACACCTCTGAAGAGAGCAACGACAAATCGAAAATTAAATGGACATGACAATTATTTCTACCAAGAATAAATAAATATATGATATTAACAACTGAGAATTGTTAATCCGATGATTATCGACATCCTTCAATGTTTTTGTCAAAACTAGTCGATATCAAGAATTAAAAACAGGTCATATCTGATTACGTCGATAAATACTGACAAAAACAAGAGCCTAATCACGATTTACATGAATTGAAAGAACAGGAAGGAAAGGAAAAAGAAGACTGCATATCTGTATAATGCGATAACGTAGAAAGGCAAAGGAGTACTATAAATACTCTAGACGGAATCCGATATTAGGAAACTTTTTTTTCTTTTCTCATCACAAAGACATTGCCTAAATGATACCCCAGACAATATCTAAAGGACGCATAAGAGACATTCTAATTCTTTAGACATATTTGTGTTATTTTGACAATCACACATTTTTATGTCAAACAAATTTTTTCAGAAACAATATATTCCATAGTTCAATGTGCCATGCACAGCAACTGTATGAAAGCGAGGAATAAAAGACAAATATAGCAGGTAAAAACACTTGAAAAGACACACAAGAAAAAGAGAAATGTTATAATCGACAAAAGACACCGAATGGAAACTTTTCTCCTCGGCCGAATGTCGACTGTACATTTCTCATTATTGATCAAGCCGTACGTTATTGTTGTCAAATTACTTGCGCGCAGCGTAGGTCGAGTATTCGAATTTTATGTCCGATAAGTCCAACTGTATTCCGAATAGTTTGTATATATATATATATTCAAAAAATATATTGACTAATTCTAACGTGTACAATTACCCTACCATATATGAAATATACGAGCAAAGTTTTATACACCTGTGTTACAACACATCTGTGTTAAACACGCAACTTAATTTTTCTTTGCCGTTAGTAAATGTACACGTACAGTGAAAGAAAAGGATAGACAGAAATTGAAGGAAGAACGATTGACGGTAAGTTAATTGTTGAGCAATTAAAATGTATATAATAATTCTACCGAGTTGCTCGCTCGGGTATTTTGCAACTATTATGATCCAAGCGTAGACAAGGATTTTACATAGAAAATTGCAATTCAAATGTCGAGGTTGAGAAAAGTAAGGTTATCTGGCCGTTAGAAATTCTAACCTATGAAATAGCCGGTGAGCGGTGACGCGTGGAGCACGTGTTACATCTACGATGTTGTCTGTAAATAATATTAAATTGATTACCTTCGCGATTACCTCTCGCGTGGATAATCGCCATTGGAGAATCTGTCGCGATAGGTGCAGGCTGATTCAGGCGTTCGACTGTTGGACGAGATGCAACACGAACAAGGATTACGATCCCAGAGTCGAGGCATTGCGAGAGAAAATCATCTACTGCGACTATTTGGATTATGACAAAGTGAAGATAACTTACTTGAGGCGGTTCTTGTCGAAAAAGAAGGCCGAGCGCTTTGACAAGAAAGCACGGATCGACAGGCTGACAAATGTACCCGTCTACAGCGTACTCCTGGACACGAGGGATGACGGGAGCGACGGCAAGCACTTGGAGCAGGAGCGTACTTTTGAGCAACACGTCGCGAAGCCTGTACACATGCCGTACGCGAGTACAGATTCATACAGTAATGTGGACACTGACTCGAGCGAAAGTGGATTTCACGAGGATACACTATCGTTGAACGACAAGTATAAAGCTCTATATGAGAGGTATTTGGCGGAAAAGAGTGGAGGAGTGACTTTGCTCGATTACCTGGAGGAAGCAGACAAGAGGAATCTTGCGTCGAACGTTCCGTCCAATTGGATGGTAGACGTCGAGCAGTACGACGACAGTTTGTACATCGATCAGGACAGTGACTCGACTTGGCTCAACAATTACGGAACTCCGGATCCAAGCTGCGCTATTAGTTCGGTCCCGTGCGGCGGTTGTGGCGCCTTGCTGCATTCTAAGGATCAAGCTCTACCGGGTTACCTACCCTCGGAGCTCTTTCGCAACAAGAGCGAGCGAGAATTGCGAGTTATGGTGTGCCAAAGATGCCACTTTATGCAGCATTACAACACCGCGTTGGAGGTGAAGGTGTCTGCGGACGAATACCCCGAGCTTTTAAAAGTCATCAAGAAGAAGAAGTGCGCCGTCATTCTGATGGTCGACCTCATGGATTTCCCGTGTAGCATATGGCCAGAGATCAATAGCGTGCTGAATCCTTTGACGCCGGTCTTTGTCGTGGGCAATAAAATTGACTTGCTGCCCCAAGATTCCAAACATTTCTTTACTCACATTAAAGACTGCCTGTCAAAGGCTGTAGAGAGTACAGGGATCAAGAAGGAAAACATTAGACATGTAGCACTCGTATCTGCAAAAACTGGCTATGGCATGGAACAGCTGATAAATAAATTGCACAACGTTTGGAAGTATAAAGGTAAGACTTGGAAATTGTGCCAAAGATATACGGTATATTTTACATTTTTTTTCTGTTATTTAGGAGACGTTTATGTCATCGGTTGCACAAATGTCGGTAAATCCTCTCTGTTCAACGCTCTTCTGCAGTCAGACTACTGCAAGGTACAGGCTGTGGATCTTGTACAACGTGCAACCACTTCTCCTTGGCCAGGCACGACATTAAACTTGTTGAAATTCCCTATTTTAAATCCACAAAAGTGGCGCCTTTACCAGAGGACGATGCGATTACAACGGGAACAGCAGCACAGGCATGCCGAAGAGAAACTCCGAATCACTCGATTCAAAGTAACGGGTAACTTGGAACACGCCACGTTGCAAAGTACGTTTTCTTTCCTATCCACTGCTATACATGTATATACAATGATGTGTGTCCGAGTTGAAAAGGCTAAATTTTTAGGTCACATTGGCAGAACATTTCAGTCAAACTCGGCGACTAAAGCAAACGATCCCTTTGTGGAAGAAAGATACAAGAGGGACACGCCACAATTTGGTCTTGATGAGAATAAAGAAGAGTATAAATACAGTCGCTGGTGTTACGATACTCCCGGCACCATTCAGCCTGATCAGGTGTTGGATTTGCTGACGATGCAAGAACTTTTGTCGGTTTTACCAACGAAAATTATCTCGCCTAGGACTTTTATTTTACGTACAAATCAAACGATATTTCTCGGCGGAATAGGCAGATTGGATTATGTAGAGGGCGAGAGTTTTATTAGGTACAAACTTGCGATACACGTAATAATAGTGATATAACCAATTAAAACTGTTTGTATATCATTTAGGTGTACAATATTTTCGAGTAGCGAATTGCCGGTAACTTTAACTCGTACCGAGGATGCGGACAGTGTATACAACGAGTTACTCAAAACGGAAGCGTTTGTCGTACCTGAAAACCGTCCGGACCGATTGAAACATTGGCCGACTTTGGGATCTAAAGAGATGGAAGTTATTGGTGTCGGAAAGAATGAATCGGCCGTTGACGTTGTTTTATCAAGCTCGGGTAATGTTTCTTTACAACAAATAATTATTTATGTCCATTCGTACGTCCGACTATACATAGCTAAAGTTTTATCATTGTTACAGGATGGATCGCGATCGCTGCTGTCGAACGTGTCTTACTGAGGGCTTGGACCCCACAAGGGCGCGGCTTACATCTAAGAACGCCAGCACTTTTGAAAAACTCTGTCGCTCTACGTGGTGCTCGAATCTCAGATGCACCGACATACAAGCACGGACGCCAAGCGTACAAAAAATAATCTTTACATATGTGTGTATACATGCATATATTGTACATAATACATCCAAATCCATTTCTTGCATCGCACATCTGCGATAACAATCGAACAAGCTCTATTAATATTTGTAAATAACTTACGTCTCGATTACTTGAGATATACTTTTCGTTCGACAGAACGATCTGAATGACGACAATAGTATTTTCCACATCAGACGTCAGACGTCGGCTTCCTGCGCCCGCATTTTCGCTTGTTTATACATTCGTTTGTAAAATTTCTCCAAATCCTTATAAAATCCGCGGCCTGGAGAGTAATCTCGAGTACATTCGTACCTCGGCTCGTACCCCACAATACTGAAATAATATTTTCAAATTTACACATTGTATATCATAGATGAAGATAATCTTTTACTCAACTACCATTAGCACTTACTCGTCCGTTCTAGTAGCGTGCCATTTCTCTTTAGCTTTTTCAACATTTTCAATTTTACATTGCAATCTGTAAAGACAGCGATCGTAATGTAAAAAATGTCCAAGAAATTGGGCTGTTTTTAATCAACTCACAATGGCATTGTCGCTTCTTCTCGCGTGTCGAATGCGCCGCATTCTCTATAAATACAACCACATTCTCTAATGCCAGACATATTTCTGCAATATCTTTGCTTAATGTCAGCATGTTTCTCGATTATATCAGAATCGTCGTGAGATTTGGGAAAGTAACAATTATACTTGAAACAAACTGGACAGTTGTCTGTAATGTGGGTATTGTCACGTACGATCACGGTAGGTTCGGCTAACTTTGGGAAATTTCGTCGACAATTGCATACAGAATTTCTTTCTATCGAGTGATAACATTGATCAATTTGCGATCCTGTCTGATGACTCGTGGCATACGAAGGATATTCGTTATGAGATTCGCTCGACCTCTCACGGCACCTATTTATATCGTGCATAACGTACGTATATATCAACATTAATTTAACTTTTCACGACAATGATACTTACGGTCGACAGCTTTGAGATCTCGGTTTACTTTTAGTATGGCATACTCTCCGCTGTCTTATAATACCTTTAATCGGCCTTTTCCTCTGTCCACATGCCGTTTGCTGAAATTTACCTTTTTATATATATATATAAAGAACCGATGTTAACGATACACATTTCAGTCGATTCCAGTCTGCTTTTACCTTAGAGTTAATCATTTTTGGATTGATGACGTAACATTTGTCCCTACTTGTATCATAGGAACCCAAGATTTCCTCGACAATCGTTTTGGTGGAGACTTCAATTTTAGGCGCTATGATACCCTGAGGCAACACAAAAACGACAGTTTTGTCTTACAATTAGTGAAAAGTAGTTTCTATTCCAGATTAAACAAGGAATCTTTTAAGGACAACAAAAGAGACATACGGGAAAGCATTTAGTCGGTTCCATCAAAAGGTCTATATCGACACCGGCTAGTAAACCTTTGAAGCATGGCGCGGGATACAACAAATCTGTCAAATTTGTTTCGAACGTTGCCAGAGTAATGCCTCGGCTAGCCGGCGTTGCCCATTGTATCAATTCCGCGTATAAGAATTCCTGCTCCAAGGCACTTTGCAGCTCCGTCAGGGAGATCCGCCGGGCAAAGATTTTACCAAAGGTAAACTTGTCGTGGAACAAAAGCGGGAAAATCGGACTAATCCTGTGGGTCTCCGCACAGGAATCGAGAGTGTTGATTCGCAGAGCCACTTTGCCATTCGGGCACAACCAGACGCCGGGACACGTTACCTAAAACCAATGCCGCCAATAAACCGTGCGGCGAGACTGCAACTACATCGCGATACGTACCGCGTGTACATCTAACTGTACTTTAACGCGGAAAGCTCTGCCTGCCATCCCGCCCAACTGTCTGACGACAGTCTGATTAATCGTATGATATTGACAGCATCGTTGCCGGAACGACGTGTATCACTGACATCATTGACATCATTGTCGCTTCGATAGCTTCATGACGGACGTTCAAGTTGAATATCGCGTCTAGATCTTACTTGTTGGACTTGATTCGGCAGAAGCGTGTACACGTATATTTAACTTTCAAGACCCATGCCATCTTGCGAAAGAGTTGTTGCCAGGGAACAGTGACACAACATCGCTCGAATCAATGTATCGAGTTTTGTCAGGCTCATGTGTAACTTGGAAATTGACGATTGCGTAAAGGATTATCGCTAAGGGATCTTGCTTTTCTATCCTTAACGACGCATTTTGAACAAAAACTATCAAGTTTGTATATACAACAATCGATTGCATATAAACGAGACATTTTATTCCATAATTTGTTTCATTTAAATAAACTCTCAAACATTTATGTTCTAAAAGGCACGCCAGCAAATCTCTTTTCCGGCAGACCTCTCTGCAGTTTTCGATGTACGAGCTCACTCGCGATAAAATCCGATTGCTTCCTGGAGAAGCGTAGTCGTGGATCCTTGGTAAGAGGTACCAGCGGTACGGTGAACCAGCCGTATCTGTAGAAACGGTCCGTTATTAAAATTAATTATTACTTTTTATTAAGAAATACCTCGTTGTTCGCTCTTGGTTTATAGACTTACTCCATGTTCACCGCCGGCGGCCTAAACGAATAAACGTCTTTGGGTATCATTTCCATCTGGCGTTTAATCAGGTTGACATCGTCTTCTCTAACGTCCGACGGGGAGAAAACGTCGTGTTTCGCATAGAACTTGACAGTTAATGGTTTTGTACGAGTAGTAGGCACAAACGTGTCTCGCACATTTATCAATTTCTCTTCCTTTTCATATCTTTCTGTATAAAAGCGTAGTTTTACAGGATTTATCAGCAAATTGGTCGCCATAAATTTATTCAACTCTAAAGTCGATGTTGTTGCAAAAATGGCACACGAGTTGGAGTGGATCTAATTATTATTTCGCAAATGCGCAGCAGAAAAGTTGACTGTCCACGGAACCAATTTCACGCTGTTGAATAACGCTTGCATTCGTGAAAGGTAAAAGGAATAATTAATATGTAGCTTGAAGAGTATCGATATTTTATTTTAAAATATGTATATCAATAGAAAACACATACGTAACAAGCGGAAGACCGTGGGGCTTATCAGTCAGAGTTTTCAGGCCTGTAACATCGTTGTTTGTTAAGTACATACATAGTCAAATCTTGACATTTTCTCTTCCTTTATATCTTCTTCCAACGTTCCATTCCAACTTGTCTTCTCGCGCCGCTCTCCTATTATTATATTAAGAGCAGCGCGACGAAAGCGAGTTGAGACAGAATAGGAAGAATTACAAAAATCCGACTGTATAAAGCGATAATATACTCGTATAAGGAACTAAAACGCGCTTTTCCTTTCACCAGACTTTGGCCTAAAGCGTCACGCTGCTTCGATCACCAACGATTCGGTAATTGATTGTTAATTGACGTGACGTGACGCTAGATAATAGATAATTTTCTTGCTGCAGTCAATAATGTATTTGTTACTTTTCAAGTATTTAAAAACTACTTTTATCCTCACCCCCTATACGAATGTATATACAGTAAGTACGACAAAAGACGGATTCATAAAGATTCGTCCGATATACTTTTTCAATAAAGAAGAAAAACCTATTAGACGCGGATAAAATTTGTCAAATTGATGCTTTCGAATAAAAGTTAGACCAATGAAATAAGTGGCAAAATTTTGTCACATCTTGTTGTCGCTGCGATGTAATAATCGCTACAACTTTTATATTTATATTTCTATAAATATTGGAGACAAAGTGCTCACTTGGATTTGGTCATAGTGAAGAAGAAAAGAAATAGAAATTTCTCCTATTTCTGTGTTAAACAAAATTCATGGAGGGTTCGGATAGAATTGGAGAATTAAAATCCGCAAAAGAGGACTTTAGACCGCGTCTAAAACACTAGTTTGCAAACGTGTAAGCGTTTAACGTGTCGATGTATATATTCAGTCGTTAATGATATTAAGTTTTCTCGCCATCGCGTCTATTTCATCGCCGTAACGACAAAGCGCGAGACATTTTGGTGTAAATCTCTACTATTAGAAAATCGTTGTAATAAGACGCGTTCGGCACACATCAATGAAGTCAATTCCGTTCGGCAATAGATACATTCGATAGGATATCCGCAGCTGTCGTGGACGTATCCCTCGTTTCGCTGAAGCGTTGCATTATGTTTCTGAAAAAGAGAAATTCTTTCATTCTCCATGTGATCCTCACAAACGAAGAAAAATTGCAAAGAAATTGTCCAAAGCAATTGTTGGTGACGATTGACCGGAAGATACGTATCTAACATATTGTATACCTTTTCTGCTCACCGAGTAGCTTATCCCTGTCGGTGACTGTCGGTATCTCCGCATCCGTGTAGGCTCTTGATCTGTCTGCGCTAAATTGTTGTAAATCCAAGTTGCCGTTGTGACCACATCCGTTTTCGCATCTGTTGAGATAGATATCCGGCAACGGCGATCGGCAGGCGTCGCGTGGTGACAGATAATCGGGATTGCTCGGTGACAGAATCTCCTCGTAATACTCGACGCTCTTCGGTTCTAGGCCGCCGACGGTGGAGCCGTACTTTTTCGGCAAAGTCGACGCGCTTCTACCGTAGGAATAGGAAGAGTCCGCTACACTGTCACTCAGAAACGACCTCGAGAGGGGACTCTTGTACGAGAGGACTCCAGCAAGATGCCCATCGTTGTCCGCGATGACATCCGTGCTGTGATACTTGGCGCGAGACGCGACAAGATCCAGCGTCGGGGATCTCACGTATCTCCTCAGAGAATCGTGCGAGGAAGACGGCAAGCCACTGCCGTAGGGCTCGAACAAGGTTCTCGCTTCCGTCTGATGACCGTGCAGCGACACGTTTAACACGTCGCCGTACCTCTCGACCGGCGATTTCCTCGACAACGAGGATACTTCGTCCTCGCCGTACTGAATGTAACCCTTGTCTCTCGTCCTACAAAATATTTTTCATTACTCGCGGGTAATCGGGACGGTTGGTCAACGGTAGCTCCTATCTGCCACCTAGCGTGGGTGAGCCGTCTATATTTTAAGTGATTAGGTGGAAAGAGTGAATTTACCTCGGCCTGGGAACTCCATAATTGTACAATCTGTCGCGGTCCCTTTCTCTAGAGCTGTTGAAGCTGAATCTTCTAGGCAGAGTCACGCTGCTCGCTCCCGGTGGTGGCGCCGTCAAGGATGGCCTCTTTCGGTCGTTGAATCTCGAGTAGAAACTGCGTCTTCGTATTCGATCTATCACCGATTCCGAGCTGTCGCCGCGCATGAATAGAGAGTACGACGGTGATGTCGGCGAGTGCAGATCGCCGCGATTGTGATTCAGGTCAGCCGAGCAGACGGACCAGGAATCGAAACTCTCCTCGGGCTCCTCGGGCGAGAACATCTCGCTACTAGTGCGGTCATCCGGTGGCTGAGTCAGCTTCGTCTCTCTCGATTCGTCCTCTACGATCTCCTTTGGTTCGCCCGGGACGGATGCCTCATCGTCTCGCGATTCCACATGATCTTCTATGATCCTGGCACATTCGGTGACCTCTCGCTTCAGTTCGGCGACGTCCTTCGCTCGCAACGGCTTATCGATGATTATCTTGTTGCCGGTAATGTTGGCGTGGTGCGTCATCTTCGACAGACACTCCAACAATTTATCGTCCGTTTTGGGCGATCCGACAGGGATGGCGGGATTCGCTTTAGGTGAACCAGATCTAGGCGAATCTCTCTTGGGAGTCGCGTGTCTAAACGCGTGTTGCGGTATCTTGGACAGATCGAGTTTCAGATTCGCTCTGTTCGGTCGGTGTTGCTCCAACTGCTTCGACTGACATTGACCGATATTAAAGCTCGAGTCGGTCGGAGCCGTGGGACTCGACGAGTCCGTCGTCGGCAGAGTACTCGAAGCGCTCTGAGGACTCGGACAGTTGTGACAATTCGCCCGCGGGACATCGCGGATAGACGATACGTTTACATCCGATGCAGCACGAGTTCCCTTCGTATCAGTTTTCATCCGATTCGTATTCGTATCTGCATTTTCCGTAGCATATTCGGCATCCCTGGGCTTCGCCGCCAAGTCCGATTTGGCACGTTTCGAATTCGCGCATGACGATTTCACAGCAGTCTGATCGTCAACATCATTTCCCTCGCTCGAGCCCTTCTTTTCTCGCGTCGTGACACTTGGACCTTCGGGACTCTTCTCCTTCGTCGTCATACCTTTTGTCTCCTTTTCCTTCTTCGGTAGCGGCTTCAATGATTTTCCTCTCTCGTCAAGTTTGCCTTCGGAGCTGTCGGACGATTTCTTGACGACTTTCCTCACGACGCGCACTATTTTCTTCTTCCTAGAACCATCGATCTCATCTTTACCACAGGCCGCACTTTCCCTCGACTTGACTAGCTTCTTAATCTTCTTATCAGCCTTGTCGACATCCTCGTCTTTGTCGATCCTCGCAACGGACTCGTTTCTGCCTACTAGTGAGCTAATATTTCTTTTGGTTTTAATCAATTTCTTATCTTCGCCACTGACAATGGGCTCCTGCTTATCCTCCACAACTTTTCGCAAAGATTCCGACTGGTGACTTTCCGATGACTTTCTCCTCGGTGAGTCCACTTTGTCCAGCCTGATTTTATCCACGGATGACGACGCCGAGGAGTCCGAGGATGGCGCGGCTCTTTCCGGGGCTCTCTTAAATTCCCTCGATTGCTTTTCCACGAGGGGTGTGCAGTTCCTTTCCTTGACGATCGACTCCTTTTCTTTCGCCTTCTCCTTGGGTGGCGATCTTTTCAACTCGCTCGCTGTCTTCTCTGGCGATCTCTTGTTCTCCAGTAGCCTCTTGGTCGGTTTACCGTCGGTTTTCGCGAATTTCGTCGGTATTTTGCTCGTCGCCGTTACGTCTTCCTCCAAGGCGGAAGACTCGACCGGCTTGACGCTCGACTTGGGCGGGCTCCTCTTCAGTTTACTCACGATCGTATTTTGCGTCCGGTTGCCGCTACCGTTCGCGTTCCGCTTGGTGTCCGCTTGATGGTTGGTCTTGAACAGTCCCAATACCGACGTCACTCGCCCCTTGGACACACTCGGCACATTCTTCGCGTCCTTGTTCGATCCTCCACGACGCGAGAGATCCTCCACGCTCAACGTTCTCTTCACCTCGGACAAGCTCGATTCCGCGGACGGACACTCGACGGGCGGCGCGGAACACTCGCGCAGTCCGTGTTCCTTCGCGAGATCGCTGCTGCCCGAGATCGAGCCGCCGTTCATCATCGGCTTCGCAGTCGTACTCGTCGTCGTCGTCTCGTCGTTGGAGCGCAACCTCTCCAGTTTCTTCTCCAACGAATGCAAAAAGCTACTCTTCGAGCCTTGTTCGACCTTGGCTCTCGCCTTGTCCTCCTTGTTGGACTTGTCCTCGAAGGAGGAGGAAGAAGATGAGGAAGAGGCGGCCGCGACGGCACCGCCCAGCTTATCCTTTTGCAGCGCGTTTATTTCATTCTTCAACTCCTTGCTCTCATTTTTTCGCCTCATAAACCGCGACTTGCGGCGCTCGTTCTCCGCCGCTTTCTGCGCCTCCTTCTCCTTCACGTACTGGCTCTCCTCCCGCGGCGTGTCGAAAAAGTCCGGTCTTAAGAAGCGCGAGATACGATGTTTCGGTTTTTGGCTCCTATTGCTGTCCTTCGGTTCGGCCTCCTTACCGATGCCATTGCCGTTACCGCCGCCTCTGAAGAGTTTGCTCAGAATCGACCTTTCCTGATTAACGGTTGCGGCGCCGTTTGATACGTCGGATGAGCCGGTGAGCGACTTTCCGCGGTCCACGCTCGAATCTCTAGTCAGCGATCCCGAACGTAATCTGAGACTCGGGATGCAACTGCGTCTCTTGGATGTGACCGAAGACAGTGGATCCGAGGTGGTCATCAGGATCTCTTTGTCGCACTTGTCCGTATCCTTGTAATTGCTGCTGAGATTCGGATTAAATTGCTGCGACGTCAAGTTCTTCAATTTCGACTCCTTGATTAGATTCTCTGCCGCCAGCAAGCGGTTCTCGAAACTCTTGGAGATGTCCGTGGGTGAGATCTCGCATGATCTGGCCGACACACTCGAGGTGGCGGCGACGGTGGTGGTATTGTCCATCGAATTGGTGCTCGAGTTGCACACAGACATCGATGTATCTTCCAATACGTCCTCCGAGACGTTGTTGATATTCTCTTTGCAGGCGGACAGGCACGTGTCGTCGCCGGGCTCTTCCTGGATCTTGTCCGTTCTGTAACCGTGAAAGCTGTCTCGTCTCATGTTACCAGCGACGTTCGATCTAACCGGCTCCTTGTACCTGCGGCCGAGCGTCATTATATGCTTCGGTAGAGGCGGCAACAGCTTGTCATCGCAGTCGTCGTCGTCGTCGAACAGGCTGATGCTTCTTCGCGGCGAGTTCCGTTCCGACTTGTCGTACTTGCACGGCTCTAGCAAACTGTTGGTCCTTCTAATACCCCGATCGAGCGATCTGCCTCTGTACTCGGTCCGATCGGGAGTCGTAGACGTGGAATACCGTTTCGCAATCTCGCTCGGCCCTACCAAACCTTGCGAATCTCTCGTCGGCGACTGATAATACCTGTTGTTGTCGCGCGTAGAGGATGGTGAACGCGGTACGGATTGTCGGGTTTGCTCGATAAATTGCCTACTCAATCTGCGTGCCAAGCTGGGAGTGAAATTCTGCTCCAGAGATTCTTGCGCCTCCTTCTTCATTTCCGCTCCCACGTCTTCTTCGTACGTTTCTTCTACTTTATCTGAAAGCAATCGAGACAGAATCTATGCACATTCCGCATGGGTGTGTGTCCGCGTACACGTGTCTGCACACGATTGGACAACGATTACATGTTGTTCTTGTTGCTGTTGTTGTGTTGTGTTGTAGGATGTATGCATAAAAATACTCGTCATGTTATTATTTTCACTCCTTTATTTCTACATACATAAATCTTTTTTTTTATAAAATTTGTCGAAAAATGTAATAAATAAGAAGAGACATCCTCTCTCACTCACACACATGCACACACACGCGCGTACATGCGCACTCACATTTTCTCTCTCAAATTTTATCAAATCTCACTGGATGTTCTCTTAAACGGTTCTGTATTCATATACGCCGATGTATATTTTCAAGTCATGGAAGCTCTCTAAACGTAACTATTATGCTCTGTAGGATATCAATGACTTGGAATAGTGGAAGATTTCGAAAGAGTAAGTCTTAAGAAAATCATGTACAAAGGATAGTTGTTTGAAAATACATCATCAACGACACTAGCAGTAGCGTGTATACATACCGTATCTTTTTCTTATATTTAGGTATTAATAGAGAAAATTACAAGTGTATACTCATTTAACAGTGACTATGCGACTAAAAGGCTCGTCTTATATATCCGCGGGGAAACAATTATAAACTTTAAGTAACAAATAACAGTACAACTGATAATAGTATTAAAATTACGTCTTGTAAAATAAATAGATGCGTATCATTTGGTACATTTCTAAATCACAATGTGTTAAATGAGTAGACTCAGGACAACAAGTGCATAGTAGGATACAATATTAAATACATTATATATATCTATATATATATATATATGCATTACATCAAAGCATGCGAAGACAATATAAAGTAATAAAAACGCTGTTATTTAAACTCTTAAAAACACAACAAATATCAGCCATCTCAGACAAGGGTTAGCTTCCGCTTGCAAGTATACATTTTCACTTTTTTTTCTTTTCTTCAAATAACAATGCCACAGATAGATAATTCTCTTTCGTACAACAAAGTTACTCTCTCAAATTTTTAATGGTAACAAGTAACTTATCTAGTAACGATTTTCGCGAGTGCGCGGGTTCGGTATGATTTATTCCAATGCTGCACAATGTCGCATCACATCTATAACCGTCATTCACTAACGTCGGAGTTTTCAAGCACGATCGGTGTGCTTAAGATTATATATTTATAGACGCACCTCACTCGCCATCGGTTCATTCAATATGCACAAATATGTACATTGTCGTGTACTTTCTCAGCTATTTTCATATCTTTATTATATTATTTATCCAAATAGATATTTACATACACATCTGTATACACTCGAGAATAAATCATACCAAAGGTAACCCGAGGTTCACAGCGACACGCCAACAGGATGTTTGGTTTCATTCAAAACGCACGTGACAAAAAGTGTTAAAAGTGTATATATTTTTTTTTGTTTTCTACGTTGTTTTGTACGTTGCTTGGTCGCGTACAAACAAAATCATTGTAATGCGAAAAGTCTTGCTCACGAAAATTGTATCGTTTTGCCGAACGCATCGCTGCAATCAGAGACTCTATGTGATAACTTAAGTAGATTGACCAAGTACATTTTCGACAAACACGTCGGACGAGTGTTTCAGCGCGATTTCAACAATCAACGGCGAAAGAGATTCCTTTTCTTTCTTTCTTCTCACAAATATAATAATAAGATTACGTGCGACTTTACTAGCGTCACTTTCACTTTGAATTAGGCATACAAGATATTACTACCTAACTTGGTTTGTCTACTGGGGATTACCGTCAGCCCGTCTACGTAGAGTCACTCGCACGGTCGCTGCAACAACCGTCAATAAAACCGTCAATCAACGTATCATCAAACGACGAGCTACTTGTATATCTTTCTACAATACATCTTCGATAATAATTGTTTGCTAACTTAAGGGCTGAATGCGACCTTTAACGTATACATCATCTATTTTTTTTAACAGGGTCTTCCTTGGATTTTCTCAAATTTATATTTTCTCTCTCATCATCGTTATGTTCTTTTCAATTTATTTTTCTCACCTTTTACCTTTTACTTTGTCATTTTTGTATATTTTTATATTTCTAGAAATCGAGACTCGTAAGACACAAAAGCTACTTTATCGATGGAATTTTCTCACATGTGAATAACAAAAAAGAAGTCCCTGTCGTTAAGTTAATCATGTCAAGAAAAATAATAAGACTTTTACTGTAAAATTCTGATTTGCACACGAGAGTGCTAACAAACAATTATTTTAATTACTGATTGAAGAGTCGACGATAGACGTAAATTAATGCATGAATTTGAATTAAACATGGATTTCTGTCTTGGATAGTGGAATTGAGACTCTTGTACATATTGTATATGGATATGTGTGCAGTCATGCTCCAAAATTTTATGTACACTAGGCGAATGAAAGAGAAGAAACTATTATGCTACTACTATAATGTTATGAGATAATAAAAATCAACAGCGGCAGTGCATCGCAACAATTGTAGCATATTACGTAAGGTTCTATGTCGAGCAAAGTGAGCTTGCTATTAAGACACCGTCTTCTTCATTTATTGGGGACAGATCCTTGTTATTTTCATTAGCTTTTTTTCAAATACCGTATTACAGACCCTGCAGCTTTATACAGATTTGGATAAATAACAGATTGACGAGAATGAGTCCAAGTAAAAAAAATTAACAAATAAAATGTCTCATAGGATTGTGTCGTGCAAACATGCATTTGAGAATGCAGGATCTATCGTAATAATAGATTTGTAAAATGGATTATCCAGTTATATTTTTAAGAGAGTTATGTAGAATTCTCAATAACATGTCAGTAGTTGGAAAGTTAAATCTGGAGTTTGAAACAAGAACAAAATACACATACAGATCGTTTTTTCTTTCTTTTCGAAAAGAGATACGTTACAATGGTAAAGAAGGGTATATAGAATTATTATCTTCAGAACATTATCTTTAATTTATCGTAATTCAAACAATAAAAACGATCCATGTTCGTCTGACTCATATAAATTTTTCTCTCGCTTTCGATGCTACGTTCATCTCCTGAAGATACCGACACGTTATCGAGAATTACACACGCGCACGTAAATTATTATACGTATGCGAGTTAGTAATTAAATATATAAATTTATATAATTTTTCTTGCTTAACACGAATTGGATATGCAAATTTATAAGATTGCAAATAACAAGAGATCTGTTCCAAACGTATACCCATCTGTGCCAAACATATGAACCATATAATTAATCTATAAAGTGTTAGTATCAAAAGTTGCAAAACATTGTCAGGCAAGAAATCAAAAAATTAACATATTGGAAAGAGAAGAAAAAAAAAGACAGAAACAATAAGGGTAAAAGTAAAGAAAAAGATGTGCTCTGTCTATCAACGACTCGACAACAGCTAGATACTAGGAGAGATGCATACTGAATACCATCCAGCATTTTCTCACAAGGCTAATAAGTTTAACCAGTGATGAAATAGCATGATGACCACAGCGATTTAACAGAAGCTTCTATCATTCACCTTACATACTTTTAATTAACGCTATGCGTGATCGCTATCAAATATATAATCAATCGTTATAAAATACAGAAAGGCTATTGAAATATACATATATATGAAAATATATAGGGGGTTAAACAAATATACAAGATGTATGGCTTCTGTAAAAACGTGGATCAACATTCTACAACATTAAGTATTCGTATGTACAATTTGCAGTGGACCTTGGTCGACAATGAGTAAATTGTTTAAATATTGTGAAAATCTTTATCACTTTAAAGATTGACTGTCGTCACGTGTGCGTATAATTATACGCACGATCGTGCATATAAGGTACCACATTAAATTGTAAAATATGACTGTACTCTCTTACCTCTTGGCAAGGTGTTGTTTCCGATTTCAAAGACACTCTCTCTGGAAGGCGTGCTGCACGATCCAGGACTATTTGGAGTTCCGGGATTAGAAGTACTGGCGGAGTCTCTCTTCGAAAATATATCCGCATCGCGTTTAAGATACGATTGTGAGAGTCGCCTGTGCGCACAAAAATAGGAAACAACAAAATGTCACTTGTACGTACAAATTGTCCTTATAGCGGATTTATTACGAAACGTGTGTCGGAAAAGAGAGAGAGAGAGGGAGAGAGAGAGAGAGAGAGAGCGAAACGTGTTCACGTCCAGTGGAAAATGTTGCCTGACACGAGAGAGTGCAAAATAAGCGGGAGGATCTACGAAGGCAAAAGTATCGGTACTGGCAAGGTGCAAAGATGTTGGCAAGAAGCAAAAGGTGTCACAGCCTATAGCAGATATTTCGGGCCTGTTTATTTTCACAACTTGTACACTACTCTCATGTATCCGCATGTATGTACATACTCTCATGTGGCGCATGGTTAAGCCAAAGTGGGTTCAAGCGAAATAAGGTTGACATAAACGTGTACACGTATAATATAAATAATGCGATCTAATTGTTTTAACCTGCTTGTAGCGTGTGTCCAATTGCAATTTCTGTATGTCTACCGTTTTAAACGGCGGTTCCTACTATAATACTTGCTATCTCAGCTAGCAGACTCGTACACTATTACAATCTCTATTACAATCTCTTTCTATACAATTGGACTCACGTAGTCATGGTCCGTGTTTCGACACAGCTCTCGTAGCTTGCACAGACAAGCATAAAACCATCATCATATTAATCCCAACTTTTGGAAAGTGACGAGAATATTTTCCTCCTCGTACGAATAACAGATCGAGATCTCTCGCGTACTTACCTGGACAACGGCTTGTCAAAGCCCCAAAAACCTTGCGACGATTGGGAGCCGAGTCTGCCGAACAATCTACTGCTTGGGAAACCGGCGGATCGCTTATCATCGACGTTGAGTCGCTGCGTCAGACTTCGCACTCTGGACAACAATGTAGAGAATAAGTTTTCGGCAGTCAATAACTCGAAACCGTCGTCATCGTCGTCCTCGCCGGACGACAAGCTGTCGGCGTGTTCGGACGATTGTCTGGATGGTCGCGAACTCCTCAACCGATGCATATGTCTTTGCAACAAATCCTCCCTGTCGAGAGAAGGAATATTATCATTTCTTAATACTTGTCAGTCGACGTTCTCAAGTGTAAAATCGAAATTGATTGCAAAACCGAATTTAAGTCGACCAAGTCAAGATCAATTGTATATTATTTACCCGTGTAACGGAGAAAAGGGAGACTCATCTTCGCTAGCGTCCGATAAAAGAGCGCTCATTCTTCTTGGTCTACCGAATCGCGATCTCGATGGATTCGTACTCGTCGGTGTGCCAGTCTTATTCTCCGGCTCCAGACTACCCGATCTGGGAGTAACGTAACCGCCACCCTCCACCGCGATAGGAATTATGTACTCTCTAGGACTCTTTCTGATTGGTTCCGGTCCCACGGTTGAACCGAGAGCGCTGTCCGTGTCTGAATCGGCGGTCGATTGGCGGGACAGAGAATCTGATCGTTGAGACATTGATCTCTGGGTCATTGGCGGTTTAGGCGGTGGCGTGGACGAATGCTGTGTACTCTCAAGTCCTGCCTCCACCTATAATTTTTATGACCATTTTACAGATGTACAAAATTCTTGTTCCTCGCTTTCGCAGTTGTTGTTAAACTCTAGGAAAAAATATGCTTTTAACGTAAAACAACACGTTCATCTCCCCGTACCTGGATAGGTATAATCCTTTCTTTCGGTGTAACTTTAGGTCTGCCTTCCGGCTCCAAGCTTGAACTTCTGTTTGCATGGGGTACCGCTGCGGCAACTGGGAATGCTACTTCCGACCTCTGCGTGCGCAGCTTCTGCGGCTGGAAAGCATCAATCTTAGCTTCTACCTCAGACTTGAAGGCTACAGTTTCTGGCGGTCTGACTCCGGACAACGTAATTTCAGCTTTGCTCGTTTTTCGTCTCGGTAACGTTGCACTTTTTAACGTTATTTCCATCTTACTAGACACCTTGGGTTCCTCCAATTGCGAATTTTCGATACCAGACGTATCGAATGTACTAGTGATCTATTACCAAAAAAGGGGAGGGGGGAACGAAATGAAATAATGACACACGTCAACACAGCGGGATTTAAATTTCGTACTTACAGTTGCTTCCGGTGCCGCTGATTTAACATCAAGGTCGAATTTCGTCTCGATCGGCGTGGAGACCGACACCGTGGCCGACCGCACGTCATTCGGCGCAACCTGTATCTTCAGTCCAAGTTTTTTGGAATCCGAGCTCTGGGGCGGCGAGCCGTTCAACTTTTTCTGCATTGGAGGCTTACCGATCGCGCCACTAATGATATCAATAGCACGTTTCTTCACTTCATCTCGCTTGTCCAATTTATCCTCGGCGACCTCTCGATCTCCAACAGGCGTTGCCTGTTTCTGCTCGTCCTCCCTCTCACCTTTCTTGCCAGTTGGTGATACATCGATAATAACTTTAGACGCGCTGGCTTTCGCAGGGGATGGTGTGGTTACGGACGAGAGACTGGCCTTCCGTTCGAAGGCTCGTTTCGCGCCTCCCACATTAACGCCAGGAATAAAAATCTTTTTGGGTTTCTCATTTTCCGTGGTAGACGATAGCTGATTGAACTTTTCAGCTGTCTCAAATATTTTGGAGCGTCGTCTCTCGACGGGTTTAACAGGTGGAGCGTTTGCCATCTCGTTCGACAGCTCCGTGTCCAAAGAGAGTGCTTTCTCTTTCAACTTTTTGAAATCGTTCTCCGTTGGTTCTGATATCTGGTTTTGCATATCTCGCGACACGTACGCCTCATTTTTGACACTCGTGTCGCTCTCATTTGGCACTTTTGATTCCAGATCGCCCGACCTTTTATTCAACGCCGTCTCGTTGGTTACTTTATTCAGACTGTTTTCCAAAACAGTCCTCTCGGCCGCGTCTCCATATAAACTGTCGTTAGGTGGCTTGTCTCGCTCATCGCTAGTCTTCGGCTCGATCTCGCAGATCTGTTCAACACTCTCGGTAGACAACGGCTCACGTGACTGTTGATATTCGCTTATCAACGGAGTCTTACTCCTCCTCTCTTTACTCGGCGATCTCTCCTTCGATTCTTCGATCAGCTCTAGACAAGCTGCCGTATCTTCTATTTTATTCAAATCAACAGTCTTACTCGTAGGAACAGTTACAATGGCTGCCGGTTCCACCTCCATCGCCTCTTCAGAAATAGAATTTGGAATTGGAGCCGAATGATGCCTAGGACAATAATAGTCAACGTTACTCGTCTCTCTCTCTCTTTCATACTAATGGGAATAAAATAACATTTCAAGAGAAATATCCATCTACCTTGACGAAGATCTGTACGCCCTAGGCTCTCTCTCGTCTGACTTATCTTTCCTTCTGGATCTCTCTTTCCTCTTCACGCCTGCCGCAGCCGTCTCGTCCATCGACGGTGTCGTCTCTAGTTTCCTTTTAGCGTCACCGGCCGCGGAAGACCTCGGCTCCTCCTCGAGCAATTCTCTTATCCTCCTGTCGGAGCTATTCTGATCGAGTTCCATTAAGCTACCGACCGAATGACATCTAGTAGGCACCAAAGTCTCGGAAGACATACTATTGGCGACATCTCCTCCTGCCTGCTGATCGCCCCCGACTAGCAATTTCTCAGCGCTGGCTGACTGTGGCACCAGAGAGAGCAGCAGATCCAGGCGAACTGGAGTCTGAGCTGCCAAATCTTCGGCGATATCGAGGCAATTTTGCTCGTAGCCTTCGTTGACCCACCAGTGCGTACAGATCCTCTCGATATCGGCACGCCTGCCGGGACACACCGTGAGCATCTCCTTTATCAGCGGCGAAGCGGCTAGAATAGAGATGGAATAGAATCGAATTGTCGCTATTTACTCGATAAATACGACGATACTCACGGGATGGCTTTTTCGGCTCGAAATAATCCGATTGCGAGATCTGTTTGACTAGTCGCTTGAAGTTGGACCCATCAAAGGGCATAGCACCGTAGACCAATGTATATAGTAGAACACCTAAACTCCAGCAATCGACTTCCGGTCCGTGATAAGGAGTTCCCTTCACTATCTCCGGACTCGCGTACAACGGACTGCCGCAAAACGTGTTTAATAATCGCTGCTCGTCGAACACGTTCGAGAGACCAAAATCGGCTATCTTGGCGTTTCCGACTTGGTCCAACAAAATATTCTCGAGCTTCAGATCTCTGTGGCAGATTTTATGTTTATGGCAATAAAAAACAGCGGTAGCTATCTGCCGGAATATTCTGCGGGCCTCGTGCTCGCCGAGAACTTTGCGCTCGCTTAGATAATCGTATAGTTCTCCTCCGGCTGCATACTCCATCACCAGTACCATCTTCTCTCTGTTTTCGAACACTGTAAAAGTAACCATGTCCTCTCAACATGTCCTCTCTAGTGCTAATAATTTCCCAACCATTTCTACCGTTACCTTCATAAATGTGAATAATATTCGGATGCTGAACACTCGACATGATCTGTATCTCCCTCCGTATTCTGATCAGATCAGCTTCCGTTTCTATCTTGCATTTTTTTATTGTCTTTATCGCCACCTCCTGACCAGTCTCCTTGTTTATTCCCAATTGCACCTTACCATAGGTGCCTTGCCCTAATTTCTTTATAATGTCGAACCTGCGAGACATTTCGAGACGAGAATGTTAATCGAATCTAGCTGTGGAATGTAAATTCAGACTTGTCTGTTCAATTCATTGCCGCGCTTGATCGTGAAATTATTTCCAAAGTGTCTTTTGTCCAAGTATACATACACGCATGTGTAAGCAGAAAAGTGAATCGTCAACTAGAATTGATTTACAAACCTTTGCTTCAGCTTCCGCTTGTGATTATGAAGACGCACGCCGCCCGTGCTCTCCATCCCTCCCATTATATTATGTATACTTGCTTCTCCGACAACCATCTTGTCTGCGTTTATCTGAAAAGGAAACACGTTGGCATTTCATTTTAATTTCATTCTGATTTCGTAGTCGGCACGGTTCTTCTCCTCAATTTCTTTCTCTTCAAGTAGTTTCCTGCCTTCCAGGCCAAACTGTCGGACGCGAACGACGTCCCACTCTTTCGTAAACGAGAATGACAGCGGCAAAGGGTAGTTATAGCCATCCGAGTCTTACATTAAGAAATGAAGAAAGCGAAAGCAAAAACCAAGACATGAGGGAGGGGAGAGGGAGTAAGTTTATTTCAGGCGTTGAGACGCCAGTGTATGTACGTGGCGACCCGGTGCCGTCGTCGGTGGGTTTCTTCTCCTTCTCCCTACGCGTACCAAAAAGACTCTTGCTCGCTAATTTCGTACATTCTTGAGAAAAAACTCATACCCCTATTTAACACATTCTTTAATCGGTCGTTTATGTACAAATAATGGGAATTACATGTTGACAAATATATTACGATTCTAACGGTGTAGCAAAATGTCAATCGAAAATAAGAAAAGCAGCGTCCGAATGCTTCATTATCGCGAAAACTAGGAAAAAAGAGAATTTTTTGGCCAGTAAAATGCCGATGGAAACATCGATGGTTTCCGAGTTGCCGTAATGATATTATTCTCGCGAGTATGTCGAAGATGTCGTTCTTGGCTTGCTGCATGCAAGATAAGGTCCGAGAGCACGGGAGCCTCGTCGCTCGGCTATTAATGCATCGCGCGGTGAATAAATTCGAGTGTGCTCGCTCTGGCTTCCGCCAGGCGAGTAACGACGGCTGCTACTTGCTCAGGGTGAATGAAACTGGCGGAATAAAGAAGGTGACGTCGCCAATTTCCATGTCCCTTGGACTCGGAAAGACCGACATTGAAAGTGGGCGCAAAGTCGCTCCGTTCTCGATACACTCCCGATCGTTCGCTCGATGCGTTACGGTATTTTTAGCAACCGCTATTTCCAAGGAGCGTGCAGCGACAGCGCTACTCGAGTCCAACTAACGACCCTCGTGGCTCTTGGCGCGATCGGTTGATTTCTGCTAGATTCCAATTTTCCTCGGTGAGATCGGAAACGTAGACATGAGCGGTCGCAGTCGCTGTCGTCGTATCGACGAAAATAGCGCTCTCAGGGGAAATTTCTCTCTCCGATAAGCCATTTACGGAGCAGTACACCAAGTACCTGTGTCCTCTTTTTCTCGTTGGCTAACCGTGCGACGCCCACAATAACTTTCTCTCCGTCTCTCTTGTGCGAGCCAAGCGAGGTATCTCGTACTCTTTTCCTTCAACTAATTCAACTAAATAACGCTTTCAAAGGTACGTATGTATTATAATAGAAATATGATCCTCTTTTAAAGGGACAGGATTAAGTGTTTTAGCCAATAGGTTACAACACTGCTCGACATGAAAATAACTGACTAGAAAATATCAAAGAGAATGACTTGCTGTTCAAATTACTATCACTTTTCTATCGCTTCCATTTTCTCTATGGTCCTCCAATTATTCTCGGATTATGACATTTGTCTGACACGCGAGCAGATTTGGAGAGCTTCCCCGTCAATCCTCACTTTCCCTGATAATAAATTGCTCGCGGATGTCGGTCGCCCACGATAGAAAGCTATCAATGGGTTCCTCACCGAGGAAGACACGTACGTACGCACACGCTCGCGCCGGCCAGGCGGCCAGGCGGCCCGGCTAAAAATAGCGGGAATTCGTACCTTGCGCCGTCAACTCTGGAGCGTCGATTATTCCTACTCTCTCGCTTTTCCTCTTGCTCCTTTCATCCGACTGACTCGAGGATCGAGCAAGTCCACCAGCGAGCGATACACACACACACACACACACACACTCCGAAGCGCGAACCTCTGTCACTAGTGTCACTTGCCGGTCAAACGAGCAGATTTCTCGAGCTTTCCCGAATCGTCGAAAACGATCGCGAGACGCACGGTTTCCACTTCATTTTGCCGAGCACTCTTCGCGAGACGTCGCGGCGGAGGAGAAGGAGGAAGAGGCAAAGGAGGAGGACGAGGAGGAGGACGAGGACAACGACGACGACGACACGGCGCACGGCTCCAACGCTGCCATCTCGTCTTTATTTACTAATTTTGGACATGAACCGCAGAAACGGGTTCGGACCGCGACGATTACGGCGCCACAGCAAGGTTGAGCGGTACTGATTGCTACTAGTCGCGCCGATTGGCCAATCGCGAGAGAGCGCGAGCCGATATGTGCACACATCTCTCTTTCTCGCTATAGTCTATGCACGTTGACCGAGGATAACCTCAAACTGACGATGAGCGTGAATGAGTGTCGTTACGAAAGGAGAAAGCTTTGAGAAAACAGTCGAGTACGCGCGTGCAAAACATGGAGTTGCCTGAAAATTGGGATAATGAGTGCAACGACTCACAAAATGACGTCCAACAGCAGGATGAGTTACCGAGCCCCCTTATTCCTGGATACGTAACCTTTGACGATTACATCCAGGTAACCTCCGTCCTCGCTTCCTCGCGACGATCGTCTTGTTGACATCTAAGGAAATATCATTTCAGAATGCATTTGACGCGATGAGAGCCGGAATCAAGGCAGCCAACAATCTGCCTGTTGGAGACAACTTCAACTACTATGCTTGTTTTTCAAGCTTCAACGACGCCAGGCACAGAGACGCAGAGAGAATACTGGCTACAATGCAGAGCGTGATAAAACTAACGGGTGGTTCTACCAACATCCAAACTCGAGACGATGAGGAAAAATTTGATCTTTTATTGGAAACAAACGACCTGCTGTTGGATCAAGCTGTGAGCACCTCAGTCTTCTCTCGCTAATTTCACTTTTCAATTCCCATTCTCTGTTACAGAACATATTGATGGACGAGGAGAGCGGTGTCTTGCGAAATCCTCAAGTGGAATTAGTCGTGTCGCAAATGCCAAAGCCAGTTGTGAATGGCAGTTGGAACATAAGGGCCAATCAGATCGATCGAGATGGTGCGGAGAAAGTACGGCTGTTGGGTGGTAAAAATATACAAAGACCGCAGTTGATGTTTAAAGATAAAATTGACAATAGTTTCAAGCCGTGGGTGCCTCGAATTAAGGATAAACCAAACTCGCTCAAGCCATTGGCTCTCCAAGTCGAGGAAGGTGAACACGGCGAGGTGTTCAATCATCCATACGAGTTTGAATTGGACAAGTTTGAAACGCCAGAGTGTCAACTGACCAAGAGAATACTCGTAGAGTACAAGTCGTTGGACGATACCAAACTGGTATTTATCGACAAGCCAGCCGATATCGAGATTCTCCTGCAAGATCTGAGAAATGAGAAGGAAATAGCCATCGACTTGGAACATCACTCTTATAGAACGTTTCAGGGCATAACTTGTCTAATGCAGATATCAACGAGAACGACCGATTATTTAATCGATACTTTGACCCTGCGATCAGAATTGCACCAACTGAATGAAATTTTGACAAAACCTTCGATTCTCAAGGTCTTCCACGGTGCCGACATGGACATTTTGTGGCTTCAGAGGGACTTGTCGCTCTACGTCATCAACATGTTTGACACCCATCAAGCAGCGAAACAGCTCAACCTACCCTACCTCAGTTTGGCTTATCTGTTGAACAAATATTGCGACATAGATCCCAATAAACACTTTCAATTGGCCGACTGGCGTATAAGACCTTTACCGTCAGAACTGATGAAATACGCGAGAGAAGATACGCACTATCTGCTTTACATAAAGGACAGGCTCAACAACGAGTTGATTGACATGGCTAACGGCAAGGGCAATGTCTTGAAGGCTGTCTACGATCAAAGCACCGAGATTTCCAAGCGCACGTACGTGAAACCAATTTGGACGGAGGAAAGTTGTATAAACATGTACAGGAAGAGTCAGAAGTCGTTCAACAATAAGCAGATGTACGCGCTCGTCCACTTGCACAGATGGCGAGATCTCACTGCCAGAGAGGAGGATGACAGTATCGGCTATGTCTTGCCGAACCACATGCTGCTCAACATAGCTGAGACCTTGCCGCGCGAGATGCAGGGTATTCTCGCGTGCTGTAATCCAATTCCGCCATTAGTGCGACAGAATTTGTTGAAGATACACAAGACAGTGCTGAAGGCTAGGGAGCAGCCGCTTGTAAAATCCATCTCCGAGCAGGAAATTCGGCAGAGACCGACGCAACAGAATCACGCGACGGACACCGGGGCTTCCTTGTACAACATACCGCACGACGTACCGAGCGGCACAGAGGCGAGAGCGGACTTGCCGTGTCTTTTGAACAAGACAATCTCAGCCATGCCAGGTGCCAACGAGTGTCGCGTACCGACGGTCAAGCATACCGTAACGATATTCGATACACCAGAGGTGACACAATCATCATCCTAATATCGTACATGCACCTTCAGTTAATTATACTTTTTATATTTCAGGATCAAATTCAAGGTCAAGCAAAAACCAATGACCAAGACAACAGAAGCAAGACTATATTTGTAAGTCCGTTTATGAGATACAAATGTGTCATACCAATGCTAGTGGATCAGGAAGCAAAAGAACATGAGAACCGACAAAGAAAGGGGAAAGAAGAAGAAGAAGAAGAGGCTCTCATAAAACTCGAGGATGACATTAACGAGAGTATAAATAGAGTTCACCAACACTTTAAGCAAGTATCTCAAACACATGAACAAGTGAAGATTTCGCCCAAGAAGAAAAAGAAATCGAAACAATTAAGTCTAAGCCAAATACATGGCGGAAAAAGGAAGGGAGAATTTGATACTGGAAACGTGGATCGGAAACAGAATGGCAACTTTATTTTTCCTAGCACGTCGACGCCATTCTTGGATGCTTTAAATGTTCATGTATCCAAGAAAGCGAAGCGAGAAGCAGAGGAAACGATCGAGGAACGAAAGCTGCAACAGAGCCTCGCGCAAGTTCAGAGCGATAATAATTCTGAAGCAGTTAAATCGATAAGGTAAGCTGTTTGCTTTGGGAAAGAAAATACCACGTGTACAACTAATTGGACAATTTCTTCATTCGACAGAGCTAGGAAGAAAGGCGACAGAAAGGCGAATGAGAAACAGCTCAAGGAACAGGGTATGTTACCATCCGAAAAATTCGACTACAAATCGGTAGATTTCAACAGTTTCCAAGGTGGCAGTAAGCAAAGTAGTGCAAATCAGACAAAGTTTCAGCAACCTCGGGTAAGTAAATATCGTTTTATCTTCTCGTCAATAATTTATATTTAAAACATCTTTACGTGGAAATTTCATGACAGCGGAAGAAGACGGAGAGACCTCAGAAATGGAAGAAACAGAAGCTTAATATATAGTTGCGTCGTGTTTTTTTTCCCCCTCATAGAGTTATCTTTGGAAAGAAGAAAGATTCTTACAACATAAGGATGTAAAAATATGTACTGTAAAAAGAAATCTTCTTACACCTGTACCGACGAGTTTTGATAACATTTCTCTACGTGTTTGAAAATACAAAAGATGCTGTGTGAAAATAATCGGTCGATCCAAATGTAAGATTACTCGTTCGCTTATTCTTTTTTTCTCTCCTTAATAATGTACAGATCGTACGTCTGTATAAAGAAACATGTGTGTAAAAATACAATTGTTACAAGTCATTGTAAAAATGTTGAAAATTTTGTTTCAAGTTAATCCGTATTATCCACATTAATCCATACGCTCGTATCTATGTTGAAAATGTTTTGTAATTTTAATCGACTAGACAGAAGTATCCTTTGCGTCTATCAATCTCTTAACGAAACAAGGTTCAAGATGAAAATTTAAATCATTCCTCTTAAAATAAAGAACGTTGACTTTTTTTGTAAATGAACCAAAGTTATAATAACAAGAGTGACTGTCGGTAATTTGATAATTCGAGGTTATATAACTCGTATTATCGGAATTATATATCTGTGTGTGTTTGACCGTACAAGAGTAAAAAAGTTGTTTGTTTAGACATTTTCTGATTAAGCACAAATGGTCGTGGCTTATCTAGCCAAACGTGACGATGGAATATTTCGTATGGAGCGTGTACAAATATATTAATCCAAGATTCGCGGGGGTAAGACACAAGTGTTACAAGCTGAGTCTGGAAAATTCGCTCGGGGAAGCGTGATTGCGACTTGTGAGAGCGATCCGGAAGGGAGGAATTTGTCTACCATAATTGTTTCCGTTCTCCTAATATTCTTGTTTTCTCAATTTCTTTCTGACCGTATTGTGTTCTTTTAAAGAAGACAGGTGCCATATAAGTAAAAAGAGCCATTGGAAGCTAGTGCGCGACGATGGTCTATCGTCCGGTCATTCTCGCGTTCGCCATTTTCTATCAATTTTCCACCGACGAGTGTTTTCGTCCACACGTCGCGACGAATGTAATTCAGCTTCTCGAACATGCGCCGAATAAAACGACGCTCGTTACAAAAGCTGCGCCTCTATTTAATGAGACCACCCTAACGAATTTTACGTACACGCTATTTACTCGCGTGGACAACACGAGCGAGTTGTCGCAAGCTGCACAACAGCCCCAGGTGGACTGCCTGGGACTAGGGAAGAGAGTCGCGGCGACTCTGGATTGGTTCTTCAGGAGTAAACCTAACGGGAGTGACGCCTTGGACGTACAATTTCTTCTGTCCTCTAGGAAACAACCGCGTCGCGTGCATGTGGTACTCGGCGAGCAGTTCGGTCTGGAATGGACAGACTTTCGGATAGAACGCAGGACGGTCATCATAGTGCACGGCTTCCTGTCTCACGGCCAGGAGACATGGATCAGGGATATGGAAAGAGCGTTCCTCGAATGGGTGAGTCTCTCTCTCTACTTGTTTTCCAAACAGTCGCTTATTTTTTATGGAATTTAAAAATGAAAACAGGATGACGTCAACGTGGTGGTAATAGATTGGAGCGCCGGCGGTAATACATGGAATTATTACAAGGCAGCGGTTAACACGAGAATAGTAGGATATCAAGTATCAAAGTGCGTAGGTTGTTAAAGCGGTAATTTAAATCGGGCACATGTCCCGCCCTTCTAATGTATAGCTCATTCATCAAGATTTCATCAAGATTTGTAGAACACCTGACAAACGCCACGGTCAACGACAATGGGCCGGACGTAAATAATTGGGGGCCTTTACATCTGGTAGGACATAGTCTCGGCGCTCACATTTGCGGATTCGTCGCTCGAGAGTTAAAAAAGAGGCACAACAGATGGACTGTGCAGAGAATCACCGGTCTGGACCCGGCACAGCCATGTTTTCGCAAGACTGACACGTCTGTCTCTCATTTACATAAATATGACGCACCCTTCGTTGACGTGATACATACAAACGGCAGATTACTAACGAGTCTAGGTCTTGGCTTACCGGAAGCTATAGGTAGCTCGATTGAAACTTGATCCGACATGTCGGACAATGAATATAATTTTGGGATCGTGATTCCCGACAAGCTCGTTCGTAAAATTTTTAACATGTTACAATTAACGCATAGGTCACGTGGATTTCTACCCGAATGGCGGTAAAACGCAACCTGGCTGTATGCGATCGGAATCATCGTATTTTAATTATTTGCCCATCCCTACGGCTGGTTAGTGCTAATAAAAGGATTATTTCATCGGACTAAGAGAGTGAAGAAGAATGAAGCATGTTATTGCACTTGTAGAGATACAACGAGCGATATGTAGCCACGGACGTTCTTACGTCTATCTCACTGAATCGTTGATAGCGGCTACCGCGCGCAACTGCAGTTTCTGGGCACACCAATGGAACTTGACATACAGACATCTTTTACAAATCATCGCGGAACCATGCGATAGAAACGTCTGCACGGAAATGGGCATTAGAGCAGAAATGTACAATCAGCGTGGAAACTTTTTCGTCGCTACAGCCAGCACTACTCCGTTTTGCGGTAAATGTTTTACTGCTATTTCCGTAGATTGCATAATTGTTTAACCATTAACCACGTGTCGTTATAGTCAATAGCACCGATGTCATTGAGGAGGTGAAACATCAGCTGCAACAGGATCACCTTGGCGACACAGAGGATTGACAATTTGATAAATGCAGCAAATAAATGTGTTAACAGTATACTTGAATTTCTTATATCTACATATTTACAATTTGCACATGCACAATATTTTACGTTTGCGCGCGTTTCATTTCAAATTATTTCGCAAACAATTTGCCAATTTTTTTATTTCAATTAGTTGCCGAGTTTATCTTTCTCTCTCCAGTGTAGGAGGAGATGATAAACTCTGAGCTGAAAAGAAGAGACGTCGAGTCCAGCTCGCTCGTTCGCATTCGTTCGCGCGATCGCGGCCGCGCGAACAAGCGAATTTCAAGTTCCCGTCTCACGGCGATACGCGAGCGCACGACGACGTCTTTGAGATCAGACTCGAAATACTCAACTGCGCAAGAGGAACCATATTTCCAAGATAGCAGCATAAATTAGGTTTACAGGAAATCTGTTATCATCGCCAATGTCGATCAACTCTCCAAGCCCGTGCGAGTAGTTAGAGGTTAAGATTCGAATTTGCCGCACATATAACTCACTCACCGGTCACGGAGCGGTGCAATGCGCAGCAACGAACCGCCAAAGGCGCCAAATCAGGTCCGAAGGAGAATGAGAAGCGTCATTTATTTCGTCCCGCGGGCCGCGAGAAGGAACATTCGGCGTACGTTCGGCTAGCAACTCTCACTGTAATCCTTTTTCACTCGCGAGGAAAGAATCGACGCGAAGAAACGCGCTCGCCGCACAGCCTAGCCGGCTCTGAGCCCGCCGCACCGCACCGCACGGTCGAGCGCCCTTGAGATTGCCCAAACATGTTTGCTACCTCGCGCGGCGGTATATTATGCCGTAGTTTTTTCGTTGAGCGATCCAACGTACACATTCTCGGCAGTCAGTCGCCCGAGGGATTTCGAGCCGACGGGACGTGTTCGTGCGCCGCGCGGCCGAACCAGGCGGCCATTCTCTCGAGCGGAATCTAGTCCCCGTGTGTCAGCCAATCGCTCTCGACGTCTCTCAGCCGGCGCGGCGCGCGGCACATTTAACGTACTCTCGAGATTCGGAAACGACGTTCGTTACCTTCCGCGCCGGTTGCCGCGTCATGTGTTTCTCCGTTCGGCGCGTTCGACGTATTATACCTGCACGGCCAAGTGACTTGGCGGCCGGTTACTCGCTCGTCGGATCTCTCGAGCGGATTACTACTTTCCGCCTTGCGGTTGGCACCAATGTTCCTCTTTCCGCGGGAATCCGCTACTTGCGGACCGCGAGTGCATCAGGTTTGTCGGAACGAATGCGTGGCGGCTGTCAGCGGCTGTGTCGGTTACGGATCGGGAGACATTAATCGATTCTGAGGAAAAGGACCAAGAGTGAATGTGTCACGCGATTCTCTCGAGGCGGAGATACGGCAATTGTGAACCGTTTCGTTGCGCCGTTCGCGGACGGTTGCTCGCTGCGCCGCGCCGTGTCTGCATTTCAATACGGCCGTTTCTTCTGTGCGTCGTCGCGTTTCGTGTCGATTGATACTTAATTCATCTCCGATTCTTGGCGAGTGCGCGAGTGAGTGCTAGTGCTAGTGCTAGTGTTGTGCCTCGAAGGAAACCAGCGCAGCCGGCCATCCGAGAGGGCATCGGGCATCGGTGGAGCAACCTTGCGGTAATTATCTTTCATTTTGCGCAAAAGCCATCTTTTACGCCGCTTTTTTTTCCGAGTCATTATATCGCACCATAATTTAACAATTGAAGAGAAAGAAGTAATTCAAGATTTTATCAAAGTTCGTCCCTGTGAGTTTTTCTCGAAAGACGTTCAATTATTCAAGTATAAAATATTTAATTGAACAGAAAGTTGATTGCGCGTGAGAATTATATTTTGAAACTTTGCTTTCTTAACACTGTTTGAATATTAATTTTATGCTTGTGCATTACAGAATCATCGTAGCGACGTTGCAGTTATAACTCCGCTGCTGCGCGTCAGTGTTGGTAAGTCATGAATTAATTTTCATTACTGAGGTAACGGATCCGTGATATATACTTTGATGCACATATGTATTAATTTGTTAATGTAAATGTAAAATATATAATAGTAAATAGAAATATAAAGCATTTCGTGCATCCGTTACCTTAAAATTGATAAGTTAAAACAGATTAGGAATCGCGATTAAAAACTAGATTCCATCTTCTACAATTTCGGATAATCCCGGTCGTAACTAAAAATATATTAGTTAAAGATACGGGTGGGTATAGAAATATCATACACGTAGATAAAAATAGGGTAAAACGCAGATAAACTTGGTGTAAGTAGGATAATTAATACGCAAGAGTACTGGATAGGGATATGGGGCTGTTATTTTCGACAGTAAAAGGAAATTTAATTAGAATTATAATTTCGGTAGGAATTTTAAGAAAGTTAGATAGGAAAATGAAGAATTAACTACACTGGTAGGTAGGATTGGGGGGGGGGATGATACGACAAGGAAAACAATTAATTTACTTGGCAGATTTATTATTGTACAGTTTTATGTAAATAAACTGTACAAGTTTACTTTATAATTATTTGCACAAAATTGTACAATAATAATGCGTAATAATAACAAGATAAAGTTAAGAATAATGTGCAAAATGATGTACTTTGTCGCGAAAATTGTTGATATAAAATTATATAAAATTGTATGTCTAATTTGTGTAAACGGATTACACGAAATTTCTTAAATTAAAAAATATTAGATGGTTTTGTTATTAGATATTTTATATCATCTCTTTTCATTGACTTTGGTGACTTCAGCTATATATTCGGCAAATGTTTTAAAAATTTGTATTCGAAATTGTTGCCAACATTTTCCGAATTTATTAACGATTTTTTTGTTACTATATATACAATATTGATAGAATATTGACTTCTCTCTCATGAAATTTGACTTGTACGTTTTACAGAGTCGCACATGTAGTTCGAGAGAGTCTGCTGTATTCAATGTTCTCTCAATAAATTATAAGGAAAACGTTATACACGTGCAATGAAATAATTTTGGCGTTAAAAATGAGATATGTATACAGCATGCTTGAAAAATAACATTCTCAAAACGGAAACTCTAAGAATAAAACTGTCTAGTTGAAATAATGAAATAGTAGAGAGAAAATAAAAGGTACACCAGTATCAACATAATTTATCAATGTAAATAAAATGTTGATACAATTTGTTTCATGGATAAAAATTTCATAGATGTCACGCTAAGGAATTGTTAACGTCAGTAAAACGGATGACGCAATCAAGTTTTCAAACATAATGTATTGCATATCTTGACAAGAATAGAAATACGCACGATGAGTAAAAATGCATTGTTAATACTAACTCACAATCAGAGTCGTAGCTCGAGTCGATTTTTCCAGAATAGTACACATAAAAGAAATATTAATTGTACAGTAGTAAGAATGAAACAAACGTATAAACGCAAATAGTATAACAAGATGATAAAAATATTTATTCCGCCAGAGCTTGTCGGCACCAAACGTATCGGTGTGGTAACTACTATTTGGTATTAATTCTCAATTCAGTTTTATGCGAGCTCGAGCGAGTTTGCGGTTGAAATATCTTCGATTTGTGCGTATAAAGTATAAAGTAATGGTTGCGTGTAACGCTATTGGCACGTAATAACACTCTTACTTGATTTAACGAAACCAGATGGAAGGAGCTTCCGTAAGAGGACACTATCGTTTCATTATACGTCTCGTCTCGTCACGTAACGTCACGTGGAATTCTTTCCAATACCTAGTCCAAACATATCGATAATAACATGGACAATAAATCTGCGCTTACTAATGAATGACTTGGACGTAAGTGGCAGGGAATATGCCGGTACGGCCTCTGCACTCGCCTATCCACCAGCCGTCTGGCTGTTTTTGATGAACGGTTATCAGGTCTCCCGGACTGAGACTGAGCTCGTCGTTTAGATTCGCAGAGTACTGATAAATCGCTCGGCACTGCTCCGTGCGTTCAGTCTTGGCCGTCGCTATTTCCGTACCATCAATCTGGTTGTTGTTGTCTTCCGAGTGACTGCTAAACTCGTCAAAGTCACTGAAATCATCCTCGTCCGGTGGATTCTCCGAATTGCCGTCACCGGCGGTTCGATCAGCCCAATCGCGAGCCTCGGCGTCTTGATCCTTGGTTAAATGCATCTCGAGCTCGTCATCGATGTCCTGAATCTCAAAGGATTCGTTCTTTGCCCAAGAAGGAATCTGCGAGTAGAGAGAACGCTATGTTTTTGTATTTTCTCGTACGTTTGTTCGACAGTAATTGAGTAAATCCCGAGGTCGATTTACAATAATTCAGTTAACAAATGTCTGGCTACTACACCTTGAGAACACTTTGTTGCAAACCCTGCTTGTCTCTCGAGACCAAGATGTGCTCCGACAAGGGATGCTTGGTCCGTTTGCTACCCTCCACTTCGGCGAGCGTACCACCGACTTTGTATCTAGCCGCCTCCAAGTACAGCAACATTGAGCGCATCTGCGAAAACACGCGACAATTATTAACTCTGGCAGCTAGCGCCAATTAATTGCGTCAGATTGGCGGTAAATACAGGAGACGCGTACATGTTGCAGCTTGTCCGTCACATTTTGCGTGCTCTCGTCCGCCGCAAACGCCGGAGTCTTGACAAAGGCACGATGTAACGTTTCCAGGCCTTCTCTACCTCGTCTTTCCCTCTCGAGATCTTGCCTTATCAGATGCAGCACCCTTACCAACGCCTGCTTCCGCCGTTCGCGATTCATCGCCAGCGTCACGTGCTCGGCGTAGAAATCGGGCAACAATTGTTCCGCGTTGGTCACATCGTGATTGTCCATTCGGCGCACGAGGTTTTTGAGGATCTCTAGATCCTGCGACACGTTGCAGCTGCGCACGGGTGTTAGCAAGCGCTCGGTACTCTGAGAAAGTGATATCAAGTGATTCCATTAATTTCATTATATTATATATTGGTGCGAATGAAAGGCGTGAATGAGTGCGAATGGAAGGCGCACCTGTAAAATAACCCTTTCCGTATGCATTACCTGCTGCAGTCGCGGCGACAGCGCCTGCAAGTGCGTCAAGTAAACGTTGGCGAGGTCCTTGAGGGCACTCAGTCGCTCCTCCTCGAGCAGTTCCATCTGCTTCGCACCCTTCCTCATCGCGCTCTCGTACTCGAGCCTGGCCCTCTCGGCTCTCACGCTGACCGTGTAGAATTCGGTGTCAGCTCGTCTCGACGAATCCTCGGCTTTTCTTCGTCTAGCCTCCAGCTTGCTCGCTTCCTTTTCCGTCATGTGATGACTCGACGACCTGTTGTTGCTCTGCTGGCTTTGACCAATTGTCTGTAGCCGCGCCAAATCCTGCAGCCTCTCGTTCTCGCGCGCACACGCAAAGCTCTGCTTTTTGCTCTTGGCCATGATCCCACGCCATTCCTGAAGCGATTTCGATGCCTTGTCAACTGAGTTTTCGATGCTCTTCCTCGATCGGCCCTGCGTCTCCGCGACGCCCACCTGCGTATCATCGAGTTATCTTTTCAATAAGCTACATTTTCACTGCATACGCAACCTCGTGTCGTCCCGTCGCTTTTCGATTCGCCAAGTTTCGCCAAGAGAAAGTCGAAAATTCGTCAGAGACGAGAGGCAGGGAGAGAGATAACATTCCACGTGTTCCAAGGTAACATACCTCTCTACCCCCTCCGATTTTCATTTGTTTAATCAATCGTTTTGCAACGAGCGCGACGTTGCGTAAGTACAATCATCTCCCTCCAAAGTAGTCGAGAAACCCATTCTTGACTTACTCTGAGCGGTTTGGCGAGTTGTTCGCTTAACGCGATGCCCCATAGCCGGTGGGCTTCCGCTGCAGCCTCCATCTCTTCGCCGACACACCTCCATGCTTCGTTTACACCTCCGTTGCTATTACCACCTGCATTACGAAAGAGGAGATTGCGATCCGTACCTTGCTTACCAACTAGGAGATATTACGATGTATCTATTTGCTCGATAAGTGAAAGATAAACCAACTGACAATGAGAGAAGCAGAGAGTTGGAGGAAAGAGTCTTACTTGAAAATCCAAATAGAGATTAATTCGCACATCTATCGATTGTAACGTGTACAATAATACGTGCGATACGAAGGAAAACGTTATACGATTATTGAATCGAGTCAAGTTTTCACTAAAGAGAAATTTTTGGAATAAACTCCCGCTCATCTTATTATTAATTCACTACAGCACAATTGCAATCGTTACTATTATTATTCTTGCTATCGAAAAGAACGGACAATCCTTGGCAATCACCTTGGTCCTTGGCACATGCCTTTGTCAGCTTGCTACTGAATTTGCTCAGCCCTTTCGCGTACGTAGCTTCCAGTTCAGCTCTGAAACATATATTTTCGTATTTTCTTCATTGAAAAATCGCGCTCGCGCAAAAGACGCATGATGAAAAGTACCTTTCGTGAAGAATCGATGCCAATTCCTTGCAAAAATCGCCTCCTTGTTTGACGTATCTTCGCACGTCCTCGAAACCACCTTGTCCTCCCTGCACGTAACAAGAACGACATTAAAAAGTTGCGTGTAACGATGATAACGATGAGACACACTCGATACTTGAAAAAGAAAGGGAAGAATGGGGAGGATTTTTCAAAATCCTGTTTCGCGCTTTGCTATCCTTCAGATATTTTCTCATTTGATCAAGTTGACCCCACACATTTACCGATATCGCCATAAAGTCTCTTTAGAATAATTTAGTAACATTAAATAACATTAAGAAAGTCCTACATTGCATTAATTATTTTCGTAGACAACCCTGCCGGAAATAATTCTACCAAATTCTACAAAACTATAAAATATAGCTACCAGAATCTAGGAAATTCTACGTAAATTTTAAGTGTTATAAAAATCAACATGAAGTACAAATAAGCAGATGTTTTAATTCTTTAAGATTTTGTTGATTCTCAAATTTTAAAAAGTAGTAAAGTTTTGTACTAATTTTTACAAAATTGTACGTTTTCATGAAATACCACATGTAATAATTGCTTGATTTGAGAACATTGTAATTTGTGGTACTATTTCGTAGATATTTTTCCAAAAAAAAGAATGTTTTAACCAAGATATAAAAATGTCTACCAATTTCTATATCAAGCCAATTTTTTGTAGTTATTTATAAAAATTTTAGGAAAGCCTTGTGGATGTTGGAAATGACAATATCTTAAAAGCTTATTCAAGAGACAAAATGTATAATTGTAGACTGAACTCGAATACATTCGATTCTGGAAGGGAAAGCACGAGATAGCGGTTACCACGCGTCACGGCCGATTGTATGCAACATTTACCACTATACCGAACGATACCATTATTTTTCTCACGCTTACACTTTTCTTCTTCTACAACGCAAATTGTTCTGGTCAAAAGAATTACGATACATTTATCGTAATACTTATCGGTTATCAGTCAATCCTTTGATTTATCGCTGTTATGCCTTAACTTTCTCAGGTGTTTAATTTATTGCAGTATCGTTTACTTTTGCACGAATACTCTGTTTTGTTCATAAAGTACGTCCTGCACATACTATACATATGCATATATCTATGTATAATTTAATTTCCTTTTCCAAGTATAGTATACCCATAGACATATAAGCTAGACTCATATACATTTCCTTACGGTAGAAATGGTAAAAGTTGGGTTTAACATGAGAGGGGGTTGTCCTTTGATGTAAAAAAAGTGGCTCCTTCCTCAGGATAAACAAAAGCTTCCCGTATGATTTGCTTCTCTCTCTCTGCTCTGCCTAGGACACATATGCTGAGTCTATCTTACACGTCTAACCAGTAATAGTTGCAAGATCCAATAGTATATCATATGAGAGGGGATATATAGTATATCGTATGCACGTGTGTGGACATGTGGACATTTTCTCTCTTTTTATTTTCTCATTATTAAATCTCACTATTAAATATCATCATTAAATCCTTTTGTATATTAACGGTGCACCGTCAAGTACTCAACGTGGATAACATTGCCGCATATCTTGGGGAAAGGAAGCGTCTCTTCTCCAAGACTCGTCCCGGAAGCTACAGGAACGATAAAATCGTAAAACACCAGCTATAATGGAAAGGCGTTTGTTCGTGCACGATAAACGTTCCCGCGGCTATCGGATATCGCACTTCTTTTCGTTTGCCGCGCCATGCGCCAAGGTGACTGACACTTGATTCGAATTAAAGCTTAATCATGGCCCGCGGCACTCGGTGAAAGCAAGCGTTCATTCGCGCTAGGCTTTGAGGAAAGTCGAAACAACTACGTAAGATGTGCATACACAAAGATAGGATAAATTTTTGTTACTAATACATACGCACAAATTATCACGTCACGTGCTACAAAGGAAGAAAACAAAACCGTCGCTGATAGTCTACGAGTTTGTCGAGTATCCATTGGATAGTACGTTTGTTTAAATAAGATTTTATTCGATAATGAAAAATCTTCTTTTTACGAAGCGCTATTAGAGCATGACGTGTTAAATACGACTGATAATTGCCAGTCAAATGAATTAGGTTTCCATGTCAGCAGTTCTGACATAGATATTGACTAATGACATTGAAACTCGTCCAAAATGTGACTCGTATAAAAATCAAGTAGTGAAAATAAATTACATAAATTATTAGCGGCAACAAGTATTTACGCCGTAAATGTAAAAAGCACACTGATATATAAATGTAAATCAATTTCAAATGACGGAATATACGTCATTATAATTTGCCACATTTCTTAACTCTTGCCCTGGCGATTTTTCGTTTGGCAAAATATTTCTAAATGAGAAAGTCATCGATGCAAACCCGACATTTGATCATAATGTGCAATCGTTTACGTAATTTCTCTCCAGCGGTAAGCAGTAATAGTAGTAGCTATAGAGATACTAGGCGGCAAGGATATTACATTTCCGTCATCCGCGTGTCTGTCGCGCGTATACAAGTTATACAAGACGTTCAAAAGTCACACCGGCTAAAAATTTTATATAAAACTATTTTAATAGAAAACTGTTCGGGAATACAGTTGAGTAAATTCGGCGCGTCATTTTTCAATATGATTGATAATTCTCAGGTCGTTGGCATGGATCTTTTCGTTGTGACTCAGAACCGAAAATTGTTCAGAATCAATATTATCGATAAAGTTCTTTTTAAATAGGGATTCTGATCTGACCGGATTATGTGTTTGACGAACAAAGTGGGAGATACGGAAACAACTCCCAATAACCTGATAATTTTTCCTGCTGAATCATTGAATATTACCTTTTTATCTGTACGAAAAGATTAAGAGTTTTGTATACAAAATATAAAGTCGTCTGTCTTTACGAATTGGAACTACTATTTGTAATTTTTACCGTGAAACAACTGCCTAACTTTGAGAGACATAAGATACCTACGTTAATAATTAATAATTAGTATTCACAACAATATGTTCGATGTAATAAAATTTCACGTTACGTTTGTATACATTATATTTAAGAAAAAAACGATTGTGCGATCGATGTAGCATATCGATTGTACGCAATGCAACATCTAACAGACAGGGTTTATTTGTAATGCGACTAACAAAATGACGGGGCAACTTTCTACAGAGTCGACAAATTCTACCGAAAGCATTTCTTGCTTGCCATTTACATTTGTATTTCTACATTTTCTCGGTATTTCGTCAAGAGTGGGCGATAATTAAATGCACAATCGCATCAATTATTAAATGTTAAAAGTTACTAGATGTTACGAAACGCATTCAGCACTCTACGTCCGGTAATACGAAATGCAACAGCTACCAGTGCCCATCTGAATATCGGAAGATCTCTAGGTCAGCTTGTCGCGTAGATGAGCGAGCTTATTAATTTCCCCTGTTGTAAAGGATTATTCTGCCAATGCTCATAACACACGCGATTAAATTGATGTAATGAGCTAAATTTGTGTATACATGAGCAATTTCTAAAGTCGACAACACGGCGAAAGTTGTAATCGATTAAGTGTCACATGGGGGAAACAGGTTTATTCGCCGTTATATTTCCACAAGTGTACTTGGAATCTTTTTCACGCTTGCTAGACAACAATTTGCCTTGGATCGATGATCGGCCAAGCGGCAGATTCACCCTTCAATACGCACTATGTTATACGTTGAAGGGTGCCATCATTCTATTAGAAGAAAGAATAAAATCTTACAATTGGTGTTTCGATCTGTGCGTAAAAAAATTATTTCCGCAAGAGAAAGACAAGCGAGAGAAGAAATCGCGCGATATCAAGTGAGTGTTTTTTGAAAGCTTTCCTCAATACTGGATTGTAAATTGCGCGAGATACAAAAGTAAACAGATAAAAATGAGCACCTATCCCTCACCGGTACAGATACCGATAAATATGCCTGGCCAAAGAGACGAGACGAAAAATTAGCATCGTTAAAAATCTCATCTTTCCGCCTGTTCCCCTCTCACTTGCTTCCCTTAAAAAAAATACATAAACGCCGTTATATCTGGTGAACGAGTAGCGCGTTTCCGTGTAGAGTGTAGAGCGAATGCGATTGTATGTGTGTGTGTGTGCATTTATGGATAACGGGTCGAGATGAAACGAGTTGGTGTAACTATTGCCAATTCGGACGCTAAAAGGTTAATCGATACAGTCGATCATAGTAGGTTTGTCGATGACGACAAACGTGAAACGGGCGCGGGCGTGCACTTGCAACAGGTGGTTTATTTCCATTCGCTTCGTCGCAATGGACAGGTGCGCCAGTCAATGACCACTCGCCATCGAACTGTTACAGCGCACGTAAGACATACGAGCGATCTAGCATTCGTAAAATAATGATGATATATATCGCGTAGCTATAAATTAACACACTTGGCTCGCTCATTGGTTGATTCAATAATTATTAATTTATATTCACGACTCTTTATTTTAAATCGAGTGAAAGAATGAAAAATATACACAATTGTAAAACCGTATTAATTACTGGCGAACGTGCCAGTCGTCCAATTTCACTCTCCTCGCTCACATCTTCAACTACGTTAACTACTGCGAGACAACGCGTGTGAATTCCCCCGAATGGAGTTCGCCTTTTATCTCGTCATATCGGACGATTCATCTATACATATTTATCGTTGAACAAAGAAACTTTCATCGTCACCAACGTATTTCTTTCTGTTTGTGAGTCATTCGTGACCAGTCGCCATCGGCCCGTTCAATTGTTGCGCCCTAATTTTAATATGCAATAATTAACTTTACAATGAAAAATGACAGAATTTGCGTTGAAAATGCTGATTCGAAAAACCGTAACGAAAATTATTGACCGTGGCAGCAATGAATACGCAATATCGATAATTCGAAATGCAAAAAAAACGAGCGTAATAATTGATTTCAACGAAAGTGATAATTTTATCTACGTTGCCCTCGTCAAGGAATTATACATGACACGAATCTATACGTATCGGCCAAGAGCATATGGAGAAACTCATCGACTCCTGTGCTACGCTATCGAAAAACTCGCGGTCGAATGTAGCTAGAGTCGAGCAATCTATCCTGTTCCTCACGATCGTACACTAACATATGCAGACGATTTTCAGGACATGTAGGGAAAAGACGTAGGGAAGGCGGTCAAGCCTTGCGCATGTGCGCGCATATACTCGTACAACGGATACACAACGTATCCTATACGTGTGTGAAACAAAGTCGGCTATTTTCTCCGCGTAACTTTCCCACACTTTCCATGCTTTGCTATTGCGATGCTTCGAAGCATGCTCGTGCCTGGTCGCTTAGCGCCATTTCTCTTGGACAGTCGATAAATCTCTCGATCGGATAAGCGGCCAGGTAAAGTCTCAACTTGGGGAAAGCAGAATTGGAAAACGCGACAAATTTTGATATCGACATTATCTCCGTTACATTTGTAATCTATATTTTTCAACAGTTTCACTTTTTGCTTTTTATAGAGTTATACATTTTAGTTACAACTCTTTAATTAACTCTGCAAAGGTGAAATACGTCATTTCATGATAATTGGGAACCAGTTTCAGTCCCCCGTTTCACAAAACGGAAGAGGAAAGACGTTTCATGCATGGCAAATTCGCGTAAATAATGTGGTGATTTGATAGATGAGCAAGAAGCAAATCTAAATGCACTAAAAAAGTCTGTTATGGTGAAAGCAATTTTCGATCAAAATGATGTCATCACTGAGAGCAGCGTTTGAAAAGTCTTTCGTAAAAGGCGAAGCGCGTAACGAAAGAAGGCGCGCAAACGCATCTAATTTCTAAGCCCTGTGTCGCTGATTTTGATGGCGCGTGCATCTCATAAAGTCTCGTAGAAATGGCTACTTTGTATTTGCTGTGAAATATCCGTGGAAACGTGGCAGTATTACTTAGATTGCCAGTGACAAACGAGCCATGACGTATACCATGATTAGGGATAAACACGTCAAACATTTGCGACTTGAGAGAAAATCTTTTCTTCGTAAGAGATTCCTTCGTCTTCAACGGATACACTTAAAACGCATGTACGTATGCACGATTCTAACGCATACATTTCATCTTTGGAATTTTTGCGTTGCGTTCATTCGTTACGATCACTCGTTTTCAATGTTTATCTTATGGTTCTAATTCGTTGCGCGAGGGCGACAGACAAACTCGCACGACATAAGTTTTCGTTATCCGGCAAAGTAGCATATTTAATTGGCAATACAGCAAAAGATGCATTCCGCGATGTCACAAGCTCTTGCAATACTTACTACACCATGTAGCTAAACAGTCATTAACTCTAGATGTCTACCATGAATTTTAACCAAATTTAAATTATTCGAATTTCAGTAGCGTTTCGATACTCGAATATGCACAGCACGTGTGCACGGGTGTATATATTCCACATCCGGAATTGGCGCTTCGAAGCAACAATGAAAACACACACGTGCACGCACGCAGCATCGTCTACGCGTCTACGCCCTTCAGTTCACACATCTATCTTTCCATTTCCTTCTACAATAGTTTTCAAGCTGTGCGCAAACGACTACAGTACACGTGTCAGTGTGATTCTGGTAATGAGAAAAAGCAACAAAAGTACCTCGTCGGACTCGTAGGTCTGCAACAGATGAGTCGAGGCCATTAACCCTCTGATTGACCCGAGCATTCTCCTCTTAATCAGACCACTTTTCCCACCGTGATCCCTCGACGCTTCGGCATCACCGCTGCTCCCCGCCACCGGCGTCATCGTCGGCGTCGGCGTCGGCGTCGGCGTCGGTGTCGGCGTCGGTGTCGGCGTCGGCGTCGGCGTCGGCGTCGGCGTCGGCTTCTCATCGTTCTCCGTTACGCGCGAACATAACTTATCCACGCTTAAAGATCCTCGCAGCTGCAATTCCATTCGATTGTTCTCCAAAATGTCGTCCGAACTGACAGTTTTTCTTCGCAAATTGCCGCGTAATCTCTCCGCGCCGTTTGCCGACGTCTTTCCCGAATCGGGCGATGCTGACATTGGCCTCTCCGTATCATCGGAAACGTTTACCTCCTCCGATACTGACGACAGACCAAACTCCTCCACCCTGGTGATCGAGCCAGACTCCCGGGTGTGGGCCCGCGTCAGATCGTAGAAGCCACGCTGCTTGCTCTTTGACGTTTGCACGGGTGTGGCACGTTTGCTTCGTACCTTGCCGCGAGAATTTTCGATAAAACATGGGTCAAAATGAAATGAAAAGGATTTAGCGCAAGCCAGAAAACTCATCGCTTTTCCGCGTATTTCAATGCGCGAGAATGAAGGTAACCCGTGCATTTTCTTCGCTTCAAATGTTATGCGTGTTTGAGGCATCGACAAGTCGGAAATGTTGGAAACTCGTCGCGCGTTATTCAACCTGAACTTTATTTCGTCGACTGAGTATAACGGTATAACTCCGGAAAAGTGGGTATAAATGTATAACGAAATGGAATTTCAAGCGATGAGCTATATAAATTAAAAATTTCGCGAATTTCATCGCGAGCAACGCAATCGTAAACATTAGTTAAAGAGGACCGATTAAAACTTGCATCTGTTTGCCGTAAAGACCGTACGCTTAACATCGCACTCGAGAGAGATGAGATAGGGCTCGATTACAGGGATCGAAATGAAAAGAAAGCGCGGTAGCGCGTAGAAACATAGGTAGTTGAGCTTTACACGACCGATCGACTTTAACTAACGTTTACTTGGGCTCTTTCCTTCTCTCTTTTTCTTTCGACACTACCTCGGGACTAAGCGCGCCGACCGCTTGCAACTTGGCGTGCCTGTTGACCACTTGGCCGATCCTCGTCCTCTCTTCTCGCAACCAGCTACGCATCCTGCCCCAAGCCTTGCCCAGTCGTCGTTTCTGCAGCCTGAGCCGCTTGCTGCGGTCCGAGCCGCCACTCTCCGACAACTCCTCGCCCTCGCCTCCGTTCGGGTACTCTGGGTCCGAGTACGAGCCCGACATCGACGCTATGCCGGCGTCGTAACCGTCGCTGTCCGACGCGCCGTAGCTTCTTCTGCCAGATCTGAGCGATCTGGTGGAACGTTTCGTCCGATCGCGTTGTTGCTTCCTCCTTTCGGTCGAAGCGATCGTGCTCGCGACTCGATACTTTTCCCGCTCGAGATCGCGGACCGGCGGCTCTTTCTCTCGCGATTCGTCCCAAGACGCGTCTTTGTCCCTGCGCCTTGGTTTCGGCACGTCGTAAAGATCCTGGCCAACTGCCGGTATCTCCTTGTCGCAACCAGGTCGTTCGGAGGAGCCTCCGTTACTCTCGAGGACGGCGCTCTTAGGAAGGTCGTACAATTGATTTGCCGACGAGTCAGCTTGATCGCTCGTGTCGACCTCCAGAATCACGATCTCGTCCTTCTCGTCGTCGTTCTCGTCGGTGATCTTGGTGGTGCGAGAATTGTCATCGGCACGCAGAAAGCTGAAACTGATGGTCGGCACGCCATCGGCGTCCGTCTCCACCGTCGTGGTGGCGTTCAGTTCCATCGTGGTGCTGCGTCTCTTGCTCACGACTGCCTCCTTCGCTTGGCTGCTCCGCGATGACATCTCGCCAACGCTGTCGGCAGACAGGGAGGGTCGACCCGACGTCTCCGAGGACCAGACTCTCGAATCCCTCTCCAAGGACTTGGACGTTATGTTATTCTCTACGAACCTCATTCTCATCTCATCCTCGCGGGAGCTTTTACAGTTGCTCGTTGCCTCGTCGATTTCATCGCGATCCACCTCGCGGAACTCGCGACAGTGCACGATAATCGGCGTCGGGACATCGTACCACGTTGCTGTTGCGACACTCGCGATGCCGCCACTGTTCAAGGTCGGACTCTTTGCGGGAGTTCTCAGACCTGTCAAAACGTGCCGCATCTCATTCATCTCTCATCTATATAGTTAATCATAGAACCCTCCCTCTTTCCCTACGACGACGTCTTTTCCACACGATTCTTGGGAAAAAGCACTCGTTGGTCGACGGAACGTTCAAGTTGCTCCTCTCCTCTCCTCTCTTCTCTTCGATCGACGTTAATCCGTCGGAGGAAGCGACAGTGGTGTCGATAGAGACCTTAGTATTCCTGTATACATATACGTCGACACGCTAGCGCGACCTCGTTGCCCAAGAATTATCTGAATTATTCTTCGTACGAAAATAGCCGCATAATAGTCTGATAACGATGGCACTTTTATGGCAGCCTCTATTTTGCGTAGCACAAACGTGCCATTTTCTTTACACCAACTTGTACATTACACAAATTTCTTCAACGCATAATAACGTTCTATTCCATCTTCGGTTTCACGAGTCATCGTAGGAATTGGAATAGTCGATGACATTTGAGCATTCCTGTAGTCCATATTCGGCAAATTTCATTTATAATATTTCTAAACGAACAAGTGCCAACATCCATAGCGAATCCTCGAAATTCTGTGCTCGTTACAATTTTCTAGGTTTTCTAAGTTTCGTGAAAGTTGCGAGTGGTAGGACGATTGGTAGGAGGTATGGAACGGATTGGACGATGCGTAACGCGAGGAAAAAAGGCGAGACGAGCGACGATCGACGTGGATGCGATTTCCCGCGGATCGAATTAAATATCGACACGGTGACGGCAAGTTGCGGAAAATGGCGCCGAGCAAATTTACCGGACGTACACGTTGAATTTCGCGCGTTGCCCGTCTCCCGACTTGACCATATATCGAAGCATCGGCTGGACGCATACGTGACTCGCGCGCGACGATGGAGAACGGCTGAGGAACGATGTCGCGCGGTTTTGCGACCGCTCGTGCGAGAATTATAAGCACGCGCGTATGTACACCAACACCCACGAATATACGTACGTACAGGCGAAGGTTTCAGTGGAGCGCGACGTCGAACACGTCGAGCACCGCGAGCACCGCGAGCACGGAAGCAGCGAATGGATGATCACGCACGATCACGCGCGCGAGCCTTGACGAATCCAAACGAACGACGCGACGATGCTACGCCGCCGTCCTCAACCGGTGTTACGTATTACATAATTATGCGGAGCTGTATGCTGTATGCCGTATGACGAGCGAGTGTAACGGGTTACGGGTACGAGAACGGTGCAAAGTGCCGCGTTCCAATTCTCTTCGAGTATAGTTATTTAGCCGTTGTTCCTTTTCTCGTGCGGTTGCTTCACGCTCTCGTAACGTATCGCTCGCGTTCTAAATAACACGCGAGGACCGAGATCGAGCTCGGTCAATTTCGCATGACGGGCGACGAGCGGTCGTCTTCCGTAAAGGAGTAGCGTACCGGAAGATGTAGGTTTTTTAGTTACCATCCTTCTCGAATCGTCGCAATGACCATTACTCGAGAGGCTCCAATGAAAATAGGTCATTTTCTGAAACGCACTTGTCGTCGATGACGGTAGAGATCGATGTCTTTTGGCATTTTTCGCAAGGTTCCAAGTCACATGATACCGCGCTCAACAATCGCGTATCATGGCGGTCCGCGCGTTACGTGTGCAGTGTTATGCACGCGCACCGTTCGTCTCTGTGCCGCGAGTTCCCCGCGCTTCCTTTTATCCCAAGATTCGTCCGTCCGATCTCGAATTAGCCAAGATTCCGCGTCCTTCCCTTCTTCACGCGCGATATTATTACGCTACGACGGAACAAAGCGATCGCTCGCGAGTTGGTCTTGATTCCCACGTGCCAAGTCTTTCAGCACTTTTCATTTACATGTTTTTCAACCTAGAAGGAAGATGACCGTTAGGGAACGATACATCTCTTTCTCCCTAGTTTGGTCCCTTTACCAAGTGTTTGTTTTATGCCTACACCTCGCGCGCGTGAGACGGGAAAAGTCGGCTCGGGGAACGTCTCTTGTACAATATTTCTTTGATACGATCGCTTTGCATTCCGCTCTACAAAGTTGTAAAAATTGAGGCCGCTCGCCGACATTCCCACTGTTGCTCGAGTAAGCAACGCGGTTATCACGAAAATAGAAACTTTACAGAGCCAAACTAATCCCTCGCGAACTTGTCATTTTATCTTATTGTTAGCAACGTAATCTCTGCAGGCAACACTCGATATCACATGTTACGCAATAAAGAGTGAGAGAGAGATGAGTGATGCTGATTGCGAGAGATGTAACACGATTGAGACGTAACGTAATTAGACCAGCAAAGTGTGCGAGATGGTAATGTATATCTTTCGATCACGTCTCTCGAGTAAACTCAAATTTTATCTTTGACGGAAGTTATTCCATCAGTTTCGCTACTTGACCGCGTGCGATTAAGAGACTTGAACGAGAGGCTTGGCCTTCGATGCTAAAAGACACTAGGAAGCTTCGACGCAAATAACAATAAATAATACCGCACTTTAAAGTCCAAGCACTACGAAAGAGAATCGATCAAAGTTTCTTTTCGTTTCCTTATATATACCTCCCCTAGGCTCGCATTCGAGATACGAGTTGAATCGCTGCAACGATCGTGGACAAGACACCGAGTCTTTTCAATTTATCCAATTTACGCGATAACACTATCGTAATCGGAGCACACCGTCGTTGATGCGTTTGCAGGTGTAAATTATAAGCGCGTGTCGCTCGTATTACGCGCTCGTAAACGCACATACGCGCACGAGCGTTGCACCGAAGTCACTGCAGCGGTCGCGGACCGTTTGTCGCGCTTGCGAGAACGAGTGCGGAAACGCGCAAAGTCCGCACGGGGAAGGGGAGAATAGAGAGAGAGAGAGAGAGAGAGAGAGAGAAAGAACCGGCATGTGCACCGGCGTAACCCCAAAACGAATGATAGCGAGCAGTGGATAGTTTTAAGACGACTAAACGTGTTTCTAGGCGGGGGATTACGCAGTTTGTATGCGTGTTTTCTGATCTACGGATTATATTTAGCCCGCCGCCACTCCTTAACCACTCTGGTATCTCTCGCCTCTCCGCTCTCGCTCGCCAATACGTTCGCCCGTGTCGCATGGCGAGAGTCACACGTGCGTCGTACACACACGTCCTGCCGAATCTTTGTTGCATTCAGAGGGCGAGAGGGAGAAAAGCTCGTCGAATATTTTGCACTAATGCACGAATATTAAATTTTATGGTAATATTTTTCGCGATAAGAATAATTTACAGTACGGAGAAAGGGGGGAGGGATTAAATGCTAAATGTAGCATCAAAAATATAATTACAAATCGTTCATCGATTTCAATACGTGAATTGGCTGACGATAATAACTCCACCCGTTAGAAAACTGCATTATGTCCGAAAAGGAACCGGCGTGCAGGACATAGATGGAAAGAAACGGTATATGGATTCACATTTTTTAAATAATAAAAATTACGAGTTGGGCTACCAACATCTTGCCTTGTGACCCACATTGGCGTTTTCTCATGTGTTGTTTAGTATTAAATTTTATCATCAGTCAAATGCACATTTATTTAATGTTAGGTATTTCCAAATTATTAAACAAAGCATATCCATTGGCGTGCCTATCTTTAAAAAAAGCCTTTATCACGTGTACACGGTATAAATAACCAGAATAAATCAAGCATCGCGCTGTCTTATGCTAAGTAAGCGTTATCGTCAAAGACACAGTACGAGCATCGCAATTGCGATAAGAATCAGTCGTGATAATAGAAGGAATTGAAACCTGGTGAAATGCATATATAAATGTTTTACCAAGTCGTACGGGTTTTTTGTAAAATTTCAAGCATGATTTCGATTGCACGAGAGTGCAGTCCGAAAGTTACGTTCGTGGAAAATATCTATCTGCCATTTTCCTAGTAGACCGACGCGGGCGAAACATGAGTTTACCGCGGTTCATTTAACAATGTTGTGGAGTACCTACTTTGGAAGCCGTCAGACAATGTTACATGACATTATCGATATCGAAGGAGCAACGTTGGTAACATTCGGTAGAACACGCGCGTTAATTATGTTCCATTTGGAAAAGTGTACATACGTATATACTGGGCGGAGACTACACGCGAGAGACGTTTGAAAAGGTGTATCAGACAGCGACAAATCGTGCGAAAGGTGTCGAGAAAGTGGTGTTACAGGAAACGCGCTAGTCTAGGAAAATTATTTATGTAAAATTAATAGAGCAATCAGCTTTCTCGTGTGAAATTGTTGGCGCAGGTTGTCGTTTCAACTTATAGGTTATTGAAAATTGTAATGAGACGTCACAAAGGGCTTGTTATGGCTGCTGCTACTCTCTCTCTCTCCCCCCGAGTATTATCTTTTACTCCCCATTCTTGAATCGCGAATCAGCAATCGTGTTTACAATCTGTAAAGAACCACTACTTTCCCTGCAAGTTGCGGTTTCTTTTACCTTAATATAGAAAAATTGTAGCGCCCAACTTTCGCAGAAATTATGCGCCGCGGGAAATAGCATCGGTATCGGGTGTGATAACGAAAAGTGATTTTACATAAGATTGTAACGTATACGAGAACGTTTCTGCTGTTGGCACACTCGTAAATATTGCATATTTGCACGTTGACTGTCGACGATGGAAAATTATTCGCGAAATATGAGAGTGTAGGGCCCTCTCTGTCTGAAATCTCGCTGTTTACGTGAGGTTGCGTAAGTTTTGTGCCGCATTAAATTACGACGATGTCGAGATAATGCCGCATACGTACATCAACAACGTCCTTATCACCTGTATGACACATGCATTTTTACGCACGTCTATATAACGGTTGAATCCGTAAGAAAATATTTTCCAGCAAATCACTCGATGCCGTTGTAAGCAACGTTTGATAATGTTCGATAGTTTCGCTGCAAGTTATATCGCAAACTATTATAAATGTTTGTGTGCAGAGCATAAAAATGATTTCCAATCCCATGGCGCTAAAATATCTGCATAGAATAAGGTCACGATAGCGCGATTCGCGCCTTCGGTGAATGGTGGATGCGCTAATAAGGTATAATGAGGTCTAATATCGCTTTAATTTCTCGCGGTAATTTGTCGAATTACACTCTGACACGTCGCGTTGCGTCAGCATAAATTTAACTCGTAAGACAATCCGGCATGGAATAGTGGTACCTATGGATCGTAAAAATCGAGGGGGCACTAGTGAGCATTGGTGTACAAGATTTTGGTCAGCGGTTTCCCCCTTGGTAAAAATGGACAAATCTATCGCGAATCATCCTACTGATCTCCTACCACTTCTTCTACATCTACCACGGGCTACTTTCTCGCGAAATTTCATTCTGTCTTGTGACAATACAGCTCTCTACTTGTCACTTGAGCGAGAAATTATTCAAAGAATCGAGACCAAGTGTGAAAAGATTATCAGTATCAGTCTGGAGGGATTCGAATCCCGAGAGAGAAACAATTTTCATTGTTTGCATGAAATGTCTTGTGGACCGATGATTTATCGCTCAGAAAATTAAGTGAGACAATTTCAAATTAACTCGAGATAAAATCCTGTTATTCACTCCTATCCTGTTTCACCGCATATACTAACAATAGCAATTAAAAAGGGACGCGCAACTTTGGGAAATTCGTATATAAATATGCATATGTGCGTTTTTTCCTGACACATGACGCATATAGCGGATTTCGAACATGTGTCGCGTATCCGGCATATCGAGAAGAGAAGCCGAATAAAGTGCACACATACACGCACGCATATATATATGTTAATAACAGCGCACACAACAGTGTGCCTTTTCTTACCGAGCACATTGTACGTACTCACGTGGGAGTTTTGCTGGGACTTGGGATGAATCCAACCGGGTAGCCAGTGACGTGAGACTGGAAACATTTTAACGTCCTGCCGATGTAACGTACGATGTCCATGCACGATTGTCGTAAAGTGTCGTAACGAACGGTCTTTTTCTACTTTTCTTCTTTCGTCTCTCCCTCTCAATGTAATAATATCCCTTTCAACTTTTCTCTTATTCCTCAACTTTGGCCTAATTGCCGAGGTAGTACTCGATCGCGAGATAGTATAAAATCGCGATTAATCGCGAAACGTGTAATTCGTGACCGATAATCTCTGTACTGAGCTGTGCGCAGTTGAGCGGTTTCGATCGATAGGGCAATATTGTGAATTGATCATTGAAAAGCTTGGACGTTCTGCGCGAGCTAAAGATAAAAATTGACTGGCGTGAATGTGGCGTCCGCGTACGAAATCTTTGTTGCTTATCGCTCATTATTAATCGTCACGTTATCAAACTTGACAAATTTTTCCAAGATGTCCAGGTCCCTCTATCGAATTTCAATCGGTTTCAATCGGCTTGCGTGACGTTCCAGATCCCCCGATTAAGATCGTTTTACACGCATTCCAAATTTTACAACATTTAAATGTCTCGGAAGCATCTCCTCTTTTGTAGACCGTGAAATGGGCAACATAGATAGTATTTCTGGTTAGCTGACACGTGTAAAAGTATCAGCCAAATGTTTCTCCTCTCACCAATGATCTGGTTTCGTCTAAACGTTCGAGGCGGAACGGAGAGAGATAAAAAGAAAAAGAGGAAAAAAGATGAAAAATAATAAAAGGAAACGTCATCTTCGGATAATTGCACGCATGTGCACGGATAAACCTGTCCCGTGAGAGGAATAACGCGTAAGCGTACTACAGTCTGCGCGCAAAAACGCACGCTCTTGGCTCTACTCGGGGAATTATGCCCCGTTACATCGTTCGGTCTTTATAGTAGCAGTGCAAGACGCGCGTTTCGTCATCTACCTTGTCATTGGATTCCTCGACAAATTCGATTCTTCTTTTATTTCACGAGAGACGAGTGAAGCGAATCAATGTTTAAATAAAATTTGATTGAAAAAAAAAGAAGATTGAAATCAGAAAATCTTTCAAAGAAAACATGGCGGTGGTTAGTCATCCTATCGCGATGATGTTGATATAGATAACGTTAACACGCTTTCGTTGTTCAAGCACGAGCGCAAAGCGCCATTTCCTTTGACGACGAGATCTCACACACGCAAAGAGGTGACACGATACGATATGAATCGTTGTACGTGCTTTACATACTTGGTGTCAATGAGTGTCTCAACGATCAGTGATAATTCGCGCGACTTTGTTAAACGTCGATTGGCTGTAATATTCGCGAGGCCAATCGATTGTTCGCAACTAGAATTGAATTTTCTCTGTGTGTCGACACGTTTCACTTTGTCAAATGGTACGTACGAGTTTTCCAAAGCAGAGATTCTTGTCCCTCGAGAGTTACTTGAAACAGACGTCAGTTGTTTTCAATTTGGGTTTCAATAGAGAACAAGAAAAAAATTGGACTAATTTACACGGATCAGTTCTTTCAGTAAAGACTTTTTTTTTATCGTTGGGCAATATCGATACAACGATATCGCGTAGCGGTACTGTAGACGGACCGGACCGGACCGCAGTCGGGGCTGTATAACCGGAAGCGTTCACCGGAACCGGTATTTCTTTCTTTCAGCGCGCAACACTATCCAC